CGAACAAATCTCTGAAACGTGGAGGAGCTATTGCCAGTCATTGTTCCTGGATGCGACTACGGATTTTTATTTAGATAGGAGCGTGATCGGGGTTGGGATAAATTATTAAGATATTTAAAGGGATAATTATTTATTTTATGAGCAATGGACTAAACTAGTGGGGTGAGATGAGATTAAGAGTCGCGCCCGGTACGAGGTCTAAATGCGAACTAACTTAACTGAATATAATAAGATATAATGTAAATGAACACACAAGCAAATCATATTGCATGGTGTCATTTACATTGCAAATACCTGTACGGTTGTAAATCGTACATGTTCCCGAGGGAGGAAAAGATGAGGGTTAGTAAAATGGAGGATGAACTTAAGACTAACAAGGTGATACACAAATTTTAATATTAAATGTTTATATGTTATGATTAGTTGTGGGTGAGAAAATGAATTACATTTATCATATTAGCTACAAAGATTCAGTTATATTTAATTCCGGAAGGGAAAACACACGAAAGATCGGCGAGGAAGCTCGATCTTGTTTATTAACACTTTTATTATTATGATAATGCCTTTTTTCCCTAACTTCACACTCACTCACAACACTTTCACTTTTCACGGGGTGTGTAACTGTACTGAGCTTGACACGAACTTAGTATTGAAAGGAAAAATAATGTTAAGGATAAAACCATAGCACAGAAAGAGATGCCGCTGAAATTCTTCGCTTTAGGCTTCTTTTCATCGACCTTCTCATGGTTTAAAGATTGATTACTATTATTTGTAGGTAGAAAGGATAACTTAACGACTGGGCGTTTAATAGAACAGTTCTTGGTTTTAAGCGTGACGACTCTTACCAGCCCGTCCCTTTCGGGATGTAGCTCTACAACACGCCCTAAAGCCCATTTACCGGGCGGAAGATCTTCTGATTTTTTGATGACTATATCGTATAAGTTGAGATCTTTTTGAGGTCGTTTCCACTTTGATTGTGAGAGATATTCATTCTTCCATTTGAACCGAATATTATGATAGATTTTCTGCCATCGAGTTCTAAGATCATTTTCTTGTTTTTGTAACCATCGAGGTATTTTAAATTGCGTTATATAGGATATGTCGGCTTTTATTTTATTCCATTCTAAGACTAATTTATGAGGTATCGGCTGATCCCATCCTAGATCAGACTTCCAAGTTTCTTGAAATAAAATTTTAAGTTTTGTAGTGACTGGTACTAGCCAGCCCAAAGGGTCATAAATTTTTGAGATTTCAGACAATAATTGTCGCTTAGTAGGGGTAATATTTGGGATATAATTAATAGGATAAAAGATAAATTCGTCGGCATTGGGATTCCAACGAAGGCCTAAAGTTTTAGTTGACTCCTGGTGCTTAAAGTCGAATTCTTTTTCGGAATCGTTCATGTCTTCTAAAAGGGAAGGTAAGTTTGAACGCCATTTTCTAAGATTGAAACCTCCAGATTTGAGTATTTTAATTAAATCGTTCTTCAGCTCTATTGCTGTTTGTGCAGAGTGAGTACCATGCAACAGATCGTCCATGTAAAATGAGCTTTCTAACACAGCAGGTGCGATACTGTAAGGATAATTTGATCGTTCATCGATTGCAAGTCTTTTTCAGGATCATCATGGCCAAGAAAGGTGCGGCCTTAGTTCCATAAGTTACAGTGGCTAGTTGAAATTCACCTAACGGTTGGGATTGATCATCTCTCCAAATAATCTTCTGGTATTTTTGATGTTCTGAATGAAGCCAAATATTGCGAAACATTTTCTCTATGTCGGCTGTAAAACCATATTTAAATTGTCGCCATTTTAAGATTAGTGTTTGAAGGTCTTGTTGTAGATTTGGCCCCCTACACATAAGATCATTGAGGCTAAATCCACTCGAAGTTTTCGAAGAAGCATTAAAAACAACTCGCAATTTCGTAGTTGATGATTCCGCTCGTTGTACACAGTTGTGCGATAAGTAGCAACTCGACTCTACGTCGGCGCGTGACACAACGGGTATCATGTGTCCGAGCTCTTTGTACTCCGATATAAATAATTTATAATCACGAGCTAAATAAGGTTTTTTAATAAGTTTATTTTCCAATTGAATAAATTGAGCGATAGACTTTGACTTCGATTCGCCCAATTTTTCCTCGAGATTTTCTTTAAAAGGTATTTTCACAACGTAACTGCCGTCGTCACGTCTTGAGGTTGTATTCTGAAAAAACTCTATACAATTTTGATCTTCCTGTGACATATTTAAGGGTTCATGAATATCTTCCACTTCCCAAAACCTTTGGATATCGTTATTAAGGATTATATTACACTGATAGGTTTTATAATTACCGGTTATTATCCATCCCAACTGCGTTTGTTGCGCAATCGGAAACCTTTCTTGAAATCTACAAATACCGTCCAAGATAATATCAGAATAAACATCAGCGCCGAATAATATATCAATAGGGCTACTTTTATAAAATTCTGAATCAGCTAATTTTATATGATTAAGCTCAGGCCAATTTGGTTTTGGCAGGGTATAGCTCGGTAAGTTCCTTACAAGTTTTTTCATAATAAATACATCCGTGTTAAAGGTATAATCATTGACTATCGATAAACACTTGATAGAGATTTTGCCCTTGCAATTGTTTTCTGTATTTCCTATCCCAGAAATGTAACCATTACATTTTTGTCGAGGTATTTTTAATAATTGAGCAGCATTTTCACTGATAATTGAGATTTGTGAGCCCTGATCTAAAAGAGCTCTCATATTTTTATAAGATCCATCCGCTGCCTGTATCTTAATAATGACAGTGGCAAGTAATATTTCGGCAGGGTCACTTGGAAGAGATACTAATGTGTTAATTTGCTACAGGCCCCGCGCTGGCTTAATCCGGCACTGACCTTGATACAATTCTGTCAAGAAAAAGACTTGATAACTTGACTTGACTGTATACTTGGACTTCTCCAATGCACACATCTCAACATATTTTGCGAAATCAAATTGATTATGTAATGGTAAACAAAAGATTTAGAAATTGTATCAAGAGCGCGAAAACCTATCCGGGGGCAGATATTGCGTCTGACCACAATCCAGTGGTTATTCGCATTCATTGTAAACCCAAAAAAGTTAAAACAAAGAGACAGCAATAGAAATTCAATCTAAGAAAGCTTAAGGATCCGGACACCAAACTCGAAGTACTCGGTAAAGTTAAAACCCTACTATAACAGGTGGTAAACCAGTTAAAAGTGCTCTTCAAGATGTTCCTACCAGGTGGAACTCTACATACTTTACGTTAGATAGAGCGCTTATTATTATTGAAAGCGGAACTTAATAGCACATTTTCTAATTTTAACGCAAATATTCCAGTATTGTTGGTGAACGATTGGTTTATTATAGAAAAACTCATCGTAATTCTAAAGCCCTGTGAGGAAGTAACAAAAGATATTATGATGACGGTGATAGATATCTGACTGGTATCCCATGTTATCCCCATAACTATAGCTTTGAAAGCGGCGTAGAAAAAGGCGAGGCAGGATATTCTCAATGGACTCCAAACACGTTTTTCTTCAGTAGAATATAGCCGCACTTTTAAGACATGCATGTTTTTGGACCCTCGGTACAAATTTTATTTCGAAAACGAAAATACTGCAGAATCCACAAAACGCGTTATTGGATTAGTAACATCACAAATTTTAGAGGAAGCAAAAAGAAGAACAGAATATTTCAGATTCCTCTTCGGTATCCGGATCGGAAAACTCCATTTGGGCCTACTATTACAAAACATGCAAAATATTAGGCCCAGGGGTATGTAATTTTCTAGAGCCGTGGTTGAAGTGCAACGTTACCTAGATGATACAGTCATATCAAAGTCTCATTCGCCTTTAGAATGGTGGAAGGCAAATAAGAATTCATACCCACATTTGGCAATACTTGCACGCAACAAATTAAATTCTCTGGCAACAAGTGTGCCTTGTGAAAGATTGTTTTCCGCCGCAGGAAATATTTTAAGTGATCCTAGGACTCGTCTTGGAGTAAGGAAAACTAAACAACTACTTTTCTTTCAACAGAATATAAAAAATAAAGCTTGGTTAGAAGGAATAGGAATAGGCAATTCATTTAGGGTCTCCGCTATTAAGTTGTGGAATAGGCTGCCCAACTCCATACGATTGGCTACCTCTCTGTCATCTTTTAAAACTCTTCTGTATAAACATTTCTTAACCTTATCCTATCCTGATCAATCGTGACTTGTATAATTCTTTCGTTTCCTTTCTTTTGCATTGCATCACTATTCATGAATCTGTAAGATTAGCTTTTAATTTTTTAGTTTGTTATTAATATTTTTTTTTATTACTTTAGGTTTAGATTAAGGTTCTATATTTTTTTATATAACATTTGGTTCTGCACTTCTCGCACTCATCATGTTTCTTTTTTTAGTTTTTATCTTTGACTAGGGTTGCCTGGAAAAGATCGCTTATTAGCGATAAGGCCGCCCGTTGCATCCCTTATAATTTTTATGTATTGTGTTTCTTTTATTTTTATTGCAACGAAGTGTAAATAAATAAATTTAAAAAAATATTGTTCAGAGTTGTACTTAAATACTGTATATACCTCCATTAATTATGTAATTATTCAAGATTTGTGTATAAAAAATATAGTTATGATTTAATTGTATATGTCGGAGCAATTGCACTGGAATCAACTGCCATTGTAATTATAATTTAATAGTTGCTGTTAAACTTAATATTATTAAAATTTGTTTTTAAAGGTGTCAGTCCTAAGCCAGCAAAAGTATGAAGGGAAGTTTTCAATTAGAGCAGTTTTCTCGGTGTCATAGAGAACAGTGAATCTTGAAGTAGTAATTCTTTTTTTAACCCTGAAATAAAAGAACATTCCGTGCTGGGATACGCTCGTGTGTAGTTTCGTTTTTGAGGTTAAGTTTGTTGTGAGTGGTGTTTGTGTGTTTGGTCGTTGAATTTATTTTGCTGTTATTATTAATTATAACGGTAAGAAGTAAAATGGAACCAACCCCGTTTACATCCCGTCCTTTCAAGGAGCTTGTGTCTCCGCGTAAGAAACGCAAAATGTCTCATTTTAGTGAGAATGAAAAAATTATGATAATTAACGTATTTAAGTACGTAAAAGAAACGTGGCCTTCTGATAAATATGCTTCAAAAGAAGAAATGAAGGATAAAACTTCCGATATTTTAGGTATATCGAAATCGGCGGTATACAGAGTATTAAAAGAATATACTAAAACCAACACGGTCGAGCCGGCGGCGACACCGAAGAAGCGATTATCAATCGTAGATAAGATAGACGATTTTGACATGTCCTGTATAAGACGAATTGTGCATAGTTTTTACCTAAAAGATGAACTACCAACAGCAAAAAAGTGTTACATGTTGTGAATGCCGACGAATCTTTACCTAATATGGGCTTGACGTCATTAAAAAAGGTATTGAAACATTTGAAGTTTAGATACGTGAAGAGAAGGAGGAACAACGCTTTGATTGATAGAAATGACATAGCGTTATGGCGTATAAAACTATGAAAACTTACGAGAGCAAAAACGACCAATATACTATTTGGATGAAACTTGGGTGAATGCCGGTACAGTCATAGCACATACTTGATTAATATGCAAAAAGACACGCTTCCCTTACAGTTTTTTAATGTTTTATATTTCTTTTCAGGACACACTGTAGGCAAAGTGTGGGACGAGACGACCGTAAAGTCACGAAAACATGCATTTATAGAGGGCTTATCAACAGGTGCCAAAAACCCAACTTCCAAAGGGAACCGGATAATTGTACTGCACATTGGAAGTGACAGAGGATTCGTGTCGGATTCTGCACTAGTCTTCGAATGTAAAGGTACTGGAGATTATCACGAGTCAATGAATGCGAATACTTTTTGAAAAGTGGTTTCAAGAAACGCTACCTAAACTTGAGCCAAATTCTATAGTAGTTATGGATAATGCCAGCTACCACTCAAGACGTCAGGAGAAAACCCCAGTAACAAGCTGGAAAAAATATGACATTCAACAGTGGCTATCTTCAAAGGACATTTCTTTTGAGGACAATGACACAAAAGCTCAATTATTAGAAAAAATTAAAAATGTTAAACCTCAATATCAATCCTACGTGATTGACGAAATGGCGAAAGAAGCTGGTGTGGAGGTATTAAGATTACCTCCTTACCACTGCGAGTTGGTTTGGGCAGATGTCAAAGGGTAGCAAGAAACAATACCACATTTAAGATGGTCGACGTGAAAAAAATTACTTCAAGAAGGATTAAATAGTATCACTATTGAAAAATGGCAAACCACGTCATAAAAGAAGAATTAAAATTTGGAGGACTGGATAGTCAAATACGAGGCGTGTATTTAAAGTAAGGTCTCCAAGGCCACCGTATCGCCGCAAGTAGCTCTAGGTGAAATCCGGCAACACTGTTGTATACGTGTGGCCCCCCTCCACAAGTCGACATCTGGGTGTCCTAACCATTAGGACGCTCATTCTCGACGTAGCAGCCGTTTGCGATGGAGTTACCGGTTGTCGCTCCCGCTAGGTGCGAGTTACGTTCAGTCATTAACTTTTTACACGCAAAAAAAATTCCACCAATAAATTCATCGTCAATTGGAAGAAGTGTATGGTGAGAAATGTATGGATGTGAAAAATGTTCGAAAATGGTGTAGAGAATTTTCTGCTGGCCGCCTAAACGTTCATGATGAGGAGCGCAGCGGCAGGCCGACACACTCCGATGAAACAGTGCGGAAAGTTGAAGAGCTTGTGCTGAAAGATCGCAGGTTGACTCTCAATGAGTTGGCCGAAAAACTTCAAGATGTGTGCAGTAGAGACTCTATTCATTCAATTTTGGTGAATAATCTGCAATACCGTAAATTGTCAGCCAGGTGGGTCCCGAAAATGCTTACCCCGGAGCACAAAGTGAAACGTGTCCAATGTGCCCAAGACTTTCTCGCCAGTTTTGAAGAGGAAGGGGAAGAATTTCTCGATTCAATCGTTACAGGAGATGAAACATGGGCTCATTATTACACACCGGAAACGAAGGAGCAGTCGAAACAATGGAGACACACGCATTGGCCTAAAGTCAAAAAATTTAAGCAAGAAAAATCAGCAGGCAAGGTTATGGCCACCGTCTTTTGGGACAGAAAGGGTGTATTGCTGATCGATTTCATGCCTCGTGGAGCAACCATAAATGCTGATCGGTACTGTGAGACCTTGAGGAAACTTCGAAGAGCTATTCAAAATAAACGAAGAGTAATGCTGACCAAGGGAGTACGACTTCATCACGACAACGCGCGTCCTCATGTGGCCAACAAAACAACGTCACTCATTACGGAATTTGGTTGGGATGTGTTGGACCACCCTCCTTACAGTCCCGACGTCGCCCCTAGTGACTTCCACATGTTTCCTGCCCTGAAAAAACATCTAGGAGGAATGAAATTTGCGAATGATGAAGAGGTGCATGAAGCGGTCATTTCGTTCCTGCGCGAGGCGGCGGGATCATGGTTCGAGGAGGGGATACAAAAGTTTGTCGTACGAATGAAGAAACTCATCGAAGTGAATGGCGATTATATAGAAAAATAGCTTAGATTTCAAGCTTTACAGCAATGTATTAAACTTTGTAAATACATGTTATTTAATGTGAAAAAAATAAATGGAGACCTTACTTTAAATACACGCCTCGTAGATAAAACGGTTGATTCTTTCATAATCAACGTATCTGGCGAAACATCTGATAGTTCATCAGAAACAGATTACTCTGACTAAAATTAAATGTTTATTTTTAAGAGTATTTCTGTTTTTTTTTTTACCAAATCATAGTCGCAAACATAACTTTCCCTTTTTATAAATCCATCAAGCGGTTTAGTCTAAATAGCGAGCTAAACATTTAAATTTGGCGCCAAAATCCGCTATTTTGTTTTTAAAATTATGATATACCCAGTGTCACTATCACAGTATTTACGAATCTAACGACACCTCTCAAGCGAAAATCCATCAAGCCGTTCAGGCTGCAGAGCGTGCCAAAGAATTATACATATTAGGTTGGGGAAAAAGTCTTTTCGCATTATAGTATGTATGAACGTTGAGATTTTAAAGAAGATAATTCCAAAATCAAATTAGGATAATGTCTGTTTTTAATTTATTTTTCGTACCGTCAAGATGAGTGAATCTAATAAAGAAATTAACAGACAGACAGTAAACAGACAACAATGACTTTTTTCTAATCAATGAACAAAATTGAGATTAAGCTACTATAACCACATTGTTAATTGTTTTTGATTATTAATGTAAGAAAAGAAAAATATTATCTATCTAATTGTTTTTAAATACATAGCAAATACATATAGTTATTTGATGAAAATGTGTTATCATTTATTAGTAGAAGTTGTTCGCTATAACAAGATAAGTTCGTAATATTGAGGTGAATAAAACTATTCTTTTACCTCTTTATAACGAATTTTAGACCAATCTAATCTCAACATAAACCTCAGTTCAACGAATTACTTGATATTACGAATATTTTCTTGTTCCCCTCCGATTTGTTATATCGAGGTTGCACTGTATAACGTGCAAGTGACTTTAAAGTGATCAAATAATGGCAAATGTGGAACAATTATTAAGTGTACTTATTGAGAAGAGCTCCAAATATAAATATAAACAAAAAAGCTTTGGAAAAGAAAGAACGAGGCTATTGCTCCGAAAAAAGTGTCGCTGTTGATGACGTTCGATTATCCGTTACCAATTGGGTCGACAATAAAGCAGTCAGTTTGTGTTCGTCCTATGTAGGCAAGGAACCAATGGGAGTAGTGAAAATATATTCCAAAACACGTAAGTGTAGAGTTGATGTTCCTTGCCCAAAAGCAGTACTTGTTTATAATAAATACATGGGCGGTGTCGATGTACTAGATGGCATGTTAGGTTTCTATAAAAAGAAGGCCTATATATATAATTTGTGCTTTTCGTATTATCATTACTATTTTTATGTTTTTTTTTTTGTACTTTACCTCTACTTATAAAAAGAAATTGAAGGTATTATTGAAAATCGGTATCGATTTGATGCTTAAAACTATTTATTTGATAGATAATAAAGTGTTTTCAAGAGAAGAAAACGGTTTCTTGCAAATTTTGAAGAACTTGAAAAAGTGGATAGAAGCGCATTTGCATCTATACCCCTCATGTGGCTTTTGGGCATCGGGAATATGTCCACTAAATCCGCATGAAGTTCTTAAGAAGATTCCTGAGATGCAAGAGGAAATATTGTCATTTGGAATCCACCATGTACTAGAGAATTATTTAAGAGAAACCAGGGCGCAAAAGCCTATGCAAGTACCGAGGAGTAAAAAAGTTCATTGTGAGCCAGGAAAATCAGTGAGCATTAACCCTTAATTTGATAAAGTCCGGTGTGACGGAGACTTATTTAAAATAAATCCTGCCAAGTTTTTATTTCATGTTCATCGATTTCTAATCGATTAAATGTTTATTTATACCATAAACAAATAGTAAAAAAAAGTAATGATTGTGGCAACATTGCATATGTCAGTTGGGACGCAAAATGTCTGCGAAAAGGCGGCCACCTGTTTTGCTCAAGGTATTTATAATTGTTTTTCTTATTTTTTGTGGAAAAATGAATTGAATTATAGATTTATTTATTAGATAATAATCATTTGAATCATTATTTACAAAAACATACGCACTTTATTACATTTTTATGGTGTTTATTTGTAACTAAAATGTTTTGTCCGTCACAGCGGACATTGCTAATTGTATAGAAAAGTACCACTTTATTACTATGTCCGCTGCGGCGGACAACGCCAAAATATGTGTGCTTCTGCTTGTTTGGTTATGGTTCTGAGTTTGGTTTTTTTCTTTGCCAACAGCCTAATCGCGCTAGTAGAATTATTGCTTTAGTGCCGAATGAATATGCACCTTCCGATGCTAGCGAAATATCAGATTCTGAAACTGAATTGCATGATGCACGTACTAAATCTTCCACCCCCGTCTTCTCCTGCACCATTTATTGCATCTTCCCTTGCTAACATAACAATAGATACATCCGACGATGAAGAATTACACTCCGAAGATGCTGATATTATACCAGATTCTATCGTGCGTGAAATTGGCGAATGTTTTTATGAAAATGTTCCATCCCTATCTGCTATTCCTTCATTGCCTGCAACGCCTATAACACCAATAGGTTCTTCATTAGCACCCCGAAAAACAAGATCTAGGAAACCACCCACAGTCAAAGCTAAAAGACCAAAAAAAAACAAAAAAATTCAGCTGACTTACAATTGGAGAGTAGCTCAATTCCGTCACCAAGCGACAATAGAAGAGGGTGAGGAGGATGATTACATAGACCTGCCAGAAGATGATTCACCTTTGAGTTCCTTTCACCTTTTTTTTCTCAAGATATTTTTACTAGTATCGTAGAGCAGACAAACTTATATTCAGTTCAACAAACCGGCAAGTCAATTCAATTCTGTACCTCAGAGGTATACAATAGTAACTCCATTTTTTACGAAATCTTGTTTTTTGTACCAATAAAATAGTTAAAATCAGTTCTACATAGTGGTATAAAGCATTAACTCCTACGAGATATAAATATAAACAAAAAAGCTTTGGAAAAGAAAGAACGAGGCTATTGCTCCGAAAAAAGTGTCGCTGTTGATGACGTTCGATTATCCGTTACCAATTGGGTCGACAATAAAGCAGTCAGTTTGTGTTCGTCCTATGTAGGCAAGGAACCAATGGGAGTAGTGAAAATATATTCCAAAACACGTAAGTGTAGAGTTGATGTTCCTTGCCCAAAAGCAGTACTTGTTTATAATAAATACATGGGCGGTGTCGATGTACTAGATGGCATGTTAGGTTTCTATAAAAAGAAGGCCTATATATATAATTTGTGCTTTTCGTATTATTATTACTATTTTTATGTTTTTTTTTTGACTTTACCTCTACTTATAAAAAGAAATTGAAGGTATTATTGAAAATCGGTATCGATTTGATGCTTAAAACTATTTATTTGATAGATAATAAAGTGTGTTCAAGAGAAGAAAACGGTTTCTTGCAAATTTTGAAGAACTTGAAAAAGTGGATAGAAGCGCATTTGCATCTATACCCCTCATGTGGCTTTTGGGCATCGGGAATATGTCCACTAAATCCGCATGAAGTTCTTAAGAAGATTCCTGAGATGCAAGAGGAAATATTGTCATTTGGAATCCACCATGTACTAGAGAATTATTTAAGAGAAACCAGGGCGCAAAAGCCTATGCAAGTACCGAGGAGTAAAAAAGTTCATTGTGAGCCAGGAAAATCAGTGAGCATTAACCCTTAATTTGATAAAGTCCGGTGTGACGGAGACTTATTTAAAATAAATCCTGCCAAGTTTTTATTTCATGTTCATCGATTTCTAATCGATTAAATGTTTATTTATACCATAAACAAATAGTAAAAAAAAAGTAATGATTGTGGCAACATTGCATATGTCAGTTGGGACGCAAAATGTCTGCGAAAAGGCGGCCACCTGTTTTGCTCAAGGTATTTATAATTGTTTTTCTTATTTTTTGTGGAAAAATGAATTGAATTATAGATTTATTTATTAGATAATAATCATTTGAATCATTATTTACAAAAACATACGCACTTTATTACATTTTTATGGTGTTTATGTGTAACTAAAATGTTTTGTCCGTCACAGCGGACATTGCTAATTGTATAGAAAAGTACCACTTTATTACTATGTCCGCTGCGGCGGACAACGCCAAAATGTGTGTGCTTCTGCTTGTTTGGTTATGGTTCTGAGTTTGGTTTTTTTTCTTTGCCAACAGCCTAATCGCGCTAGTAGAATTATTGCTTTAGTGCCGAATGAATATGCACCTTCCGATGCTAGCGAAATATCAGATTCTGAAACTGAATTGCATGATGCACGTACTAAATCTTCCACCCCCCTGTCTTCTCCTGCACCATCTATTGCATCTTCCCTTGCTAACATAACAATAGATACATCCGACGATGAAGAATTACACTCCGAAGATGCTGATATTATACCAGATTCTATCGTGCGTGAAATTGGCGAGTCCTTTTATGAAAATGTTCCATCCCTATCTGCTTTTCCTTCATTGCCTGCAACGCCTATAACACCAATAGGTTCTTCATTAGCACCCCGAAAAACAAGATCTAGGAAACCACCCACAGTCAAAGCTAAAAGACCAAAAAAAAACAAAAAAATTCAGCTGACTTACAATTGGAGAGTAGCTCAATTCCGTCACCAAGCGACAATAGAAGAGGGTGAGGAGGATGATTACATAGACCTGCCAGAAGATGATTCACCTTTGAGTTCCTTTCACCTTTTTTTTTCTCAAGATATTTTTACTAGTATCGTAGAGCAGACAAACTTATATTCAGTTCAACAAACCGGCAAGTGAATTCAATTCTGTACCTCAGAGGTATACAATAGTAACTCCATTTTTTACGAAATCTTGTTTTTTGTACCAATAAAATAGTTAAAATCAGTTCTACATAGTGGTATAAAGCATTAACTCCTACGAGTAGTATATTAAAAGATAAAAATTTGTATATGATATTAAATCCAAAAATACTAACGTGGTATAGAATCTCAAAAAATCATAAGTTTATTTACCCATAAGCGTCGCGCAAATATAATGTTTTTAATTGGACTTAATGCCTTTTACCACTAAATGCAGCGTGGGGCCCGCGCCGCGCGCCGCGCCGTGTCTGCCGTGAACTTGTCAGTGCTTGCGTATCGTGCGTGCAATCACAATGCAAATAATGCTTTAAAATTATTTTACATGGTTTCACGTGGAAAGTTATTATGTAAGCTAGCTACTGTTGAAGAACAAGTTGACCAAACTTCAGGAGATGGTAAGGAAGTTTTCTATTACTTTTATAACATAGCGAGTAGCTTTTTAGGGGTAAACAATAGTATCTCCCGTAAATACACACTTTTGATTAGGACCATTTTCAATCTTATTTGTAGGTGCGTTAAGGTACGTTTTTCAATACTTGGGAAAAGAGTTTATTTATGGATTTTTTTCGTTTGTTTATGATTTAATACCAACTATTCATACTAACAAATTGCAAAATTAATAATATTAAGGGAGAAAACCTAAAGCCCGCTCCTAGGCTCTAGGCAATAATATCTGTTAGCTAATATTTGTTAAAATGTGTCGGTAAATAAATTGTTACTGTACTGATCTTCACGGAATATGCAAGGTTTTATTTTTTTAATATTCAGATCTTACAATATTTATGTGATAGTATATATTTTGTTGGTTTGTTTGCCTAGCTTACACGTAGCAACGAATTATTTTGACCTTTTAAATTCATAAGGTGATAAGACCGACCGACTGATAGATACATTTCGTCCTGGAAATTGACATTTAATTATATTTACGTTTTCTTGCAATGGCTTGATAAGACTACATAGTGTTTTCTTTTTCAGGGCTTTCGAATAAATATTATGATTTCCTACAGCGAAACCTTACCCTCCATGGTGATTCCCCAAGGACTTACAATGTTGAAGAAGTAGAATATCAACGAGTTGACCAATTTACGCCATTGCCTGAAGTATTCGCTACAGTAGTTGATGACACCGATGAAGACACACAACCTTCAAATTCCAATTTATTAACTGATATTTCGTCTAATGTTTTACCTCTGCCCGATAAAATTGCTACAGTAGTAGAAGCTTTTAATGAAAACACATGTCCGTCAATTTCTAGTATCTTAAATGATACTTCAGCTAATAATTTCGTACCATCGTCCAAAAAAAATTGTGTTATAGATGCTTCTGATGAAGAGACAAAACTATCAAAGTCTGGGTCGCTAATTGATATTGTTTCAATAAACGAAGTACCAGATGCATCTAAATCGTATCACCTTGTCAGTGTACACAGCAACTCTGAAGAAGATTTTTCACCTTCAGATGAGGACTATGTTCCAGACACTAACGAAAATTCACCAGATCATGATTTTCCGGGAAGAAGTCAAATTTTTGTACCAGAAACTAGCTGTAGCAGCTTATCCGACAATGAAGTAAATTCAGAAAATCTAATAAATACATGCATAAACCCTATCTCTATGGATGTTCAAACTATTTCTTTATCGTCTTCATAAGAGAGCAGAGGGAGTCGAAAACGAAAAAGAAATATTTGTAAATGGAAGTGCAACGTTAGAAAACTTAAAGCTGTCACAGGAAAATCATATACATCTAAGAAAGGTAAAGTTGTGCCCGAAAAAAAGATGAAACCTGTATGTGACTGTCGACTGAAATGCTCTGAACGAGTAGATGAAACAGCCAGAGCTGCTATATTTCAAAAATATTATAGTAATAAGATGACTTGGAATTTGAAGAGACAGTTTATAATATCAATGGTAACAGAAATTGAAACTGCTAGATCTAGACGTCGCGATCCTGAACACCCACCTAAGAGATCGTTTACATTAAATTACACATTTTTGGTCAACAATAAACCCGAAAAGATATGCAAAAAGTTTTTTTAAATACCTTGGCAATTTCTGAGACTGATGTGAGAAATGCTATCAAAAAATCTACACACGGCTTTGTTCAAGAAGACAGACGAGGAAGACATCCACCGCCTAATAAAACGGCAGAAGCCATTAAAGAAAGCATTCGTAACCACATTGATATGATACCCAAACATGAGAGCCATTATAGTCGGAACAGAACTAAAAGACTGTATCTTGGAAGTCATCTAAATATTGAAAAATTGTATGCTTTGTATGTAGAGTTTTGTGCCGAAAAGAATATACCGAAGGAGAATGTTGCAAAGGCATGGCTATATAGACATATTTTCAAGAATGAGTATAATCTAGGATTTAATCCTCCAGCCAATGATACGTGCGACGATTGTGATGGCTTTGTAATTAAAACAAAAAATACTACCGATGTAATAGATAAGAATGCCATAAAAGCTGAACATGATAAACATCTTCAGGAATCACACCTCCGCTATAGCTTAAAAGGATTTGACAAAGTCGATGCAATAGAGAGTCACGGTTCTAAAAAAATGTTAACAGTTGATCTACAAAAGTGTTTGCCTACACCTTATTTGACAAATAGCCAAAGTTTTTATCTTAGGAAGTTGTGGACTTTTAACTTCACGATTTTGGATTCTGTAGCCAAGGAGAGCTGGTGCTTTATGTGGGACGAGACTGTAGCAGGACGTGGCGGGAATGAGATGGCTTCTGGATTAGTCAAGTTTTTTGAACAGCTTGAAGATGTCAGATTAGAAGAAGTGACGATATGGAGTGACAACTGCGCCGGACAGACTAAAAATATTTCTGTAATGATGGCGTATTTGTGGATACTATCAAATCAAAATATAAAGATAATTAACCACAAGTATTTACTGAAAGGACATACGCACATGGAGGTGGACGTAATCCATTCCATTATCGAGCGAGAAAAGAAAAAAATACAAGAATTTCCTATAGTTACACCTTGGGACTGGCAGCAGTTTATTAAAAGCTGTTCCAAAAATGCCAAAATAAGTGTAGTGAACATGGAAACAGATTCTTTCAAAGAATTGTCACTTCCAATGTGCAGTACAATTATTGTACTGCACATTGGAAGTGACAGAGGATTCGTGTCGGATTCTGCACTAGTCTTCGAATGTAAAGGTACTGGAGATTATCACGAGTCAATGAATGCGAATACTTTTTGAAAAGTGGTTTCAAGAAACGCTACCTAAACTTGAGCCAAATTCTATAGTAGTTATGGATAATGCCAGCTACCACTCAAGACGTCAGGAGAAAACCCCAGTAACAAGTTGGAAAAAATATGACATTCAACAGTGGCTATCTTCAAAGGACATTTCTTTTGAGGACAATGACACAAAAGCTCAATTATTAGAAAAAATTAAAAATGTTAAACCTCAATATCAGTCCTACGTGATTGAGGAAATGGCGAAAGAAGCTGGTGTGGAGGTATTAAGATTACCTCCTTACCACTGCGAGTTAAATCCTATAGAGTTGGTTTGGGCAGATGTCAAAGGGTAGCAAGAAACAATACCACATTTAAGATGGTCGACGTGAAAAAAATTACTTCAAGAAGGATTAAATAGTATCACTATTAAAAAATGACAAGCCACGTCATAAAAGAAGAATTAAAATTTGGAGGACTGGATAGTCAAATACGAGGCGTGTATTTAAAGTAAGGTCTCCAAGGCCACCGTATCGCCGCAAGTAGCGCTAGGTGAAATCCGGCAACACTGTTGTATACGTGTGGCCCCCCTCCACAAGTCGACATCTGGGTGTCCTAACCATTAGGACGCTCATTCTCGACGTAGCAGCCGTTTGCGATGGAGTTACCGGTTGTCGCTCCCGCTAGGTGCGAGTTACGTTCAGTCATTAAGTTTTTACACGCAAAAAAAATTCCACCTATAGAAATTCATCGTCAATTGGAAGAAGTGTATGGTGAGAAATGTATGGATGTGAAAAATGTTCGAAAATGGTGTAGAGAATTTACTGCTGGCCGCCTAAACGTTCATGACGAGGAGCGCAGCGGCAGGCCGTCACACTCCGATGAAACAGTGCGGAAAGTTGAAGAGCTTGTGCTGAAAGATCGCAGGTTGACTCTCAATGAGTTGGCCGAAAAACTTCAAGATGTGTGCAGTAGAGACTCTATTCATTCAATTTTGGTGAATAATCTGCAATACCGTAAATTGTCAGCCAGGTGGGTCCCGAAAATGCTTACCCCGGAGCACAAAGTGAAACGTGTCCAATGTGCCCAAGACTTTCTCGCCAGTTTTGAAGAGGAAGGGGAAGAATTTCTCGATTCAATCGTTACAGGAGATGAAACATGGGCTCATTATTACACACCGGAAACGAAGGAGCAGTCGAAACAATGGAGACACACGCATTGGCCTAAAGTCAAAAAATTTAAGCAAGAAAAATCAGCAGGCAAGGTTATGGCCACCGTCTTTTGGGACAGAAAGGGTGTATTGCTGATCGATTTCATGCCTCGTGGAGCAACCATAAATGCTGATCGGTACTGTGAGACCTTGAGGAAACTTCGAAGAGCTATTCAAAATAAACGAAGAGTAATGCTGACCAAGGGAGTACGACTTCATCACGACAACGCGCGTCCTCATGTGGCCAACAAAACAACGTCGATCATTACGGAATTTGGTTGGGATGTGTTGGACCACCCTCCTTACAGTCCCGACGTCGCCCCTAGTGACTTCCACATGTTTCCTTCCCTGAAAAAACATCTAGGAGGAATGAAATTTGCGAATGATGAAGAGGTGCATGAAGCGGTCATTTCGTTACTGCGCGAGGCGGCGGGATCATGGTTCGAGGAGGGGATACAAAAGTTTGTCGTACGAATGAAGAAACTCATCGAAGTGAATGGCGATTATATAGAAAAATAGCTTAGATTTCAAGCTTTACAGCAATGTATTAAACTTTGTAAATACATGTTATTTAATGTGAAAAAAATAAATGGAGACCTTACTTTAAATACACGCCTCGTAGATAAAACGGTTGACTCTTTCATAATCAACGTATCTGGCGAAACACCTGATAGTTCATCAGAAACAGATTACTCTGACTAAAATTAAATGTTTATTTTTAAGAGTATTTCTGTTTTTTTTTTACCAAATCTTAGTCGCAAACATAATATTCCCTTTTTATAAATCCATCAAGCCGTTTAGTCTAAATAGCGAGCTAAACATTTAAATTTGGCGCCAAAATCCGCTATTTTGTTTTTAAAATTATGATATACCCAGTGTCACTATCACAGTATTTACGAATCTAACGACACCTCTCAAGCGAAAATCCATCAAGCCGTTCAGGCTGCAGAGCGTGCCAAAGAATTATACATATTAGGTTGGGGAAAAAGTCTTTTCGGATTATAGTATGTATGAACGTTGAGATTTTAAAGAAGATAATTCCAAAATCAAAATTAGGATAATGTCTGTTTTTAATTTATTTTTTGTACCAAACTCAAACTCAAACTCAAAATATCTTTATTCAAGTAGGTAACCAAGTACACTTTTGAATCGTCAAGTTAAATTAATCGTAAATTTACATTTACTACCAGTTCGCAAGTCAAGGGCGTAGAGCGGGTAAGAAGAACTGGCAAGAAACTTTCCGCCACTCTTTTTAATCGCCAAGTATTGTCATACAAATTGTTATACAAATTGTACCGTCAAGATGAGTGAATCTAATAAAGAAATTAACAGACAGACAGTAAACAGACAACTATCAATGACTTTTTTCTAATCAATGAACAAAATTGAGATTAAGCTACTATAACCACATTGTTAATTGTTTTTGATTATTAATGTAAGAAAAAAATTTTATTATCTATCTAATTGTTTTTAAATACATAGCAAATACATATAGTAATTTGATGAAAATGTGTTATCATTTATTAGTAGAAGTTGTTCGCTATAACAAGATGAGTACGTAATATTGAGGTGAATAAAAACTATTCTTTTACCTCTTTATAACGAATTTTAGACCAATCTAACCTCAACATAAACCTCAGTTCAACGAATTACTTGATATTACGAATATTTTCTTGTTCCCCTCCGATTTGTTATATCGAGGTTGCACTGTATAACGTGCAAGTGACTTTAAAGTGATCAAATAATGGCAAATGTCGAACAATTATTAAGTGTACTTATTGAGAAGAGCTCCAAATATAAATATAAACAAAAAAGCTTTGGAAAAGAAAGAACGAGGCTATTGCTCCGAAAAAAGTGTCGCTGTTGATGACGTTCGATTATCCGTTACCAATTGGGTCGACAATAAAGCAGTCAGTTTGTGTTCCTCCTATGTAGGCAAGGAACCAATGGGAGTAGTGAAAATATATTCCAAAACACATAAGTGTAGAGTTGATGTTCCTTGCCCAAAAGCAGTACTTGTTTATAATAAATACATGGGCGGTGTCGATGTACTAGATGGCATGTTAGGTTTCTATAAAAAGAAGGGCCTATATATCATTTGTGCTTTTCGTATTATTATTACTATTTTTATGTTTTTTTTGTACTTTACCTCTACTTATAAAAAGAAATTGAAGGTATTATTGAAAATCGGTATCGATTTGATGCTTAAAACTATTTATTTGATAGATAATAAAGTGTGTTCAAGAGAAGAAAACGGTTTCTTGCAAATTTTGAAGAACTTGAAAAAGTGGATAGAAGCGCATTTGCATCTATACCCCTCATGTGGCTTTTGGGCATCGGGAATATGTCCACTAAATCCGCATGAAGTTCTTAAGAAGATTCCTGAGATGCAAGAGGAAATATTGTCATTTGGAATCCACCATGTACTAGAGAATTATTTAAGAGAAACCAGGGCGCAAAAGCCTATGCAAGTACCGAGGATTAAAAAAGTTCATTGTGAGCCAGGAAAATCAGTGAGCATTAACAATTTAAATATTGATACTCGCAATAATGATGTAATAATAATGACTAGAAAGAAACAAAAAAGAAACGATGAATCTTTATATTTAGATGATCAAACTGGCCTTTATATTGATAGAAACAGGCACTTGACACTAAATCTCACTTACAAGAAAGAGGTTTCATTATTAATTTGACTATGTATTGGCATGTTGCTTGAAGCATCCTGGCAAGATTTATTAGTTCCAATTTTAAATTTCAAAGTACAGTAGAACTCCAATTATTCGAACTCCGACTATCCGAATCGCCGATTATCCGAAGTGCGCTATTATTCTTCCCCCCGCGAAGCCAGTGTTTGTGCGTGTACAATACTGTATTGTTTTTATACCATGGCTTCGAAAAGAAAACGTGTTGTGCTATCGTTAGCGGACAAACTGAAAATTATAGAGCAACTCGATAAAGGTGTAACGGGTAAGAAGTTGTCTGAGATTTATGGTGTTGGACAAGCAACAATTTCTGACATTAAAAACAGTAAGTCAACACTTTTAAACTTTGTTTCGGTGCTTGAAAATGAAGATGGAAGTTCCTCCAGGAAAACAATGAAGACAGCAACCAACAAAAATTTGGAAGATGCCGTGTTTAAATGGTTTTTGCAGCAACGTTCTATGGGAAATCCGATTTCAGGTCCAATCCTTTGTGAAAAAGCCAAAATCTTAGCAGAAAAGCTTGGTTATTCATCTTTTAAGGCTAGTAACGGCTGGCTAAGGAAATTTAAATTCAGGCATGGTGTACGCGAGTTAGATTTGGCTGGTGCGAAGCTTTCAGCAGACTCTGCAGCTGCTGAAAATTTTATTGAAAAATTTAAAACTGCATCAGAATCCTATGATCCGGAGTTTGTTTATAATGCCGATGAAACTGGCCTTGTTTGGAAAGCATTACCAAAAACCACTTTGGCTTCTAAAAGGGAATCTAGTGCCCCTGGACATAAGGTCAGTAAAGAACGTGTTACAGTGCTTAACTGTGCCAACTCCACTGGAAATCATAAACTGCCACTTCTTTTGATAGGAAAATCAAGAAATCCAAGAGCATTTAAAAACGTAAAAAAACTTCCACTCTTCTACAAAAGTCAACCCAAGGCCTGGATGACTGCAGCTTTGTTTACCGAATGGTATGATGAAGTGTTTATTCCTGAAGTGAAAAAGCACCAAAAATCGGTGGGAAAAGAAGGCAGTAAGGTGCTTTTAAGGCAAAACAGCTTACATTGACGGAGATATTTAAAAAACAATAATTTTTATTTCTAAACTTGTACATAAGTACATTTTATTTATATTTAAAACATGTGATAATTTCACGTTTCTTTCATTTAATTCAATAAAAAAATAGTGCAATATCAAAACGTAGCTTTTATTCTCTCCAATGGCAATTTTTTTTTTTATAATCCGACTATCCGAATATTTGATTATCCGAATGGGTCCCGGTCCCCATTAATTCGGATAATTGGAGTTCTACTGTAACAGAAGAAAACTAATGATTACTGTAAAGTAGCTATACTAATTTCGCTAATAGGTGAATTGATTTTTTACTGATTTCACAACTTTTTGGATATAATCTGTAAAAATAATAGTTTAATTCTTCTTTGTTAAAAGTAAATTTTTGCCCATTGTCAAATAAATCGTTAACAGGTAGATTAACAACCACAATATTTCAAAATGGGTTTCATAAGTGGGGAGTAATTACATGGATTCCTAATGAAATGTGCTGTGTTGAATAGCTGCTGTGAAATCAACTGAATTAAAACAGATATGACAACTTGTGCAAACCAGGAAATAAAGACAAAACATTATCAACAGGCATACCATAAAACCAAAAACTTCCCCCAAGACAGATGGCCATTGTCAGAGAACACACATCCTCCAACTTTAGATTAAAGAATAACAATAATAATAAAACTATTTTTAAAAGCATTAAGAAATATACCAAAAACAACCAAAAGAAGGTTACTTTAAACATCATATCATAAGAAAATACCAATAGAAGAATTAGTCAAAGCAAAGATTTAATTCAACTTGGGACTCACACCAGACAAAAACATAGTTTATTTGTACATTTAACACAAAGACACTGAGAACAGAAGAAAGCTTACAAGAACTGGATTTAGCTTTACAAAATCTGAAGTGGGACATATTAGGCATCAGTGAAATGAAAGACAGGGAGGAGTGAAAATAGAAGAGACAAGACTGTCATTTACAATAAAGTAGGAACAACACGAGGCAAGAGTTGCAAGAGACAAAGTTCAATGGTGAACGTTGGAGGAGGCCTTTGCCAAACAGTACACAGAAATAAGAGATTTAATTTAATACTATATGTATTTTCTATTTCTGTAAATAAATATAATTTCCTTTTTTTAATATACATATTAATTTATCTATTGTTTTACATTATGTTCTCGTTTATTTCAGTTAATCGATTTCTAAATGGTTAATGATAGGCACATATGGGAATGGCTAGAGGAGTTGCCCAAAGACAACCAGGATGTTGCTGATTCTGTTTTGGAATAAGAATAAGGTAACAATAATAATTGTGGAGTGCAATTTGAAGTGCTCGAAGATGGTAATAATATATATTTTCTGTCCTTGGCCAAAAGATGCCCTCTGGCATACAAACATAATTTTTTATCAATACGATGAATTAGTAGCAGCACTTGAAGAATTTACCCAAACGCACTCTAAAGCTGTCCTTACATTGACCAGAGAAGACTCAGTAAGTTGCATCAGTCCATCACTTAAGAGCAGCAACTATCTGTATTGCCACCTAGTAAGAATGACAGTCCCAGCCAAGTGTTATAAATTTGTTCATCAACAACACTTATGGGGCTACTGCGTTGAATGCAGAACGGAAGAATATTATACGTCTGGTTTTTATAACAATGATCTCGAGTAAATAAAAATAGTTTTATGGGTAGATGGATGTTATATTTTGTTGAAAATTGTGTTTTAAATATGTAGTTATGTTTTAAAATTGTATAACTCTTTTATTTCTTACCCTCCTTTCAAAAATTTTTTGGGGTTGCTTGAGACGCCATGGAACTAATTGTATGATCGTTTTAAGGCTCCTAATAACAGGCACACTTTTGCCCATACTTTGTTTCAAAGCGGAATTTTTCTTGCCGCAGTAATTCTACTAAACATTTTCCTTAGCTTGTTGACCTATTACTAAAAACAGGATAATAGAGAGATCAGGGAACTGAGGACGACATGACGCGGCGTCCGGCGAGTTTTTTTTTTTTTTTTTTTTTTTTTATAGCCTCACGCAGAGCGTATTGCCACAGACAAAGGTAAGGAAAACGGAATAGTAAAGAAAAATAATTTTACACCGAATGAACATTACATCGATAAAGGATAGGATCAGCAGGATATAAAACTATCTCTAATACAAAGAACTACATTATGGAAAGGAACCGTAATTAATAAAATATATATCATACAAAATACGATTTGTATACATATGTATGTACATATTTATAATTTTATATTATTTAGAGTAATCCGGCGAGCTAAGTGCTAACTAGTAACTAGGGATGTGAAAAAATAATCGATTTTAATCGATTTTTTTAAAAGTTAAAATCGATTTTTTTACGCGATTTTTATATTTAAAATAATCGATTATTAATCGATTATTTTTATAATTGAAAATCAATCATAATCGATTTTTTATCTGCCACCTCCCGACATTATGTCTGGTCTTTTATAACCCGGACCTCGAACTATTAGGGATATTCGATACACAACGATGTTTACAATGCGATACATTGAATCGGATTCTTTGAAGATGTATTGATATACTCGATACATTGATGTTTTTTTGTAAAACATCAAAAGGATGATAAAAGCAGTTAATTTTACAAAAACTCAAGTTTGAATGGAACACAATAATTTAAAAGTAAAATAAATTTATTCAGCAGCACAAGATTACTTACAATAAAAAAGACAACAAAAATACTGCAATGTGCTACTGAAAAGGTATACACCCAGCATATTTTATCAAATTTCACCTAAAATCTATCAAAACGAGATTAAGATAATTTCCATTTTGATTATTCTTTAACGTTAATTTGTGTTTATAATTTCTATTGTTTATTTTTAATTAAAAAAACCATTAAAACTAAAATATTTAGGGTGTTTATTTTGAAATAAATTCAAAAATTAGGAAAAAATCGATTAATAAAAAAATCGATTGTTTTTTAAGAACAATCGATTATTTATTAATCGATTTTTGATGCTAAAAAAATATTTTTTATGCTTTTTTATGCAGAATGTCACATCCCTATATTTGACACTGCACCGATAGCCCAGGGCTGCCAGATGTAAAAAAGCATGATCGTACATCAACTACAAAAAAATTGTATTCCAAGAATTTTGAAATGAAAAGGTCATACAACATAAAAGTGGAAACTTTTTATTTAAAATGACTGGCTGCCTTTTCCTTAAAGAGTGTAAATTTAAAACAAATTATCGACGACAACGAATAAATATTTTTTTACATGTAATAATACTTTTATTTTATATTTTTTACTTTATATAACATGGCTATGAACGTACTAAAATAATTATTTTATTGGATATCTTTAAAGATCGCAATCGATTACAGTGGACTTTCAATGCATCTGGCAAGGTGTAAAAACCATTAAAACTGTCTGACTATAGAGGTAACATTTTTTCATAGGTCCCCAAGTAAAAGCTCAAAAAGTGTCGCGTAATTTTCAAATCTGAACAGCCTGCCTATTTTTAAAATGATGGACATATACAGGTTATAAATACAATACATCTGATGTCCATGCTCTGTGGTTTTACCTGTGGCTCTATTGGATCTGTGTTGTATATTTACCAATTACCTTTTCTTGGTCTTGGTCTGCGGTTGTAGACGCTAGCCACTAGCAGGACTTTATTTATATGTCATATGTTAATTTAAGTTTTTAAGTACCTACTAGTTCTTAGAATGTTAAGGGATATTTTTAACAAAAACAAATCATAATAATACCGCTATGTAACACAAATGTAAAATAAAATATTAAAATGGTATCTAAAGAAGTTAGTACCTGGATGATTGCGAAAGACTTGTGTAGATGCTGTCATGCTGAAGGAGATTTTTTCAATTTGGCGACGCCTAATACATTTAAAGATCGAGAAGAAATATACTCCGATATGTTAAGAACCTGTTTTGATATAGAGGTAATTTCCCGCTTACATGATTTAATACAAGCATTAAATTTTAAAAATCTGGTACTACTAAAAAACATATATTGTTTTGATTAACTTTATTGATTTCTTATATTTTACCTTTATTGAAAATTACGTTTATTAAGTTTTATATATATATATATACATTCACAAACGATCTTATATTACACATCCTATATGGTTCAAATAGTTCTTGTCTAACATAGTCTATATATTTTCCCTAAAGGATCAACTTTTCATTAGGTTACATGAATTTGGATTAATATTTTTTATTCATGTTATTCAATGCTGCTATTTTTTTATTTCTTTTTTAATTAATTAATTTATTTATTCCACATCATTATTCTATCTTTACAGTTATTACTAATTGGTGGAACTACACAATAATTATACCCACACCTATTAACCTACATAATAAACATTAAAAAGAATATTATATATTGGAAGCAACTCTTGTGAACTCAGCCAGTGTACACACAAATAGGTGTACCTCAACAGAAATTCTATTTATTATATGTATAGCCGGCTTGCGCTTCGCTAACCAAGTTGGAATGTGCGTGCGGTACATCCAAAAGTTGAGATTTCCGCCTCAGGTTTTTACCAAACTTTTAACTTAAAATGTCAAGCCATAGACTTCAAGGTACAAAATGAAGAACAACAATATGTGCGAAGTCCTTATATTGTATGTTTTTGTCAGAATAGGTCTCAACATACACTGTTTAATAAATATTAATTTTAAGTATAAATTTTGAATCCTAAATTTAATAAGAAATAATATAAGTAAATATGTATAAATAATGTATATATTTTGAATGTAAGCAATAGGTGTTAGGTTACATTAACTAAGTTGCTAATAAAATATATCCAACTAGAGGTGTCTGAAAATAAGACTGACAATTTAAAGACGCTATTATTGCTTTTGTCCCACTACAAACTATATTTATTGGATAAATGCCTTCTCCAAAGTTGCACATTAGTCTTGATTTTTTATTTATTTCTACCGTTTTTTGCTAGATTTTGGATAATACTCTTTATGATATTCAATTTTAGATTGATCCTGTGCCAGGAGGTCTCTGTATTCCAACATACTCAATATGTTCAAAATGTGTTGTGAAGTTACGGGAAGCAATTATTTTCAAAGAGCAAGTGTTAAAATGTGAAGAAAAATTCTATGAATTATTAACATCTTCATCAATTGCTGGTAAATATTAACTAGAGTTTTTAGAAATATTGCCACTGTGAATGAGTGACTTGGCCTATAACTGGCTTGGGTTTTTATTGGCAACGCAATAATTTCGGATGTGTACATTGAATTGGTTGTGTAAATTTTTTAAATATTATATAGAATTATATACACTGTATTAAGTGATTATAAAAAAAAAGGCACTAAGGGATAATTTTAGAACCATATTATGTTTTTAGTCTTAAAATCTCACACCTAGGCATACCTACAGTCAAGGAGGACATAAAAGTATACGCTCAGAAGTACAAGACTAGGCTGGAAAATCATCCTAACCACCTACCTGTTCAACTCACCCTACCGGAGTATATAAACCGACTCAAAAGACAAAGAACCCTTGAGCTCAGCAGCATTGACTGAGCGAATATTATTATGGTCGATATTCCTAATGAGGAATATCTCCACCCGCAAATCATCCTACAACTCATCTGCTCATAGTCAGAAGATTGATTGCACGATGTGCTCTATTAAAAAAAAAACTCTTAAAATCTTATTATTACATTTCAGTGTCGACCCAAATTAAAAAGGAACCTGAAATGGATAGCGAAGGTATTTATTCCTTATATCTCTGATTAATCTTATGTATATTAATTATAGCAATAGTATAAATGATCCTTGATTTGATGCCTGGCAAATAATTGTTTTGGCTTGGTACAGAATGTAAATTTACTTGATGAAAACTATAACAAAATTAGAAATATCACTAGTTATATATGCTCACACATTTACTAGAGACTTAAGCATGAACTTTATGTTTAATGCTAAAGATTATCATATGCTCATCTTAAAAGACTAATAGTGGTATTTGTCTTCTTGTGAAATATGTATATGTATACATATGTAAACATAATAAAAAAATTTAGTTGGTTAAAAGTATATAAGTTGGTATGTATGTATACTAGGTTATAATTTTTGTAAAATGCAAACCGATTTGCACCAGTCTATCGAAGTAATTTAAAACATCAAACCATCTTTAAATACTCATCACCATTTTTTATTAGATACATATTATCTGATATCTCTATCTAGCTTTAATAGGCTGTAAGTAATGTTATTGGACACTTTCTTATGCGAGCGTTCAAGTATTACGTCACGCATTTTTTGGAGATTATTGACCCCCCCTGTAACGCCCTGTAACTCTGACTGACTCTTTATACGTAAAAGTTACCATTATGTGGTGTAAAGTACTGGAAAGTCGAAAATAATATTTACAATAACGCGTAATTCAATCCCCGCCCCGCATTGTAACGTTTTACAAAGCCTCCCCCCCCAAATTCGTTTCGACTGCAACCAAAGTACAAGTGTGTCCTTTTAGTTACTGAGAAATTTGTCGGCAAACACACAATACACACATCTGGAAGCTTGATAGAAATCTCGAACACACAAATATACTGGCAAAATATTATGGAACAAAACAACTATTTACTAGTATTGCAGAAAATTAATTAAATATTTGGCCTTAATAATTGAGTAGGCTAGATTGTAATTCATATAAAGTCCTTTTGTGAACTTTATAGTTAGGATGAAACAATATTAATAATACTATGGTACAATTATATCTTTTACCTACTGCGTACTTTGAAGTCAGTTTGATATTACCTCTAATGCTATATTACAATAATTTTAGATTACAATGATGATATGGGTGATGATTTAGATGACGAAATGGATGATTATATAGATGATATGGACAATGACACCGACACAATTGACACAGATTTAAAACTCGAACCAGGGGAACATCAGATTGAAGGTATTTTATGTAGCTTCTTCATAATTACAATTAAAATCAATTATTAGAATTATAATTAAAATCAATTATTATAATTAAAATCAATTATTATAATTAAAATCAATTATTATAATTATAATTAAAATCAATTATTATAATTATAATTAAAATCAATTATTATAATTAAAATATTTAAAAATGGGGCGTTAGTGCCTGTTTTGTTGAGGGTTTCAAGATCCCCCATCAAGTCCCCCACTTATACACTGCGCAAGTTTTAAACAACCATAGACTAGTAGATCTTTTGTCTATAGTATTAAAAAAAAACAATGGCGCTACAACCTTTTTAGGGGCTCAGATTTATGTATCTGTTTCATGATCATAAGTCAATCTAATAGGTAAGTAGGTGATCAGTCTCCTGTGCCTGACACACGCCCTCGACTTTTTGGGTCTAAGGCAAGCCAGTTTTCTTACTATGTTTTCCTTCACTGTTCGAGTGAATGTTAATTGCGCACAGAGAATGAAACTACATTGGTGCACAGCCGGTGATCGAACCTATGAGTCGCTCGCTGAAGCCACTAGGCCAACACTCCTCAGTCGTCTATAGTATAGGTTAGGTGTGCCTCTATCATCCCTGAGTTGTAGGTTCGAGCCCCGGCTGTGAACTATGGATTTTCTATGTGCGTTTTAAACACTCGCTCGTACGGTGAAAGAAAACATCGTAAGGAAATGCTCACAAAGTCGACAGCGTGTGTCAGGCACATATGATTGATCAGCTAATTGCCTATTACAATGATTACGAAAGAGATTTAACTCTGAGTTCCAGAACTAAAAGGTTTTTAAATAATCAGTCTGTGATATGTCGATTTTTGGATCTGACATACCGATTTGTTTAACTGTGTGTTTATAAAACGCAACTTTTTTTTTCTTTTAAGAACACCTAAAAAGACCACTTAGATCAAGAATTCAAAAGACAACGGAAGTGACTAAGATTAAAGCAGCGCAGGAGCCAAAACCAAAACCGAAGCCGAAACCGAAAAAGCCGCCGAAAGAAAAGGCAGTGAAAAAAGAAGAGAAGAAAGTAAAGAAGGAAAGAAAGAAAGAAGATAACACAGAGAGAAAAGGTTAGTTTAGTTATTTTGTTTTATTTCAAAATGGCGCTTGCGTGACGGGAGAAAATATCGCCAATAAATGGTAAATAAAGTATTAATTTTAAATGTTGTGTATTATCCCCAAAAAATACAAAAAAATATTCAAGTCAAACATATATCCAACTTATATACAAATATACATATATAAAAATATGTATATCTTAGAATTTTAAATCTAACGTTCGAAAGGGTTCTAGAAAAATACCTATTTAAAAAAAATAAAGTTTATCATTTCATTCAATGTCTGAAGTAAGCGCCATTTTGGATTCTTTTGCTATAATTACATATAGTATAGACACGGGTCAGCCCTGCGATTCTGTAACTCACTTTTCGAACTAACACAGCGGTTTTCGCATCGCAATAAACAATAAACTACAAGCTCCCACCTTTTCAGAATGCCAAATCATAAAATGACTGCTTCACGACTGATTTGAGAGCGACCGCCGATGCAAAAACCGCTGTGTGAGTTCGAAAAGTGAGTTACAGAATCGCAGGGCAGTTAGCAAACGTTATGCCATATAAATTATTTTACTATTAATTGGGGGTTACTTGGTAGGAGGGTAATGTGTCTTCAATGCCAAATCGATCGGAAATGGAAGGAGTTTCTGTCAAGCTTTCTCTAACACGAGAATTTTAGAAATTTTAAATGGCGAGTTTATGAATGGTGGGATGTGGTTTCTTACGCGTTAATTCGCAAAGTAATATGAACCGAAACAATGTTCGGTTCGAACCATTTGTTCCTGAAATAAGTTCTTTAAAATAAACTCTTTATCTATGTATTATCATGTAATTTACGAACTATAGTCCTTTTCATGAAAGAAGTCCCCCAGACGCAGCGCTGTAATCGCATGACGTAATGTTGCCATTTATGAGTAAAAAATTTACCTATTTTACATTTAGCAAATTTAATTAATCAAATAATACTATTTTCTGCATACTTATATGAAATTTTTTTTTTGTTATGTAAAATTATATTTTTATTTACTTATATAAGCCGTGTTCTACCTACTTACAGGGATAAGATGAGAAAATAGGGTAAAGAAAAGCAATACAATTTTTTATTCAGAGTTTTATTGAATAATTTTAGATCAGCGGCCATAGGAACATCACTGTATGAAGAGTGAATGGAAACAGAATCAGATTCTGTTTCAGTATCACTAGCCGTAGATATAATTGTTCTTTTTTTATATTGATACTCTTCCCCGGGGTGACAATTTATTTCAAAGTACTCGCCGCTATTATACCTTCATTTATAATTCTTGTTACAGCAATGGTAACCTACAATTAAATAAAAAATAATAGTAACTTTTATTTTATAATGCTTATGTATCTATGTAATATATGTTTTAATTTCAGTTTCCTAGTTTCATTCGTTATGTATTTGTTCAATTTTGAATTTATATCATAAAAGTCCCATCAATACAGCAAAAAATTATTATGTGGCAACTCTAAAAAGTACCTGTTATGGCGGCGAACATTGTTTAGTGGTATTAAAACACCTTGATTCTTTTGTTCCGCTTCACAGAACTCTGTCAATTTCAATATCATTTCTCGAGCCGAAATTTTTACAACTTTTGGCATTGTAAACAATCTTTAAAATGCACTAAGCTAGTTAAAAACTCACAAAAATCTACCACAACAAACGAACTTGATAACAACGACGAATGACAACATGGCCGACCTGTCAAATTTAGTTCCAAAAATCTCCGCGGGACTTCTTTCATGAAAAGGACTATAAATGCATATTTCAACTATCAAATTAACTAGGTGAGAAATATTTCTTTGTCATGTAACTTTAAACAGTCAAATGTCATAATTGACAGATGACAAATGACACTTGATAAAAAATTTAAATCGATGAAATCTTTATCTATTTATAAAAACGAACGGTGTTAAGAGTATAACAACATCAATTTTGTATACATTTTCGATAAAAATATGAGATATTTATTGAAAAATAACCTTAAATAAGATAATAAATAATACTGAATAATAAAAAAGTTATTATACGCGCGGGTACGGTTACTGCGTGGGCTCACTATCTTTATAGTACTAAACCAGTACGATAATATCTTAATATATATAAATTACGTGTCACGTTGTTTGTCCGCTATGGACTCCTAAACTACCGAACCGATATTAATCAAATTTGCACACCGTGTGCAGTTTGATCTAACTTAAAAGAAATGATAACTTACATCTCAATTTATATCCGCAATATTATTTTATTGCAAATATTTGTTTATTATTTGATACAATTCTGTGGGTCAAGATTTTTGAACGTCACTTGAACTTTCATATAAATAAAAAAATATTAAAACAAAAATAAAAATGGCCTTTATTCAAGTACAATGTTTAACATTAGAACACGACCTCCGACGGACCTAATCCTCGCCACCATTTTCCAATCCTTCCTATCAATATAATTGTATAGGCAAAAGGATATAACTTACTGGACGTATTCTTAGTGGGACCACTTGTCATAGTTTTATTTTGTCATTCATCTTGTGGTGTTTCATATACAGATAGCGTATTCAGGCCGATTCACATGTATCAGTAAATCCACAGTTCCGACACAGTGCGAAATATTCTTATGAATGTATGAACATTCTCTATGAACGCATCTCCACTTGTCAGTGTCAATGTCAACTAATCCTTTGTATAATGTGATGAATTCTCCTTCCGTCTCTCTTAAAGCATGGCAATGCTTCATGCACTCATTTTCTTTATTTTCCTTGATGCTGCTCTTCTTCGTCTAAAGCAAGAGCTATCATTGCTAGCTCCGTAGTATTGAACAGAGCCATAATCACGTTACTTGACGACGGACACGTTTTCGCTGAAGCTCCGTAAACTGAGTACTGCCCTGCGATTCTGTATCTCACTTTTCGAACTCACACAGCGGTTTTCGCATTGGCGGTTGCTCTGAAATCAGTCGTGAAGCAGTCATTTTATGATTTGGCATTCTGAAAAGGTGGGAGCTTGTAGTTTATTGTTTATCAGAATGCCAAATCATAAAATGACTGCTTCACGACTGATTTCAGAGCGACCGCCGATGCGTAAACCGCTGTGTGAGTTCGAAAAGTGAGTTACAGAATCGCAGGGCTGACATGTGTGAATTGAAAGACTGACGCAATACTGTATCACTGATAACTGAACTGAGCGGACACGTTGACAGAAAAGCTAGACTGATATATGTGAATCGGCCTTTAGTGTTAAATAATATACACTTTTAATTACATTAAAATACTTAACATAATGTCCTTTGTGGGTATGAAAGATATATTTGAAAATTGCACTTTACCCATTGTGTGCATATATGTGACAAGTTTCATCGAAAGCGATATTAAAGTGAAATATAAATCTCTTAAATTAAATAAATATAAAGTTCTTAAAATTGTGCTTAGTTTGAAACGCCTAATAAGGTGATTGATGAAAATTGTTTTAAGTATTTATAAAGCTTTATACGGTCCAAAGTGAGCAGTGTTGGCCTAGTGGCTTCAGCGTGCGACTCTCATCCCTGAGGTCGTAGGTGCTATCCCCGGCTGTGCACCAATGGACTTACCGAAACCGACATGTCTTAGACCCAAAAAGTCGACGGCGTGTGTCAGGCACAGGAGGCTGATCACCTACTTGCCTATTAGATTGACATATCATGGAACAGATTCAGAAATCTGAGGCCTATAGAGGCTGTAGCGCCATTGATTTCTTTATTTATTTATTTGCTTAACGGTATTTCTACAGCTACTTACGAGTACTATACTCGTAAGTAGTCACAATATTCAAAAAATTACACTATACACAAGCCAAAAACGGAATACACATTTAAACACACACAAAGCACAGTTACACCTATACGAATACAAAAAATACAAAAAAAAATATATATAAAGAATATATGTATTTATAATAAATTCTAAATTCTAACATTCATAGTTCATGAGGAATAACAAAGCCATTCTATCTAATAAAGGATAATAGAGTTTTTATATAATTTCTTAAGCATTCTTTAGATACATTAAATATATCTATTTGCTGGTAATTTCTGTTATAATCTGAAGGTATACGATACATGACTGAGTTACGTAAATAGTTAATAGTTTGTATTAGACCGAGGAATTTTAAATAGTTGGGCTTGCCCGGATTTATACGGTCCAAGACTTCGATAAGATTTAAGTCGGGATAAGTCATGCTAAAAATATCTTGTATATGGCATACGGAAGTCATACAGCTCAGTCTCGACTCTGTCACTTACCCTGTAAATGAAATACATTAAAACCAGATTAGTACGCCCCTCTTTTATTACTGTTACTAGCAACCCGCCCCGGATTCGCACGGGTGCAATGCTGATACTAAATTCAAAGTACTATAGGGAGAACCGCGGCCTCCGACGCCGGCCGGTACCGCCGCAGACGCTACGTCCCGCAATTTTGGAAAATACTCATTTAAATCATATGCTGTAAAGAGCCATATATATCTATATTAAATCATCAATGTTTTTAAGGTATTTAATTGGATAAGGATTGATGCTGTATTGGTTAAAATCGCTTCGAAAATTAGCCATTATTTGTCGTAAAAAGTAAACGACAAAAAAATGTTATTGTGGGCTATCCATAAGGGATAGACATATACTATCGCGGAGTTTTCTGTAGACCTCAATGTGTAGGATATTTAGTACATTATTTTTATAAATCTCGTAGGGTTCAGCCTGCGTTTGCAATGTAAGCGGAAAAAATGTAATTATTTAAGACATCACATTAGAAACCTCAAAAATAACAGTATTTCTTCACTATTTTATAGATGTTATTATACATATAAACCTTCCTCTTCAATCAACTCTATCTATTAAAAAAACCGCATCAAAATCCGTTGCGTAGTTTTAAAGATTTAAGCATACATAGGGATATAGGGGCAGAGAAAGTGACTTTGTTTTATACTATGTATTGATTAACCAGAATTAGGCTGAAATATATTAGCGCTCAGTATAAGACTATTATATCGTCTGGAAACTATTTAAAAGAAATTCTGTTCAAATGATTAGAAGATCGAAGCCTGTGAAGAAGATTAACAGAATTTTCTCTTTTAGGCACGAAGCCAAAGTTCTCCCTCCGGCCGGGCGATTTTACATACAATAATGGGACCTATACCTGCACCCTGTGCGACACCCCATACAGCGCAATCCAATCCTTGAGGTATCACATCCGCTCGAAACACTACAAGCTACCGAAATATAAATGCCAATATTGCGACCAGGAGTTTATGACGCTACCACCATTTGTGGTGCACAAACTGAACGATCATAATGTAGACGAGCGATATGAGTGTACCGCATGCCAGAGTAAGTTCAACGCGCCGAGTCAGTTACGGAAGCATATAAATGGGTTTCACATGCTGGGGGAGAAATACAAGTGCGATTCGTGTGATTATGAGACGTTCAGTTTCGAAACGTTGTATAAACACAAGTTTAAGCATAAGACGGTGAAGGACTACCATTGTAGGTTCTGTAAGAAGGCATTCTTGAGAAAGGCGACGTTGGAACTGCATGAGAGGATACACACGGGGGACAGAAGGAAAGTCTGTAAAATATGTGGGCAGGCGTTTGTTCAGAAGGCCAGTTTGAATTATCACATGACGAAGTATCATCCGAATGTGAACTTTTAGAATAATTTAATTAGCAAATTATTTGTACATCTTAGGTGATTCTCGTGAGATTTAAAGAAATAACATTAATATGAACAAGACATCACGGAGTTGGCGAAATGTTTTGACAGGAGTCACATCACAATATCATCATATAGTTATTTATTTCTTTAATTAAATACATCACAATGTCAGCTAATTGTTTTTTCATGAGAAGATAGAAGAGACCAATCGCAATATCATATAGAATTAATTCAAATTTAAAATTTGATGGTTCTATAAAAAAAATTGAAGTAAGTAACTTTATATATTTTGAGGGTACTCACAATTTTCAATTGTTTCTATTATTTGAACAAAACTAATTATGTTTATTATGAAATTTATATCGTATTATAAAAATGAATATAAGCAGAATGATTTTTATTGTAAGCCGAGCCCCTTTAAAAGAAGTTATAAACCTAAACTGTCCTCATGACTCGTTCTAGATATTGACTTGTTTTTACACGCTTTATATTAGCTTCACCTGTATGTATGTATGTAACCGACTCCTTCGGACTCGATTTTGACCCACTTTAAACGGACAGATTTAATTCAAACTTTGTACACTTATAAAGAAAATTCCACAAAGCAATACGGTTTAATTGAGACAACACGTATTGCTGCTAGGACTAAAAAGTTGAAAATAAATATAGTTTAAAAAAACTAAAAACGCTTTTTCACAATAATACCAGTATTTTTTGTTCATTACCATTTTCAGCCTAAATTAGGAATTATTTTTCACTTTTTAGTTTGATGTGCTTTAGTTTTTTTAAACTATGCTGAAAAAGTAAGATATATGCTGTCGCTTTTGTAGCCATTATCAAGCTCTACAACTTCTAGAACTCAATCATATATCTCTCATCGTTAAGGCAGCGTACTCATCGTCTTTATCATCAATACCGACTTACAGGATTTCGTTTCTTATTAAATCCTTTTTTTTTAAGACTTTTTAGTTCCACGGCCTAACAGTTACTGTACAAGGGTTTTTAAAGTCAAGGTGCTTTTATAGCGTGACCGAATATTTAGAACATAAGTTTAACAATTACTCATAAATGACTTGACTTCTTATTATAACATTTGCATGCCTATTTATATATGGCTGATTGTGCGGACTTTTCTTGTTGTTCGATTTTTTTTATTTTGTACCACTATCTTGGCAAATAAAGGATTTATTTATTTATTTAAGGACTACCGCAAAAAAGTACATCTTGTTTCAATGTTATGGGTTCATATATATCGTCACCCACACAAATAAGGGAGCGTTCAAGTTATAAGTAATTTTTCTGGGGGGTGTAAAATGTTATTATGCGGGGCGGGGATTGCATTACGTTATTGTTAATATTATTTTCGACTTTCCGGTTCTTTACACCACATAAATGGTAACTTTTAACTATTGGGTACAGAAAAACGTTACGGCGCGTTACGTGGGGCGGTCAAGAATCTTCAAAAATTGCGTGACGTAATACTTGAGTGTTTGTATATAATATATATATAATATCTTATATCCCTAAGTGGTTTTGTATTAAATAGTAGTTTGTATTAAAAGAATATTTAAAATATGTTCCATTGATCCAGAGATTACCCATTACAATCTCACAAACTTTAACTGAAAATATTAGTGTCGATACCGAACACGATGCCAAATTACTGACCAACCATAATATTAGTATAGCATGGCTTTATCACACCAAAACGCCTTAAAGAATTTTTAAACATTATAATATAGTTCATACGAATTAATATATTTATAGTATAAATATGGAAATGTATCTCATAGACAGTAGCGAAAATCTCACAGTGGTGGTGGTGTCCGTTTGGCGATGTCAAGATATACGAAGCAACAAAAATAATGAATATTAAACAAACGTACATATATTACACAAAAAATACGTAGCATTTTATTTTTTATTGCCTTCAAACGGGTCAAATGTGTCCCTGTTTCGATGGAGAACTTTTTAGTAGCAACACTTATGAATTGTCAGAATTCTGGAGGTTGGCGGTCAGCTCGTCATACTTCTTATTCGTCGCCAAGCGCATCAGCTGTTCTACAATGGCCACTCCCGTCCATTCTCTGAATTCATCCAGAATTCTAAGGAATGAAAAATCATAGTATACATCCTTACACAGTAGTTTTCTCACAGTAAAATCTGTTACGCCTCACATAAACCACAGAACTTATTTTCATAAAAGCGTAGACGGACTATGGTATAGACCAGGCATCAGCGTACAGCGTGTGAGATAGCGAATGATCGACATATGTCATATTTACAGTTTTAATTCATTGAAGATTGTTTATTATTGACCAAAATACACATTCGAATTAATAATTCTTGAACAAAGTTACTGAGTCGTGACAAAATAAGCTACTTACCGATGAAAGGTTATGTTTGGTTCTTTACGTTCACTATAGCTTTTACAGCCAATTATGCAACAATTCACCATGACTGACACTTTAAATACACCTCTTATAAGGATAAAGTCTTAAAATATGGATTTGACTTGGGTTTCACCGATTTATCAGTAAGCGGTGAAAACTTGTTTACTACCAAGGGCTCGGTGGTAAACAAATAAAACCCGATACGCAAATAGAGACAGAAAAACTGATACTCTGTTTCGCTCGCACTTAAGTATTTCACGTTAATGCCTTCTCTCTTTAGTTATCATTGTAATTTTAAAAGCTCATCTAGTTCTATACTCTATCTACGGTTAAAAGGAAACCAAGAAACTTACTCGAATATTTTTATATTACCAGATTGTTGCCAAGAAAACGAGATTTACATGCTTTTCTCTTTTAGGCTCTAGAAGAATCCTCCAACCGAGCGATTATTCATACAATGATGGAATCTATTCATGCACCAGATGTGTCAAGCAAAGTGAATATAGAGGAACGCTCATTAGACATATTTACGTGAAACACTACCCGAAGTATAAGTGTCTAGAGTGCGATGTTGCATTTAGAATCCAAGACCATTTAACACAACATAGACTTGAAGCACATAATATTGATGAGAGACCTGAATGCTCGGTGTGCTCAATGAAATGTAGCTCGAAGCGTCATTTGAATGTACATTTGACAGAACACCATATGCTGGGAAAGCTGCATAAATGCCAAGACTGCGGTTATAAAGCGTTTAGTTCAAGAACTTTACTCAGACATCGGATCAAGCATAAGAAGGTAAAGGATTTCATGTGTAGGTTGCTGCAAGTTTTTGAGAAAAGGGACTTTGCAGTTCCATGAGAGGATACATACGGGGGACAAGAGGAAAGTGTGTAAGGTGTGTGAGAAGGCGTTCGTGCAGAAGGCCAGTTTGAATTATCATATGACGAAGTATCATCCGAATGTGGACTTCTAGTAGCAGGGGTCGGCAATGTTTAGATGTGGTCCAGAAAATTTTAACGAGAAAAAAGTAACTTTTTATTTTTGCTCTGAAACAACACACATGTTACAAGGACAATCAGATATTTATGATAATATGTCGTAGAAAACATATATACGTGTGAAAAACAATGAGAACTTAAGCGACCGATTGAGAGAGTGAGGGCGAATTACCTTATAGAAGTTCTATTGTTAAAATTATAATTTCGTAGAGAGATTTTTTTTTTTGACAATTCACACCAATTGACCTAGTCCCATGCTAAGCTGGTGAAGCTTGTGTTATGGGTACTACGCAACGGATATACATACATATTATAGATAGACATATAAATACATATTTAAACACCCAAGACCTAAGCACAACACCAAATGCTCATCACATCGATGTTTGTCTCAGACGGGGATCGAACCCGGGACCCATGGATTCGCAGTCAGGGGTACTAACCACTAGACCAATGAGCCGTCAAGTCTATGAAGTACCTATTTTATATTTTATGCAAAATAATTTATTAAAATCCCAAAAGCCGAATTGTAAATGAAAATGCCACGTGTTTTTTATTATCAAAGAAATAAATTTAAAAAATTACATTTATAATTTGTATTAATCGACACTCAATATTTTGATGACAATTAAATTCATGAAATTCCTAACATATCTTCCTTTTTCCCTACCTCTTAAGTCTCGGAAATCTAAAGTTTTAGATTTGTATAAATATGAATAAGACTTAAAAATTGGTTTGCCAAAGAAGTTTCACTTGTGACATCAGCCCTGCGATTCTGTAACTCACTTTTCGAACTCACACAGCGGTTTTCGCATCGGCGGCCGCTCTCAAATCAGTCTTGAAGCAGTCATTTTATGATTTGGCATTCTGAAAAGGTGGGAGCTTGTAGTTTATTGATTATTAGAATGCCAAATCATAAAATGACTGCTTCACGACTGATTTGAGAGCGACCGCCGATGCGAAAACCGCTGAGTGAGTTCGAAAAGTGAGTTACAGAATCGCAGGGCTGTACTTTGTACGCACGCACGTTTTAATTCGACATAAATAGACTTTTGACTGCTAGTAAAACCTGAAAAATTACCTACCTTTCTCAGGAATTATTCTAGATGGTGAAATCGCAATAAATTGAATAGGATTTATTTATTTTATAGATTAATACAATCTGAATAATTGTAGGTATGTATTGATGTAAAATAGCTAGGCTAAGTAAAATCATATTAAGACGAAACACAGTTCGCGGGGGCAGCTAGCACATATACGAGTATAGATTAGAAAACAAGAGTTTTAAGTACAGTGACAATAACTTATCTTCAGAACTCCTGAAATGGGAGCAGTTTTTATTGCAAATGTATAATGAATAGGAAATTGTTAACGAAACAATAATCTTAATATATATAAATTACGTGTCACGATGTTTGTCCGCTATGGACTCCTAAACTACCGAACCGATATCAATCAAATTTGCACACCGTGTGTAGTTTGATCCAACTTAAAAGATAGGATAGCTTACATCTCAATTTATACCCAGAATATTATTTTACTGCAAAATATTTGTTTATTATTTGATAGTCACAATTCTAACAGATGGCGCTGTGTGCAACGTTTCACATAAGCTACAATTTAATGGCATAACTACCAAAAAAGCATGGTGGTCCCCATGACTGGTGTTCTCCTACCGTTTCCCGTGAATAGTTTGCTACTATGTAATATACTTAACAAAAACCTTAGCCTCAGCAGCGCTTGGCCGGTCTGCTAGTATAATAATTTATATCAAAACATAATGAAAAACTGGAATTCAAATTCCATGTCATTTAAATAAAGACTTTTCTTTATTAAGTGATTTTATAGAGAGATTTTATATTTGGTTAGCTTCAGTGAAGAAAGCACGTTGTGTTATATCTTCATGATTTCAATTGCCCTTAACAATCTAATTATTGTGAAGCCCCTCGTCGGGTAACACTTATTTAGTATGTACTAGATGTGACAACCAATAAATTTCTTATTAAAACTCTAATAACTTAATAAACTATAATTAAATTTAATGACGAAATAATTCGTTACAATACATTGGAATTAAGCTAAAGAATGTGTTACCGCGACGTATGATGAAACAAAACTAAACTCAATAATATTTATTGAGTGTTATATTTTATTACGAATTGATGATCTGGCGAAAACGTGAAATGTCAGCAGTATTCTGTAGAGAGCTGTATTATAACAGTACCATTGATAAGGTCGGCAACACACCCGCTACGCTCCTTGACGTTGGCGTCTATGGGCGGCGGTTATCAATTTTTAAGGTACCTGAAAAAAAACATCGTATGGAAACTGTTGCACCTGATACCTGTTGAACCTGATAATCGACGATGTATTAGATACAGGCTGATTACCAACTTACCCATTACGAATTACCAATGAAACATGACATGAACCCCAAGTGAATGATACTAAGTGTAAGATTCAGTCGCGAGTAGTCACTATGTCTGACTTACGAACACCAAAAATGTATTAAATTTTGAAATTCGGCAGTCATAATTCACAATCCCGTTTCTGAATATCATTTAATCCACGTTTTATGACGCCCAATGTAAATATTGTATAATATAAATTAAACTAGTGTATCCACAAGAATTAGTGTCGTTTTAATTCATAAAAAACGTTTTAAAATTTTGAAAACGGGCTTACAACACTGACTAGATAAAGAAGAATATTTATAAACAATAAAGGCACAAGAGGACAAACAGAAGTGACACCATCTTTTGTTCTAGGCAATGACGAGTATTCAATAATCGAAGAATCCGGCGACTACAAATGCAGAACATGCGGAAAAATATTTAAACAGAGGCGACTATTTATCCAACATTATAGATCTGTGCACCTCAAACTGACGTCTAAAATGACAGGCTGTCATTTCTGCGAGCTTAAAGTGAGAGCGCATTTGCGCGCGAAACACATGGAAGAAAAACATGGCGTCCCCGCGCCTACGTGTAACGCGTGCGGTCGAAAGTTTTCATATCCACATCAAGTGATACTTCATCAAAAAACCTTTCATATGGGTGAAAAGAATATTGCGTGTCCGGTTTGTGATATGAAGTTCGGTTCTAAAGTGAATTTGTACCAGCATAAGGTCAAGCATTCTACCGAGAAAATACATAAGTGCGATTATTGTGATGAACGGTTCAAATGGCGAAAGCAATGGTCCAGGCATATGTTGAAGCATAGACAGAATTAATTTGTAAATTAACTACAGTCAAAACCGGTTATAACGACATTGAAGGGACCGTATAGTTGCCGACGTTATATCCGATAGTCGTTATAAGCAATGTCATATACACAACATACATATTATGTATGTACATAGTTATATTATCGTAGTTATCGATCTAGAATAGGTAGGTATGGGTTATAATATGGTATGGTATTATAATATGTAGACGAGTCAAAAAAGAAACAAAAATATTTATTACGAAATAATTAGGTACAAAAGTAATCAGTCATTTTGGTCTGTTTTTTTTAGCCCAGTCTCAAATATTTTTTGCATTTTACGTTTCATAGTCCTCAAGGTATGAGTATCACCAGAATAAAACTGTTCGTTAAAGGCAACAAAAATTTTAAGAGCTTCGGAAGTCGGAAATCGTTGTTGGCTGAAACTGTTCGTTGGGAGAAAGTGCGTAGGTAATAATATGCCTAAATATTCATTCAATGCTTATAAATAAGATTTAAAATCGTTTGTATTGTTTTGTTTTGCTGAGACAAGAAGCGGTTGGTCGTTATAGCCGATGAATATCGATAAAATTTCGTCGTTGTAAGCGATATGTCGCTGTATCCGATGTTGTTATAAGCGGTTTGTTTACTGAATAGTTTAATAGGGATTCGGACGGGACTATACGGGAATCTGGTTGTAATAACCGATAGGTCGTTGTAAACGATGTCGTTATAAACGGTTTTGACTGTATGTGCTACGAATAACAAAGTTGTATTGTCACGTGTTTAAAAAATATAAAACAAAATAATTAATTATTTAGTTAGTAGAAAATATGTCAAATTCTATTTTGACGTACTTGAGTTAGACTTAGGGCTGTCTCGTTTCTAAATCTTTAAGTTTAGATTGAGATTGAGGTCGTTATATTATGAACCTTACGATTATCTTGCATTTTGTTATCATGAAAGAGTGTGTGACAGGGGTGTTTATTATAAATATTATTTGATATTATTAAAAAAATACGCCATATGAATTTGCGAATAACATTGTCGCAAAGTATTTTAATCTGAGGCCTCGCTCCTTTGTTATTACGGTGAGTGTACAGCCATAGATAAAACACAGATAAAGATAAAACACATAACAACAATAGTTGATATATGAATTGATATTTATATATAAAACTAGTTTTATGTGACCAATAAATTAATACAAGAAAAAATGTGTTTTCTGTGTCGTCGTTACTCAAATAGGCTAAACAAAACCATCGTGGTTTTTTTTTATGGCTCTGGCACGGTTTGTGCATTAGCCAGCGTCAAGTATAAGATTTTTTATAATTCGTGCTTGCCTTTAGAAATTCGACCGTGTCCTCCATGCACGGTTTAAGCCCTCTCCCGGTACCGCACAACCCTCCCAAAGGCCGAGAACAAATTTAAATTAAATTAAAACTTGCCCTCGAACCGGGAATCGAACCCGGTACCCCTCACCTAGCTGCCACTTAATAAAACCGCTAGGCTATGAGGCCCCCACCATTGTGGTTAAATTTAAATTAAATACTTCCCGGTATATGTGCAACTTGACTTTGACAAGTACCCTAATGTCGACGTCAACGTTAGCACACTTTATTAAACTCATAAAGCTGGTTTTCGCAAAACAATTTAACGATGTGTTTCACTTTGCAGTACATAAACAAATATTAATCAAGTAGACCTTACAGAACCTCGCTAATTTATGAGTGGGGTAGATACCAATACAAAATTAATATTTATAAGCTATTTAACTGGCATAGTGTAGTGTTGGTGTAGTAGCTTCAGCCTGCGACTCTCATCCCTGAGGCCGTAGGTTCTATGCCGGGCTGTGCACAAATTGACTTTCTATGTAAAATAAAATAAAATATGTTTGTTATGGAACATAAGATACATGATGAAATTTGAATTTGTAGGCATCCCTACTCATCGGCAAAGAAGACAGAGGGTGTAGGCCGAGAGAAAAAGCCGGCGTAAAAAACTCTCGGTACTCTTTTAAAATAGCAAATCATCAAACAATGTACGTTTTTAACATTCGCTCGAACGGTGGAGGAAACCGGAAATGTCAACGGCGCAGGAGGCTGATCACTTGTCTATTAGATTAACCATCATGAAACGTGGCAAAAGCAAATTTCCCACAGTGCCATTATGATATCCTGATGACCACGTCTATCTGAGAAGTATATATTTAAAACTAAAATGTCTAAACCAGTCCAATCGTCCTAGAGTAATCGGGGTACATACATAATTCCAACTAATTGAGAGCTCTGAGCTTCATAAAAGCAGCGTTGGTCTTTTGGTTCAGATCTGAGATCTTGCGTTCGATTCACTGCTGTGCACCAATGGACTTTCTTCCTGTGTACGCAATTAACACTAGTAGGCGAAAGATAACATCGAAACACTTACGAAATATATACAGAATTTTGAGGCATGACCAAGACTTAGTATCGCCGCTTTTTACACTCCAAAATATCTTTAAGGATCTCTTTTGTTTTAGAATTGGAAGAACAGTATTGCTCAACACGGCTGGAAGAGGATGGCTCACATACGTACACATGCAAAATATGTTCGAACACATACAAACGAAAGGACTCCATCAAACAGCACTATAGGCACGTTCACTTGAAGCAAAGGCCTCGCCTGCATGGATGTTACTATTGCCCCGAGAAGGTCAGAGCCTACCTTCGAGCCCAGCATATGGAGGAAGTTCACGGGATTCCGGCCCCCACGTGTGGTGCGTGTGGGAAGAAATTTGCCTTCCCATTTCAAGTTGTGAAACACCAGAAGACATTTCACATGGGAGAGAGGAATTTTGTGTGTCCAGTGTGCAATATGAGCTTTGGGACGAAGCCCAATTTACGACAACATGTCATTAAACATACAACGGAACGGCCCTTTAAGTGCGACTTCTGTGATGAGGCCTTCAAATGGAAGAAGCATTTGAGACGGCATGTGGCTGGGCATTTGCATAAGAAACGTTAATTATTATCAAGCTTAAGGGCTGGCCATTACATGAAGTTTGAAAGGGGGGGAAGGGTTCGGCAAACATCACGAAATATCACAAAGTGGAGGGGGGTATAGTAAGATATCACGTGTACTTATTTTTTCGTCAAACGCGTGATTTCTAAACCGAAAAACGATCGATTAGTAGATCGAGAGATTGTCTGCGTAGTGTGCGTGATGACGCAGTACCTACAACTGACTTGCAAGATGCTTTTCCAGTTGTTAGTATTGAAGAAAGTCTTGTTATTCCGTGGCAATGTACATTAAATATGTTCATGTACAATATATGTTTTTCGCATGATTACATCATTCCTTTAATATTATTTTTATGCCAGTCAAACACAACCTGCAACCTTTATGTCTAGAATTTTTTTTTTATCATGGTCCTTAATTTTCTAGAATAGGATTAGATTATACTTTATACCAGTACTTAAAAATAATATTATAAAAAAATTAAGATTTTTTTAGGTACTAAAAAATACATGTTATTTTTGGTGGGGGGTAGTCTCAAATCTCACCACCATGGGGGAGGGAGCTGTTAAAAAAACATCACGTGATTAATGGACAGCCCCTTATTAAAGCAATACATAAACTCGGACAGTATAAATGTATTATCTATTACTCGTTTATTTATTTTGTACGATATTATATTTTGGCGTCTGGTAAACAGTATCGGTGACCACAGAGTGCTTGACTCTCTACGAATAGGTATCGCAATACAGCGAGGAAATGTTATTATTTATTTTTAATTATTATAATGTGTCCAGGATAACATTTTACTATATTTTATTTAGTAATTATTAAATGTACATTTTTATATGAAATTATTAATTAAACGAGATATTTATTACTTAAACTTAGTTTTATTTAAAATTATACAGTTTAACATGACGTAGACATGCCAGACAAAGGATTCTGAAGTTGACAGCTATGACAAGCAGTCGTGTAATAAGTGGTGGCAGGGCTGGCAAAATGCCACGGGCTCCCGACCCAAGAGGGCCCCTGCCCAAGAGATGTTATGTTCTATGGACGAATGTTAAGTCTCCAATACACATTGGGCTAGAGTGGGGACTACAGACCATTCCCTTTCGCCTTAGAGAGGAGGCCTATGGCCATTAGTGGGACATATACAACGTGTAATTGAGTACGCTGAAAATCTCGAAGTTTATTAAAATAAAACTGAGTACAACGTGACGATTTTAACTGATAGGGCCCCATCAAAAGAATTTGCCACGGGCCCCAGATGGTATAGTTACGTTTCTGATGACATGGCTTATGTTTTGACAGATATCTATAGAAAAATAAATAAAATAAAATAGCCTTTATTGCTGTTTCTATCTTACAATAATACTCATTAATTATTAATTATACATGCCTAACATAATTACTTTCTAAATACTTTTCTACTAAATTAAATTTAAATTACTTTCGAAGTACTAACTAAATTAAATTGGTTTAATCATTGTATGTTCGGCAACTGGATGTTTGTCTGGAACAGCTTGTCTGTCGACAAAGGCCTCCTCTAAAGATTTCCACGTATTCCTGTCTTTTGCTAAACGAGTCCATACCGGACCAGCTATTTTGTTGAAGTCGTCTTCCCATCATTTTTCCATGGTTCCTAGTGATCGGCAATTTATAGTTGCTATATATAGATCGTCATTTATCTATTTATATTATCTATAGATATTGTGTATTAATTAATAATTGTATGTATGTCCATTCTCCACATGATTTTTAATTCGATTTGTACCACTATGTATCTGTACTCAATATTAATTACAGTCAATAATATGTGTGAGTGCGCTGTTAGACAGTATAAAAAATAGTGTCATTGAGCGTCATACAGATTACATGAATTATATACAGGGAGCGTTCAAGTATAATGTAACGAAATTTGTCCTTTTGTAAAACGTTACGATGCGGGTACTTTCCACCACATAATGGTAACTTTTTACTATTGGGTACAGAAAAACTTTACGGCGCGTTACGTGGGGGGTCAAGAATCTTCAAAAATTGTCACTAGGTGGTCACGAAACGTTTTACTATACTTGAGTACAGAAAAACGTTACGGCGCGTTACATGGGGGTCAATAATCTCCAAAAATTGACGTAATACTTGAACGCTCACATTGTGACTTTAAAATGGTTAATAAAGTTTTTGTGTGGGAAGGTGAAACTGACATAAAAGTGACGAGAATGATGTGAAATGTATACAACACAAAACTTGTAATAATATACGTACAAGTGCTTCTTAAGTCAGTCATGTTCTATAGAACGCGGAAATAATTATAACAAGCAAATCGTAGTTTATATCTAATATATAAAATTCTCGTGTCGCGGTGTTTGTGGTTAAACTCCTCCAAAACGGCTTGACCGATTCTCATGAAATTTTGTGTGCATATTGGGTATAACTGAGAATCGGACAACATCTATTTTTCACGCCCCTAGATGTTAAGGGTAGTCCACCCCTAATATATTTTTTTTTTAATTTTTAGATAATTTTTTAATTTTTAGATAATTTTTTAATTTTTATTTTTTTATGATACAGCATTAAAAAATACATACATCCCCTAATTTTCACCCCTCTACGATCAACCCCTATTTTTTTATTATAAATGATAAACATGGCAAAACGACGTTTGCGGGATCAGCTAGCAAAAATATAATAGTACAATAATTATAAGGTACCTACCTTAAATAGTTTTAACATGACGGTTCAAAATGAAACGTCAAATTAACAACTCCATAGATTATACAATATCATACATTCTTACTAAACTGTTTTAAAAATGCAAATGTATATTTTATTTACATACATTTGGGATTTATTTTGATCTATGTAACGAACATAAAATAACAATGTCACATTACCTTTGTGTAAAATTTAAAATAAATTGTCACATTTACCAAATGTTTTAAATCAAGCTAATTGTAATTTGCCTTCAACATAAACGACTACAATTCTTCAAGCGTAAGATGTTGCAGCCATTGTTCTGTCACCAATAACAATTGAAAAGCGAATTAAGTGAGGGCCAGCGGTGAATCCCAAAAAAAACCAAAATGTGTTGAAATTACTTTAATTAATCACTTACAATAATTAAGACTTAACTAAATATAACTATTTAATCGGCCCGATATTAGGTGCACGAACAAATGAGAGAATTGACCGGTCCAATATGAGGTATCCGATCAAAAGCTTCTGATCTCTATTGTCCATTTCCTTTTATAACGGTGTTGCGTAAGAGGGGTACAATAAAAAGAAAAAATAATTAAAAAGAAAATTAAAACAAATTAAATAGTTTGATCCCTGTGGCAATTTTTAAATTACATTTGATTTAATATTTGTATTTCTTAATCTACTTTATTGTAATTTATTTTTATTATATTATTAATCTCTTTTATATTTTTACGATTCCCTTTAAATGTTCTGTAAGTGTTTGTATGTGTTTCGTTAGTGTGCGTTTTATAAATTAAAATAGTGGACCCCACAGACGTTGTCCTGCATAATATTTAAAGCGATTAGGATATTAAGCAAAGTATGAAAGTACCGACTGCAGTGCCATCTGCCGGGCTGATTTGTGAATCTAAACCATTCCCAGATCCCCTTGAACATACACAAAAAATTTCATCAAAATTGGTCCAGTCGTTTGAGAGAAGTTCAGTCACATACACACGCACACAAGAAATATATAAATTAAAATAGAAATTTAAATTTCTTATTTAATTACTAAAATTTAATGTTTTTGAATACAACTCATTTTTCGTTAAATTTTCAAGTCAAAGACAAATTCTTATACAATAATTTGTTTCCAGATGAACGAGATATAAAGTTTATAAAAAGGGTAGACAATGGTTCCACCGTATGGCAGTGCGCGGATTGCGACAGGAACTTCAAAAACGCGACCTTTTAAACCAACACTACAAATACGTACACCTCAAACAGCGTCCCAAATTACGGAGCTGCCACCTCTGTCCAGAAAAAGTGCCAACGCAATATCGCCCGTTTCACATGGAAAAAGCACACGGACTGCCCCTCCCCAGCTGCGGGGCGTGTGGCAAGAAGTTCGCCTTCCCAAACCAAGTGTTGCGCCACCAGAAAGTCTACCATATGGGCGAAAAGCAGTTCACGTGCGCGATTTGCGAGATGAAATTCGTGTCGAACGGGTTATTATTAAAACATTCTATTATACACACGGGCTTACGTCCGTATAAATGCAGTTATTGTGATAAAAGCTTTAGGTGGAAGAAGAATTTGAAGACGCATATATACATGCATTTGGATGTGAGGAAACATGTTTGCAGTATTTGCAACGAGTCCTTCGTGCAACAGAGCAGTTTGAAATATCATATTACGAAGCGGCATACTGAAATGTTATAAATATAGATAAGATATATAAGAAAGATGTTAAAATCCAACACTCTTGCCCGCCTTCCAATGCGAGCGGAACGGACTCATTACGGACTCCGCTATACTAGTGACGATGATTTTCATACATTTTCATTTCTGTGGGAAATTCGGTCAACTCGCTAACCTCATATTTGACTCTTTCAACTCGCTCTCTCCGCTGCCCGCGTCTCCGCTTTGGTGGAAGCACATGAATGAAAATCATGCCACTCTAACGCACCTGCGCTACGTCACCGATCACGCCAGGCCGATGTGTGACACAGTATGCGTTTTGTCCCGCTCTAACCTGTATTGGCGGCACCTATATTACGAAATAACTTTCGCATAATATATCGAAGCTACTTTCGTGAAACTGATTTCCCATGCGTGCCACTAATTTCGTAATGTAATTCCAGCTTAATGCCCGCCTTCCACTGCGAGCGGAACGGACCCATTACGGACTCCGCTATACTCGTGACGAGTATAACAGAGGAAGACCGCTCACGAGATGGGCGGACGACATTGCTCAAACGGCTGGCTCGAGCTGGATGCTCACCCAAAATCGTGATACCTGGAGATCCCTGGAGGAGGCCTACACCTGCGGAAGGGTTCTTGCAAAATAATAATTGGGAAATAGATACAAAAATTAGTAAAAAATAATAATAATAATAATTGTGTAATTTACTTTCTTAAAAATATATGTGTAAAATAAAATAGTATTAAGTTTACTTTGTTCTTTTGCAAGAAACAAAAAGGCTTTTTTATTTTTATTTTATTTATACTCGTGACGATGATTTTCATACATTTTCATTTCCGTGGGTAACTCGGTCAACTCGCTAACCTCATATGTTATCCTTTCAACTCACTCTCTTCGCTGCGCTCGTCTCCGCTTTGGTGGAAGCACATGTATGAAAATCATCGTAACGAGTATAGCGGAGTCCGTAATGGGTCCGTTCCGCTCGCAGGGGAAGGCGGGCATGAAGCTGGAATTACATTACGAAATTAGTGGCACGCATGGGAAATCAGTTTCACGAAAGTAGCTTCGATATATTATGCGAAAGTTATTTCGTAATATAGGTGCCGCCAATACAGGTTAGAGCGGGACAAAACGCATACTGTGTCACACATCGGTCTGGCGTGATCGGTGACGTAGCGCAGGTGCGTTAGAGTGGGACAGATCGCATTCTGCGTTATCACACCTCTCTGACGAGATCGGTGACGTAGCTTAATATCAAAGATAGAAAATACAGCATAAATAAAAAAATAAAAAATAATTATAATTGCATAAGTTGATAAAAAATGCTATGCAATAGCTTTACCGCGACAGTCCCCGAGTGCCACACGTTTTTTTTTATATATTCAATGTAGCCAAAGAGATGCTTCTCTATAAACGTAGAATGCTGCGTGTTTAGCAACTGGAAATAAATAAGTCTTTATCATAAGAATTCAGGGTGGCATCATGTATTAGCATCAAAATACACATGCACAGCACAGGCACTTTCGCGACACTAGTTTCACGTCGCATCTCCATGATGAAATTAGTTGCATGAAACTAATTTCACCAAAAAATCTAGCAGGGCACGAAAATATTGAATTACACGTGAAACTGTTGGTAAAAATAATGTCTCGAAACTAATATCATGCCACTAATTTAGTAATGTAATTCTTAAGGCTTTATTGTTCGTCAGTAAGTGAAAGCCTAGAGGGAAATCGGCTTGAGCGAGACTAATCGAATCTGGCGCCACCAAAGGAACAATTATGTAACTAATAGATATAGTTTAAAAAAACTAAAAAACACGCTTTTAAAGCACATCAAACTAAAAAGTGAAAAATAATTCCTAATTTAGGCTGAAAATGGTAATGAACAAAAAATACTGGTATTATTGTGAAAAAGCGTGGGTTGCTCGATAGACGAAAAATATGGCACAGAGCGCCATTTTCAGCCTAAATTAGGAATTATTTTTCACTTTTTAGTTTGATGTGCTTTAAAAGCGTGTTTTTTTAAACTATATTTATTTTCCACTTTTTAGTCCTAGCAGCAATACGTGTTGTCTCAATTTAATCGTATTGCTTTGTGGACTTAAAAAAAATTCATAGTTTTTTCGAGATAAACCTATAAAATTATTATATTGTCGCTGATTCTTTATAAGTGTACAAAGTTTGAATTAAATCTGTCCGTTTAAAGTGGGTCAAAATCGAGTCCGAAGGAGTCGCTTACATACATCCATACAGGTGAAGCTAATATAAAGCGTGTAAAAATACAGATGATGATTAACACATTACTGTAACTTTAAAATAATTTACAATAAATAAATTTATTTGTTTAAAATCAAAAGTTCGCTTTTTATTTATACTCCCTATGAGTCCATAGTGGCTTTGTTTCGCTTGTACGGTGAAGGAAAACATCGTGAGGAATAAATGCCTTAGATCCAAAAAGTGGACGGCGTGTCGGGCACAGAAGACTCATCACCAATTATATTAGAAACTTCATCACGAAACATATTCAGAAGTAGGTAAGGCCTAAAAATTTTTGGCGACGTCAGTTGTTCCACAACTGAGCCTTTTTTAAGACAGTTTTTGCCTCGCACCACCACTATGTGGAACCAGCCGCCCACTGATGTATTTCCGAACTACTTAGGGTTCTTCAAGACAAGTGCGTATTAGTTCTTAAAATACCGGCAACGCACTCGCGAGCCCTCTGGCAATGTGTCTATGGGCGGTATCACTTAACATCAGATGGGCCCCCGCAGGTTTTTTTGCTATCACTGGATTAGTTAATTGGTTACAAATAATTCGACGACTCATTGGTCTAGTAGTTAGTACCCCTGACTGCGAATCCATGGGTCCCGGGTTCGATCCCCGGCTGAGACGACCATCGATGTGATGAGCATTTGGTGTTGTGCTTAGGTCTTGGGTGTTTAAATATGTATTTATATGTTTATCTATCTATAATATGTATGTATATCCGTTGCCTAGTACCCATAACACAAGCTTCACCAGTTTAGCATGGGACTAGGTCAATTGGTGTGAATTGTCTTTAAAAAAAAAAAAAAATTCTTTGTCTTAGATGTCTTTCTGACAATTCATAAGTGTACTTGTTTACCTACATGAATAAAGATGTTATGTTTGAGTAAGTCTACCTACCAAGGTTCTAAGTCACTCGCTTAAACCACTAAACCTACACAGATCTTATAGCTTATTTACTCTGCGACTTGAAATAACAACGGACGTAATCGTTATTTAAAGTTACATAGTAAAAATAAAAATGTATATCTTCTATTTATTACTACTTAATAAACCAATAAAAAGTGTACAAATTTAGATTAAATTTCTCCCATTTCTCTTGTATCTATATTTTTATAATAACGCCAAATTTGTACATTGTGTGTAGCGGTCAATATGATCTCGTAGAACCCGTGCGGCACCAGAGACTGTTAAGGCCAATTGTTCAAGAGCCAGCTAACTAATTCTAAAGCTGTGAGTTACTTTCAACACGACATCAATTTACATTCATCAAAACAATCAATTTACATTCGACAACAAACGAATTAACAAACAAATATGGTGGCGCGGGGCATATTCCGTTCAACCAATCAGCACGCGAGGTGCGATCCGTTTCACAATTTGACGGTTTCACTTCGATAGATTACAATCTACCTAATAATAATACGTTAAATTGTAAGCAGTTCGTTGAGGTTCACAATCTTTCGACAGTTCACAATCTCGCGAGATAGATTACAATCTAACGGTGTTTACAATTTTACGTTAACAGATACAACAGGTTAATTTTTTTGCAAGGTAACTTGGCACAGCATTAAATTATTTTTTGTAATACATATTGTGTGTGGTACACAATTCTCCGAACAAGTAAATTAGTCATTCCAATAATATAGTCATAGATTAATGCAGTAAATTCATATAATAATATTAAAAAACATACAATATATAAACGAGAGTTATTTAACCTAACATTACTTAAGTAATATTAATTGATATTAATATATGTATATATTTTAGCTAGTAATTAGAAGCGTAAACCGTTTAGTAATAAATGTGCCCATTAGTTTTTCTCGAGCGAGAAGTGTTGGGTTCAGCGAACGACTCTCATCCCTGAGATCGTAAGTTCAATCCCCGGCTGTGCACCAATGGACTATCTTTCTATGTGCGCATTTGACATTCGCTCGAGCGGTGAAGAAAAACATCGTAAGGAAACCGACATGTCTTAGACCCAAAAACACGGCGTGTGCCAGGCACAGAAGGAAGATCACCAACTAGCCTATTAAGAATCAGAAGATAAACCACTCCTTATATGGAAATTGTATTCGTTTTTACAGCAAACTCCCAAGGGAAATTAGAGAATTATCACTTAATAAATTCAAAGCCCTCGTTAAACGTAAATTAATCAATAAAGCTTTTTATAAATTTGTCGAATACTTAAATGATCCTAATCCTTGGGATTGATTTGCTCCAGTTCAAACAATTTGTATGACTCAATACTTGGCGATTAAAATAGTGGCGGAAAGTTTCTTGCCAATTCTTCATACCCGCTCTACGCCCATGACTTGCGGAATGGTAGTAAATGTAAATTCACAATAAATTTAACTTCTTTTTGGCGTTCATAAGTGTACTTGGTTACGTATATGAATAAAGATATTTTGAGTTTGAGTTTATTAGATTGAAAAAAATGATCATGAAACAGATTCAGAAATCTGTAACGTAATACTTGAACGCTCTAAAACGTTACGATGCGGGGAGAGGATTGAATTACCCGTTATTGTTAATATTATTTTCGATTACACCACATAATAGTAACTAAAGAGACACAAGGTGGTCACGAAACGTTTTACTATACTTGAGTACAGTACTGTACTAGTGTACTGAAAAACGTTACGGAGAGTTAGATGGGGGGGGGGTCAATAATCTGGAGGTTGTAGCGCCACTGATTTATTTAGATTTTTTCCCACAATCATAAATTGTAATAACATTCTCGTTTAGGTCCACTACTCTTTTTAGGTAACATAAGTGACACTTATGAAGAACCCTTCAATAAGTACCCCTATGTAGTTAGTTATAAGCTCATGTTTTAAACGATTACAGCCAGTTAACACCCAGATTTAAACAAAGAGTTTCATTTAACATTCATAGTCCGGTCAATCTAGACCAAGAAATGACAGTGAAGGTACATATAGTCCCAACAAGCTGAAAACAGTAAAATTGTTCAAAACATAATAATAAATTCCTCATCATTCCCGTGTATGAAATTTTTTTTATTCAATGTCAAAAGTCAAAAAAATTACGATAACAACTTTTATAACTTTTTAAATCGTATCTCAGAAACGGTAGCTCGTTGGAAAAAAAGTATTGATACTTTTTTTATAGATAACTAGCTGACCGGGCAAACGTCGTTTTGCCATATATATCATTTATAATAAAAAAATAGGGGTTGATCGGAGAGGGGTGAAAGTTAGGGGTTTGTATGTATTTTTTAATGCTGTATCATAAAAAAATAAAAAATATCTAAAAATAAAAAAAAAATATTTAGGGGTGGACTACCCTTAACATTTAGGGGGATGAAAAATAGATGTCCGATTCTCAGACATACACAATAAGCACACAAAATTTCATGAGAATCGGTCAAGCCGTTTCGGAGGAGTATGGCAACGAAAACTGTGACACGAGAATTTTATATATTAGATTTTGTCTAAGTTACTTTTATTATAAAACTTACCGTTTTGCTGAAAAACTCATTTTTTGACCTTTGACATTGAATAAAAATTCCATACACGGGAATGATGGGGAACTTTTAAATATTATTTATAATTATGTTTTGAACAATTTTACTAATTTTCAGTTTGTTGGGACTCTATGTGCCTGCGAATGTCTAAATTGACCGGACTATCATTTAAATATACCTCTAACAACCGCCACAGACCTTAACTCGAGAATAGATTAATTATTTACAAACTGAATGATCGGATTTCAGTAATCAAAAGTAATAAAAACTAAATTGAATTAGACAATTTATTAAATTTTAGACAAACGTCATTAATTTTATCAATTTATTTATAAAATTAATGACGTTTTATTTCGTTCAATAAATTTTAGTTCGTTCTTTATCAATTTTAGTTAAAGTAATATTGGAATAAATACGATTCTACCAAGATGCGGGGTGAAATTACAACAAAATCGTAATTTATAACTTATATTCACACTATACATATATTTCTATACAAATACGAAATAATTTTTTTTACATTCTGTTTACTATCTTAACATTGCGATATACATTTCAAATCCAAAAATTTTTCAATTTTTTTAATTCTGTGGCACTGGGGTACAGAAACATTTCTGTACCCCGACTCTGAATGACCAATACAATTGATCCCACAGCAGGCATTTAAAAATAATGTCTCAAATATGATGACCATGTTTTGTCCGCATATGCCCACGCCAACTGCACCGTTGCACGAACGTCTGACCACAGTGCTCACATTTGTATCGTCTATCGTTATCGTGAATTCGCATATGTTCCGTCAACGTATTCTTCAACGAAAACGACTTCGAACACACCTGACAGTGAAAATTCTTCTCCCCCGTGTGCTTATAAACGTGTTTCCGTAGACTGGACGTGTCAAAGAACCTCATATCACAGTATTGGCACTTATGATTCTTCTCCAACAGATGGCATCTCCTAAAGTGTAAATTATTAGCGCTCTGGTCGGAAAATTCACGATCGCAAACGTTACATTTAACTTTCGTCAACTTTGGTACAGCAATGCCGTGCTCTTTGAATTGGTGCTTCTGTCTCTCCCACAGCGTCTCGAATTGCTCATCGCAGTGTTCACAGTTCTTTATTTTGTTCTTCTTCGTGTGTACTCCCCTCTCGTGGTAATAGACCTTTAGTTTTGTGCTAAACACTTTTGGACAGAAATTGCATTTGAACGTTCCCAACTCGTGGCTGAACTTCATATGAATTTTCAGTCTTTCCTGCGTTATGAATGTTGAATTACATAATTCGCACATATAGTTACTGATATGGCTGTTCATATGTTCCAATAACGTTTTAAATGTACCGAATTCCCTAACACACACGCAGCATCTCCACTGCTCCGTTTCGAATTTGAAAGGAATTAGAATATTTTTTATACCAGTGTTTATAACGCGCTTATGTTCTTCTATTAAATGTTGGAAAAGGTCTTCTAAGCTGTTAATAGTGGCATCGCATTTGCAAGTTAGAGAAGTAATGTCCAGCTTTATGGTGGGAATAAATTTTCCGTTGAATATTTCATTGATGACCTCATCGAATTGTTCAGCATCAGAATGTCGAATGTGCTCTTCCAACGTGTGCTTTTTTAATTCACCGGAATCTGTGAATTCTATAGGACATAAATGACATACGAAATTCGTTCCAACTACGTTTCGAAACGGGGTCGCATTTGTAAAAGTAAATATTTCCTTGAGATTAGACTTAGTTTTACTGATAATTGTGTTAACATCTTCTTTGCGGTTCTTTGGCTCTCCAGATCTTGGTTCGTATTCAATACTTAACTGGTATCCGAGTTCTTCTTTATTACCTATGAAATAAAATTCATTAATTAATACTTTGTATGTTATATTTGGAACTAAGCGAATTCAATTAGGGGATTTTTTTTTGCTCTCCAGCATCATACATGTTACAAGAAAGACTTATGAACATATGTTATACTAGTAGACTCGGCCAAGCGTTGCTGTGGCTAAGATTTTTGTTATATTACATCGTAGTAAACTATTCAAGAGAAACGGCAGGAGAACACCAATCCACCATGCTTTTTTGGTGGTTATGCCATTAAATTGTAGTTTATGTGAAACGTTGGTATTTATTTTGATAAGTATCAATACCTAGGTACGAATAAAGAGCCTTTTCTAGCGGTGGTATTTTAATAAAAAAAAAATAGTAAAAGGTCGCTTATTGTGACGTAACTATAAAAGATAGAGACATGCCGTCGTGACATTTTTTATAGATAGTGATGTGTCCTCAAAAATTGTAATACATCAGTTTGTTCTACCATTAATAGTTTTCGCAGCGCACACGATTGAAGGAAGTTTTTTGTTAATTTTTTTACACCTTGGGTTTAGATTATTCAAGTTTTAGTAAGCATCCCTAATTTTTTTTGAAAATGAAACATAGCGTATGTCACTCGGGAATGGTGTAGCTTGCCAACGGTGAAAGAATTTTTGAAAACGGTCCAGTAGTTTCGGATCCCATTCATTTCAAACAAACAAAAAATCAAACCTTTTCTCTTTATAATATTAGTATAGATGTATGAAAATCACATGAGAACTTAAGAAGACGCAGGGCTAACCAGATCCATGAAAGTTCCTCACAATCGAGTAGCCCGCAGTTGAAGAAGCCTTATGGGTCCGCCAGCATTCGCAAATATACACTGTAAATTAGACTTGCAACGAATATTCGGTTACTATTCGGTATTCGGCCTATTCGGCTGCTTTTATTATATTCGGCCGAATACCGAATACTTAAATAATATATTTTGTCATAGAGAAATAATTGGTAAAATGAAAAATATAATCGATTGATTACGTATATATTCATATTTTCATTTCTGTTATAATCATTTAAGTAGTCACTGGTACATAAAACAGGTATATAATTTAATCATTTTCTGTATTAAACAAGTTAAGAATTTTTCTATGCATCAAAATTTCATAATCAAAATTGCTGCAATCTTAATCAAACACGGAAATTCAAATTTCCTTGCTTGCCATCATGTATACGGGTTGTCATGACGTGATATATTGTTGTTATATTTAAGAAAAGATCCATTTCTGTTGAAACTGCATTTTTTTAAAACTGCACTTAACTGTGACACATGTAACACATCAACAGAAACAATCACGTCTGTACAAGTTTTTGGCGCTAAAATCCAGCCGAATACTTTTGCCTAATATTCGGCTATTCGGTCAGGGGCCTCGCCGAATATTCGGTATTCGGTATACTGCCAAATATACTATTCGTTGCAAGTCTACTGTAAATACATAATTATGTAGGAGTAAATAAAATAATAATAACAACAATTTATTATTTTAATACAGCCAGATTTTTAGGGCGACTCGGCGAAAGACTTCCAAGGAGTTGCTGAAAATGTCCACCGAGTCATTATTCATCACAGTTTTATTGTAAATCCGACATAATCCACTTCGACATCAGCCACTGTTGATCCGTGACCAATAGTGATAAGTGCAAAGTAGAAAATTATTGTTTTGTTTTATATATTTGTAAATTGCACGTTTGTATTTTTTTAATATAGTTTGTTTTTTTACTTTTAATTTTTAAGTTATTTTCTCTTCATCATTGTAATGTTTCCCTTTAAATGTTGTGCACACTTGTTATTTATGCACATGCATGTATCTTATTTTTTATGTCATGTGTTCTCTGTGAGTGTTTGTATGTGTTAAGTTAGTGTGCCTTTTAAAATAAAATAATTATGTAGGAATAAATAAAATAATAATAACAACAATTCATTATTTTAATACAGCCAGGTTTTTAAAGCGACTCGGCGAAAGGCTTCCAAAGGAGTTGCTGAAAATATCCACTGAGTTTTTTTTCATCACAGTTTTATTGCAAATCCGACATAATCTGTTAGCACCATTAAACGATGAGTACAAATGTTACAGGCGTGTCAAAGGGATATTTGTTTCTAATCAACCGTGTACTGCACTGCAGTGACTGCAAGTCTATGTTACTACTACTTTGGCATTATTTTTGTCTATGAAATAACAACAATACTGTATATTTAACACACGAAGACATTTTTATACTTATGCCGATTTAAATTTAAAGCCAAGTAGCTTGTGTTGTAGCAAACAAACTTTCACGGTAACATTAGTAACGCTTGGTTGCACACAGATAAGATGGAGGTATAGTGCCACAAACTTTTCTTGGCTATATGTTGTGGAAGTCAAACTTAATAATTTACTGAAATGTCTTAAACAATGTATACTAGTATCTAAATCACAGTTCTAGGCTTTAAGAAATGTGACACAAACTTAGGAATTACTGATATGATAGGTTTTGTTACCTGTACTATCTGTATAATTCTTCTGTGAGTGTGTATGTCACTGAACTTCTCTCAAACGACTGGACCGATTTTGATGAAATTTTTTGTGTGTATTCAAGGGGATCTGGGAATGGTTTAGATTCACAAATCAGCCCGGCAGATGGCACTGCAGTCGGTACTTTCATACTTTGCTTAATATCCTAATTGCTTTAAATATCATGCAGGACAACGTCTGTGGGGTCCACTAGTTAATCTATAATATAAAAATGAATCGCAAAATGTGTTGGTAAGCGCATAACTCAACAACGCCTGGACCAATTTGGCCAAATCTTTTTTTATAATATTCCTTGAAGTACGAGGATGGTTCTTACGGAAAATTAAAAATAAATCGAGTGAAAAAGTCTAAAAACAACACTTTTCTATATTCCCATACAAAAGATTCGTAATAATACTTAAAAGTCAATTTGAACTTTAATACCATGTCATAAAGTTCAAGTGTTAGTGGAGGGGTTCCGGGAAGGTAAATTTTTTTTGACATAATGTATTTGTTGTCTTATCAACTTTCTTTTTTTTATCTTACTAGCTAGACCGGTGTCCCGAATAACAGAATAAGTATTAAAAAAAAAATAAAGAATCGACTGTTAGGCGTTACGATGTTCGCCAGGCCAGCTAGTATAATATAAGATACATTTCAGAACCGTTCGCTAATTAAAACTTTGCCATTGTAATTAATAATGCATGGAACAAAAATACATACATTTTAGTTGAATTTTTAATAGATGGTAGATAGTAAAATTAATTATTGTGCGCACTAAAATGACGACGACGATAGTACCAATTTCACGCGCCGGCCATGAAAAGTTTGTGGCACTATAATCCTTCTTTAATGTTGACGTCACGCATTCTATTTCATAGATTTATAACTGTTATTAATAAGGCCATATAACAATGTTTCTTTTTTCTAAAATTTGATACTAGTACATAATCATACCTACTCCTAAACCAACTTATACCTTCGGTAAAAACTAAACAACTCTTTGTTTTATTTAACAGGAGTGTACGGTTCCTGGATCATCAGGGGTTCGAAATAATAGAATAATTTGAATTTACTCTATATTTATCACTCGCGTTATACAATAGAATATGAGCGAAATAATAACTATTATGTTAATTGCTATATAATAAGTGCAATCTAACAAGCAGAGAGAGTGCCTACGTCTGGCTATGCTCCCGGGGTGAAACTCCCATGATACAGTTAATTGTAATGATACGAATGACTGCTGTAACAGTCGAAGAGAGTGCCTGCGTCGGGCTATACTCTCGGGGCGTGACTCCGACGATTTAGGAAATCGTCATGCTTATAAGTGATCAAACTGTACAGCCAGGGCACGTACTTACATAAGACAAACATCACGCTTGTAGGTGATTGGAATGTACAAGCCCTGGCACGTACTTACATAGGAAATCATCACGGTTGTAGATGATCGGAATGTACGAGCCCTGGCACGTACTTACATAGGGAATAATTAAGCTTATAAAACTAAGGAAGCCTGAGCGAGTAAAATGTACAGCCTTGGCTCGTACATACTCCCCCAGGCAAAAGAGCAAAATGTACAGCCTTGGCTCGTACAAGGAGGCTATCTGATGAAAAGTGATATCGCTGCCCATGGACACTCACATAACAAGGCGACCTTTTAAGAATTGGTACGCCCTTTTCTTGGGGGATCCTAAGTCGGAAATACTTCGCTGGATCTGGTTTAACATAGTGGTGGTGCGCGGCAAAATCTGCCTTGAGAAACGCTCAGTTGTGGTACGACTGACGTCGAGGTGATACGGATGGTTTTTGTATTACACAATTTTAACTTCTCATTATTTCTGGTATGTTAGATAAACGCTGTAAGGATAAAGGTGAGGGGGCTAGGGAAGAACAGTTTGCGAGAGGTAACAATAACCGTTAATGGGTGTATACCCATTGTGTGTCTTGAGTCACAATCCTTCTTAATTCTTGTTAAACTCTGCCAGTTCAGTTACCATTCGTTAGTTTAAAGAAGATTACGAACACAGTAACAGCAAATAAGGAAATGAATATTCAAAAATCTTTATTCAATAACAAGTTACCTTTTTAACAGATATTGGAGCCCCTGAACTGAAGGGAGACCTGTACATCAGGGTACTCCGCTCTTCCAATGGTATAACGACATAGTAACTTAACAATTATTGCAACTAAAATACTATATTATAAAGAAAAACAGAAATCTTAGGGTGCGTCCACAATTGGCCAAAATGCCGCGAATGTGCAGCTCGCGAGTAGTTTGCGAGCTGCACGCTTGCATTTTTGTTTGTGCGCCGCTCGCGCGCTGTTCACTTGCAACCTAAGCGCCGTACGCGATCAGCGCGCGGGCGGTGAGCTCTTGGCTCGCGTCTTCCTTCCGCCCACGCCAGTAAACGGAACTGTAAGCGCGAGAATTGAGTGAGACCGCGCGCCGCGCCTTATACGAGCCTCGCAAGAGTTGCGCTAAAGAGGCACATAACCATTGCCGTGACCGCACGCACGCACGCTAGTAAACGGCTCGCGAGCTGCACATTCGCGGCGCATTTGCCAGATGTGGACGCACCCTAAGACTAATTACCAAACTAAGGATACAGGTTTAAATTGTTGAGATTTACAGGTTTACATTTATACGCACCAGAATTATAATCTTAAGGAAGGGATGGAAGGTGGAGGGTGGTAGTGTAAAATAGTGTAAAGTGCAATGTGGAAATTAAGTATGGTAAAATTATACTTGAACTAGCAATTCAGTTTTTTCGTAGTTAATTGAATGAAGCCACTTGGTAATTAATGTTTTAATTTCGAATAATAATTTAGGGTAAATATTTAGGATTCTATTAAGTTTGTTGTATAGCTGACTAGACAGATTAAAAAATTGGAGGTGTGAGAATTTGATTTACATTGAGATATAATACATACTAGGTTATTCCTATAATATTTGCAATAGATATTATTGGGTTTATATTTATAAATTAAATATAATACTTTATCTAACTCAGAAGTCATAGAAATTCATCAGTCATAGGAATTACAAATGGTTTGAATAATAGTCAAATATTACCAAACTCCAATAATACCAAATTCATACAATGACTTGTATTTTAACAATGTGTTTTTTGAAGTCGTTAAAAATTAAACAACCAAGTAACAATTAATTAATTAAGCCTCATTTATTCCTTAAACCTTACATACATATTTACAAAAGATCACACACTTAAGATTTTAAACAGAAATAATAATATATATTTTGTTTTTTGCCAAGGACCTCTTATAGAGTATAGGCCTCCATCTCTCTCTCTATCTTGAGCATTTTTCTCCCAATCTTCTCCACCAACTTCTTTGAGCTCGTCAACCCACCGTGCGAGAGGGCCTTTCCTTGGTGGCCCTTTCCAACTTGGTACCTCTTTGTCAATCTGCCATTGTTCATGCGAGCGATGTGGGCCACCCATTTCCAAGTATTAAAAACATATTTATAATATAAATACAATAATTATTTTACCGACGACATGAAAACTTAATCAAATGCTTTCTTAAAGACTTCTTTAGCGCGAAAGCCTTCATACATAAATCACATTGATAATTCTTCTCTCCTGTATGTTTGACTATGTGTATTTGCAATTGGCGGATATCAAAAAACCTCATTTTACAATATTCACATTGGTGGCTCTTCTCCAACAGATGAAACCGTCTAAAATGCGTCTTATAAGTACCCACATTGGGAAATTCACGAACACATAAGTCGCACGTAACCTTTTTTAAAACGGAAACTGTGACTCCGTGAAATTTGAACTGATGCTTTTGCTTCGCCCATTGCGTTTCGAAATTCTCATCGCAGTAATCACATTTTTTGACTTCATTCGCCTTCCTGTGCATCCTCCGTTCGTGTTGGTATAATTTCACCTTCATGTTAAATATTTTCGGGCAAAAGTTGCATTTGAACTCGCCTAATGCGTGCCTCAATTTTATGTGAGATTTCAGTCTGTCCATAGCGATGAAGGTGGCTGAACAGAGATCGCAAACAAAATTCGTCGTGTGCGTATTCATATGTTCAACCAAACATTTGAAAGACGCAAACTCCTTGGAACAAACGCAACAAACCATCTCTTCAGTCTCAAACTTGAAAGGGATTATTAGATTCTTTATATTCAGGTGCATTATTCGCTTATGAATTTCAACGAGGTGTTGCAAAAGTTCCTCCAAAGTCTTAATTAACATTCCACATAGTTTACAAGTCAAATTTGTTATATCTAATTTGATGAACGGCATGCGGTTCTTTCCATCAATTACTTGCTTTAAAATTCGTTCGTTGCGTTGGTCTTTATCTAACCTGGCCAAGTGTTTACGAGAGTGTTCCTTTAATTTAGCGGGATCCTTGAATCTATCTGTACAAAAACAGCATAGATAATCACGTCCAACTTTGCTTCGTATTGGAGAAGCATTGGTGCATATAATGATTTCTTTGAAATTGTCTTTAGTATTATTGGTTAGTAATCTTTTAATATCCGCTTCGCTTTCTTCTGTTTCTATATCTATATCAATCTTCTTGGGGATGCCCGTGTCTTCTTTAAGACCTATGAATATAAGGTTTAGATTAGACAATTTAATATCTAATTAGTTTATATTATATTTATTGTAAAAAAAATATTATTGTTTATTGTCCCTTACACACTTTAAAACATGGTTAGAAGATATTTGTGAACCTTTCTCATTCCTTATATAAGCTTTATAGATAGATAAAGCTAAAATAAGGAAGTAATGAATGGACACCCTGAACCCGAAGAGCATCATAATTAGCGCACGTGAAGCAGACATTTACGAAATAACTTAGTACTTAGTGTGTTAATAACTTGTCTCTGGCCTAATATAAGCCTTTTATATATCTTAATACCAATAGGTCTGTTATCTAAAGCTGGCGGCTTCAACACATTTACACTTTCTGCTTGTGTAGTGTCTGCGAATAAGCGGGAGGCGTGACGTCACACTGAATATGCATCATGAAAAGACTGTCCGTCTCTCTCGCGCTCGGTCAAGCTTATGAATATAAAAGAAACAGTTATTGTTTTGCTTTTGCTAATTTTTAAATACATGTTGATCTTTTTTCTCATTATTATTTTGTCTGTGACTGTTTACTTATTTGGTTGGAGGTTAGAATACTTAGAAAAAAATGTCTTATGAAATAATTGGTTCGGGCAGAACATTAACAGGACTCGTGACATAGTGTACAATGTTTTTAATTATTTTAAGCAACTTAATAAAAACAGTTTAATGAAAGAATTGTACGATAAAACAAACAGTAAAAATACATACTGTATAGTGAAATTGCATTAGTGTGAGTACTGTGAACGCGCCAGATTTCGATAACCGACCTATACCTGCATGAATTAAAAACGTCAAAACTATTATATAATGACGTTTACGTTCTACACAGAATACATAAAACAAATATTTTGCTATGCGTCCAAATTTTTTAGTCAATCTACTCTATGGCTTATTTGAATTTATACTTATCTGTGGCCGCATCTTTAAGATTTTCACCATTCGCGCGTTTTATTAAACTTTTTAAACGACTTCATAACACAGCGATGTTCTATTCAACGTGTATAATTATCACCTTCAATCCCGTCTAATAAAAATTATTGCCGAAAATGTAGTTAACCATAAAACGAAACAAGTGTTGTAATATAATTTATATTTAAGCTTCTATTAGTGATCGTCTCTCAGTAAATGTACTGTTTTAGTTTTAATTATTTTTGGGTTTTATTATTTACGCATTCTCTTACGCGTATAACTTGAAGTTTGTATATAAACGTTGTTCTTTACTTAGAGATGTTATGTTATATGATATTTCGGATCTGGATACGGATATTAGATTGAAGTTAAATATAAACACAAATAGTATGTAATAATTTGGTTTTATTTATATGTTTTATCTTGTCTAGATTATCAGTTATATAGTTACGTAATTATTATATACCTCCTGTATTTTAAGTTTTATTTGGGAGAAAATGAGATAGTAAGCATTATACAGTGTATCAACTTTAAATTAGTATAGGCAGCGGCACGTAAGTCTAGCGCTGGCCGATACGTGGAGGGGATTGCTTCGCATGTGTACTGTCGCGCACGCAATACATTATATGCCACTTTGATTAATGATTACCTAAATAACGATATTAAGTAGAATCTCACTTTGGATTTGTTTCAAAGAATCAATTAATTCTTTAGATTCCCTTTTTAAAAAACAATTCACGTCATTAACCATTTTCCTGGCTTGTCTTTTCAAAACAGTATTTGTTCTAGACATATTCACTTTAAAGTCACAAACAAACTTAAAAACAAATAACAAACAACAAAACACTGACAAATTCAAACGTAACAAAAAACAACAAAACGTGTTAAGCAGTAACAAAAATATTAATGACGCGACTGTACACGGGATGTGCGCGGGGCGAGCCAATCGACACTACGCGCGCCCGCTCTTCATTCCGCTAGCCCCCCTCAGGTACCTTATTTTTTACTTCTGCGCAATAACGGTCAGCGCTAGAGTTTCGTGCCGCTACTTGTAGTAAGAAGTTTTCACTTCAAAAAGTTTTTGATAATTAATGATATATAAATTTCATATAATTTTATAATTAAATTAATCTCTTATTAAATTTTTTGCACATCTGATTTTTTTAATTCAGATAATGATCAAATACACACTAATTTAAAGCTTATACACTGTATAATGCTTCCTATCTCATTTTCTCCCACCTTAAATCTTATGAATTTATGTGTCTCTCTTTCGTTTCATCGACTTTTAAATCACAACGATACTAAAGTAGTTTTCACTACAAAATATCTAGAATTTGCTTAAGAATTATCACTTTTCAACAATTTCAGAATGCTTCGAACTCATATGCTTCTGCAAACTATGCTTCTGGGTAAAACCATATCCACAATGATTGCACTTAAATCTTTTCTTTCCTTCATGTATCATCATATGAACTCTCAGGGATTCCTTCACACCGAATGCCTTTAAACAAACATTACATCGAAAGTTTTTAGCCCCTGTATGCTTCACTAAATGTTTTTTCAACTCGAACTGTGTAAAGAACTCCATATCACAGCGTTCGCATTTATTCTTCTTTTCCTGTAAATGGACTCTTCTCATATGAGATTTCAATTTATTTTGATTTGTGTATTCGCGTTCGCAAATCACACACTTGGCAGGTTCACGTTTCGGAAGCGGTATGCCATGAGCCTCATTTAGGTGAACATCTTTACGGCACTGGCTTTTGAATCTCTCCTTGCAATATCCACAAACTAATAGACTCTTGTTTTTCATATGAACCGATTTTTCGTGAACTCTCTTTCTTAACTGTGTCCTGAAGGATTTTGTACAATAGCTACATTTAAAATCCTCTGATAAGTGGGACATTGTATGCATTTTTAATTTACTTGTATTAATAAACCCAGCTGAACAAATATCGCATACATAATTGTTTAAATGCTCATTCATATGTTCTAATAAGGCTTTAAATGAATTATATTCTCTATTGCAGTAATAACAACGACAGGAATCCGTATTGAATACGAAAGGTACGATAAAGTTTTGAACATCTGTAAAAACAACTTTTTTGTGGGTAGTCCTCAAATGTTCTAACACTTTATCAAAATGTAAAGTACCCTCGCAGAGCGAACAAGCTAATTCAGTGACGTCGAGTTTTATACATAGCTTACTACGATCCCTACATGAGAAATTTGTCAGACTTTTCATGGTTTTAATATTATCTGTGTGTGCTTCCAAAGTGTGTTTCTTTAATACTGTGGGTTTCAGAAACTGTTTCGAACAGAACCAACAAGCGTAACCGATTCCGATTTTGCCACGGATTGGTGTCGCATTTGTACATAGTATTATTTCTTTTAAATTCTTTTTCGTTTTGCCTAAAATATCACATTTCTCGTGGGTACCTTTCTCGATGGCGCCTGCAGACTTTTTACCTAAGGACAAAACGGATTTGGTATTAAAGAATTACATTATTACTTTTTAATATATTTGAATAAATATAATGAAAATACAGACTTAAGATTTTTATTGGCATACCTTTCTAAAATGTAACTGTGGACCTTTGGCAACGCATAAAATTATGAAATACGATCATTTATAACCAAAGTTTTTAGTATTTTAATAAAGTAACTGCGAAGTAGACTTTTAATTTTGTGCAATTATACCTGCTAAATGTGACCTTATTTCTACATAAATCTATTCCATTTAATTCTGCCAGTCGGGATAGAAGACGGAGTGATATTGTGGCCTGCTCCGCAACGGTTCGTTCGAATCTTGCAAGCCGTCAGTATGTGACTCACTCTGCATATATTTACAACAAAATAAACGCTAAACTTCAATTTCATGCTAGAGTTTTGTATGAATGTAAGGAAGTTATAACAGATTGGCTAAAAACTTTAACTTTTTTTTTTTAACTTTTTGGCAACAGCTTCAACTTTATGCCAGTTTCAAGTAAAAAAAAAAACTTTAACTTATGAGGAAACTGAGCACATTTTAGTACGAGTTCGCTAGTTTGACACACACATACATAATTATATACTTAACAACAAGTATACACTCACTCACACACACATGCGCACATACACACACAACCACGCATGCATAAAATAAGCTCATAGAAGCGTCAGAGAAACTATGAGAAGTACATTTCATTTTATTTAATTTTTTACCGGCTGCTTCTTAGCTGGGTTTTGTTTTGTATTATTTTCTAACAACTGTCTCAATATTGTATAAATAAGGGAAGTAGCGAGCCAACCCCAACACAAGTGTCTCTGACTACTTACGGGGGCTGTCTCAACTCATGTATTTAATGTAAAATTTGAGATACAAATAAACATTTTCATACCTAAATACAAGGTAACAAAGACGCTATTATAAATATATTTTCTCTATTATGAAATTTAATTATGCCAATCAAGTTGATAATTCGTTTTAATATTAAAATCACTATTCGTATACCGGCACAGATTTTGCGCGGTAAAGTTCGCGCCTGGACTGTCAGGCAACCTATTTCCGGTAAATATAGATAATATATTAAACTAACTCAAAATATCTTTATTCAAGTGGGTAACCAAGTACACTTTTGAATCGTCAAGTTAAATTAATCGTAAATTTAACTTGACGATTAATCGGCGCGCGCATGCCGTAACTGCCGCGCGGAGCCCTATTTTCAACGTCTAATTAAAATTATAAATAATGGAGATAGAATTCCGGGAGTTGGACTTTTTTATTGGAAATTTCCTCCTCTTTAACGAGCTTTTTTCAAAATTTCTTAAATGTTAATATTTTTCGAGTTATTAACAAAAAACGAAACATCATTTTTTTTTCATCTTATTTTGTTAATAACAATTGCAATTTTTAACCTGCACCAAAATCCTTCAAAAACATTTTTCTAGAGGTGATTACGAATCGAATGAGCCATCGCTCATATTTTTAGGAGCTTTATCTCTATTTTTCACGTTTTTGAACTTGTTGACTAGACTACTAAAGGCATGTGACATTTGAGAGTTTATATCTGTGAGACAATAAATATTTTAATTCAAATTACGTTTTAAAATAGTTAGTAAGAAAATTTTAACCTTACATGGATATAAATTAAACAATATAGCTTTAATTTTTGCAATGTTTTTAATTGACATTATCTGTATTGGCTGTTAATTACAGCGTAGTCTCGGAGAAGTCGCCGGTTTTGTTTCTGTGTAATTTAGCATAGCTAAGTTTCAGAATGTCTGTGAATAAAAATGTGTAAGCGATAGTTTTTGACATAGGGGAATAGTAAGTCTTGATTCGAATTCTACCCATAGATTATAAATTCTTACAACCAAGATTAAAATTTTCTAAAGACTCTATGCTTCTTTAAAATACTGATCTGATGTCTGGGTGCCCGCGTTGTTATTATTTTTATGTATAAGGAGGCAAACGGGCAGGAGGCTCACCTGATGTTAAGTGATACCGCCGCCCATGGACACACACTGCCAGAAGGATCGCAAGTGCGTTGTCGGCTTTTCAAGAATTGGTACGCTCTTTTCTTGAAGGACCCTAAGTCGAATTGGTTCGGAAATACTTCAGTGGACACCTGGTTCCACATAGTGGTGGTGCGCGGCAAAAACTGCCTTAGAAAACGCTCAGTTGTGGAACGACGGACGTCGAGGTGATATGGATGGTATTTTGCCTTGACGTCCGATAATGAAACTCAGCTGCAGGTATGATAGGTATTCCTTGATGAATGATAAATTCAATAAGAATTATTCAATTCAAACTAGTACTACCATAGATTAGCGTTTAATAAAACAGTCTTAAGCTTTTGTAGACGTAAGTCATTTTAATACATTCTCGTTTTAACACTTTTATGATGTGCACTGGCGTAAATTGTAGATATTTATTTAAGTAGGCTATTTGACAAATAATATATATATTAAAAGCAATTCAGATTATTTTTTAGTAACTAATAAATTGATACAACTGTTGATTTTAAATTATGTTAGTATTTAAATTAAACATTTATAATTTCAAGAAATCGCCAAAACGCTTTTCTAGGCAAGATGGCGTGGCACCAGTCCATGTGACATATCTTTTTAAACACATAAACAAAGGTCAAGCATTTTACGTATTAATAATTATCATTCTTAAATTCATACATTTTCGATAAAAAAATTAACATGTTTTATGTCACGTGACTGAAGTTTAAAAATACTTTTAATTATGAGTTTTTTTGCTAAATTAATAATTATTTTACTCCATAACGATTTTAAAGCCATGTTTTAATGTATACATATTACACTTAATAACACTTTTCATACTGTCAAATAGCCTATCATCGATAATATCATATCGACACCTATAGCTCACTATGCAATTTTACCTACTTACTAACTAAAATTTATGTTCAAAATGCGTGGTATATAAGCCGTGTTAGTTCGCGCTGACATCTAGAATTGACATTTAATATAGGACGTTAATCAATTTAAGAAGGTTGAATTTTCTAAAGGTCTTTTTGTCTTATTATTTATTCATAAAAAAATCTTCACATTAAGTATCAAGATGACTGTCGAACTATAATGACGTAATAGTCTTCTTAACATAACCACAACCGAATCAGAAATCTCAAATCCCACGATGTTTCTCTTTCCCCTCGAATCTTATGCTAAAGTGGAAGACGTTCACACTGTATGCAAAAGAAAGTTTGTGTTCTGAAAATCTATCTACACCGTTTTATCTGGTTTTTTCCTTTGCAAAAGGTGGTATGACTTCGTATGCATTGTCAATGACCTCTGATTCCCAAACGTCTTATCACACGCCTGACACTGCAGCACAATTGGAGTAGCACCGTGTATTTTCACTAAATGATCATTTTTCTTTGTATAATCTGTGAATTTCTCACCACAGTACCCACATTTACTCCTTTTGTTACGCAGTATATGCACACCTCTTTCATGATCTCGCTTTTTAATGCTTGTATCAAAAACTTTTGGACAAAATGAACAGTTGAAGGTACCAGTCTTGTGTCTATAGCCGTGTGTTTGTAGAGTTCGTTTGTTTATGAAACCCGCACCACAGATGCTACAAATATAGTTGTTATAATGTGCATTCATATGCTCTATCAGGACTTTGAAATTGTTGAATTTGTTCTTACATATCACACATCTAAAATCGTTGCTCTCGAATCTAAAAGGAATTATATGACTTTTGATATCTGTATGATATTCTTTACCATGATTCGTTATTATGTGGGTAGTTAAATCGTCTAATTCATTCAAGTCCTTGCCGCAAAGGCTGCATTGTAAACCTGTTATATCTAATTTAACTACATAATTAATCATTGAACCATCCTTCATAAATGTCTTCTTTACTGTATCGTCGTGTGTCTGTAAGGTGTGCGTTTTTAATTCGGCCGGGTTTTGATATTTGTTATTGCAGAACCAGCAGCTGTACGAAAATCCTCCACGACATCGTATAGGGGTTGCGTTTGAACAAACTAATACATTTCTAATGTTATCCAAATGTTTATTAAGTTCAAACTTCATTTTATTAAAAACGTTGACCGTCGGTACCTCCTTGGGAACAATTTTAATTTCTTTCTTCATGCTCGGTGGTCGCGGATTTTTGATAAATACTTTCTTTGTTGGCCAAACAGTACCTAAAACGAAATTGTTCTTGTTAAATCTTGATATACATTTATCTGTTTGTTACATAAATAAAGCGTAAAATATTATTTTCATTAATTTCTATCAAATAATCCTTAAGGGAGATAACATCTGAATCAATTCCGATTTGAGTTTCGTAACCCCCCTAAAATATTTTGTAGTATATAATTATTAATAAATTCACCTAAGATTTTACTGACTATGTAATCGTCTCATGTGTTCTTTCATTGTCTTCTGTCGTCCGAAGAATTTGAGACATACTTCACATTGGAAAGATCTAGAACCCGTGTGTTTGACGTTATGGCTCTCCAATTCCTGTTTCGTGTAGAACTCCATATCGCAGTGCTTGCATTTATGCGGCCTTTGCATTAGATGAATCCGTGTCGTATGTAATCTCCAAGCGCGCTTTGAGCGAAAATTTTTATCACACGCCTGGCAGTGTATTTCCGTTCCAAGAACTCCGTGAACTTTCGCTATATGGTCGTGCTTTTTTAAAACCTCCTTAAACCTCTCGTTGCAGTAACCGCACTTATGCGGCAATTTAATCCCAGAATGCTTTCCTCGTATATGCAGGAGCCGCTTTCTGGCTGTGTCAAATGTTTTCGAACATTCCTCGCAGGTGAACGTGCCAGTCTTGTGAGCATCACAGTGTCGGGACAAAATATTTTTGTTAACAAAACCCGCATTGCATACCTCGCATATGTAGTTACGGTAGTGGACGTTCATATGTTCCTGCATAGCTTTGAACGTATTGAAAATGTTTAAGCAGACGCAACACCGAAGGGTTTTATCACTAAATTTAAAGGGAAATATGTGATTCTCAATATCTGTGAAAAACCGCGGGCTATGTACGCGTTTTAAGTGATCCAAAAGTTTTTCTAAAGTGTCTAAAGTTTCACCACATTTACACTGCAAGTCAGTAATGTCCAGTTTCACAAAATACCCGTGCATATCTTTGCCTTTCATGAAATTCGATTTTGTTTCTTGGTCATGATCTTCAATAGTATGCTTCTTAAGATCTCTGGGATCTTCGTACAGCTTGGTGCAGAAGCAGCATGTATATCCAGTTCCACCTTTGCTCCGTATAGGCGTGGCATTTGAATGTAATAAAATTTCTTTCATGTTAAACAGATGTTTGTCGATATCATTAAACTTTTTAAATATTAAATTCCTCTTTGTGTCACTTCCGATCTTTACTAAGCAAATCTTCTTTTTCTCGCGGCCACCTATAACAAATATTACATCATTCGAGCAAGTAATGGAAACCATCTTCAGAAAATTAAGGTGTGCTTAGTATTTTTATACTTGGGCTTATGCCAAAATTTTAGTCACTTATCTGGTTTCTTAAAAAATAAACGGTGGTTAAAGTTGAATCATGTTCTCATATGAAATTTTTTTAAGTAAATCATTTTTGTATTTAGATTGAATAAAAGCCTAGATTACGTGAGACTAATTCTATTTAATAAAACTAATATTTTAAAAAGGTTATATATATACGTAGATTTATTGTATCGGATGTTTAAAAAATTTGAGCTGCTTTAGTACCTATTTTCGATTTCGATTCATGCAGTTGTCAAAGTGGTAAAGATAATATTAAGTTTCTTAATTACACTGCTCTTTAAAATAAAAAAAATACTCTTATACATATACCATTTTAATCACCATCCAAATAATAACAATTACACTTTATTAATGTTCTTCACCATGTTTCGATCTCATGTGACTACGCCAGCTGCACTTCTGAACAAAGGCCTGGCCACAATGTCCACATACAAACCGCCTATCATCTGCATGGATCCTCATATGCTCTCTCAATGTATTCTTTCTACCATAAGACTTGAAGCAAACATCGCATTGAAATAGTCTTAAGCCTGTATGCTTAGCCATGTGACGCTGCAATCCACCCTTGTTAAAAAACTTCATTTCGCACTCTTCGCATTTATGCGGCCGTTCCATTAGATGATCTTTCTTTGTATGCATCGATAGAGCTCTCTGGTTGTGAAATACCCTATCACACGCCTGACAGTTCAAAACAACGGGAGGAGCACCGTGCTCTTTTAACCATATGCTCGACTTTCTTCCAATAGTCCGTAAATCTCTCGAGGCAAATTTGACATTTATTGCGTTTTGTCTGACCGAGGTGCGTCCGCTTTTGATGATCGCGCATTCTGAATTTATTTGCAAACACTTTATCGCATTGATCACACTTCACGTCGGCAATTTTGTGCCTCTTCAAATGACCTGTAAGCAGCTTTTCACTCATGTATGAATGACCGCATGTATTGCAGATGTAACTTCCAAAATGCGAGCTCATATGCTCTTGCAGTAATTTGAAAGTTGTATATTCAGTTGAGCAAACAGCGCAACGTAGTTCTGGCGTATCAAATTTGAATGGCAAAATCGGGGTTTTAATATCCGTGTACACTTTCTTTTGATGTTCAATTTTAAGGTGCGTGAGGAACTCTTCTAAATCCGAAACACGTACGTTGCAGATGGCACAATTTAAGGTCGTGATATCCAATTTAACAACCTGCTCAAAGAGTCTATTCGACATGAATTTTATAAGCCGTTCGTCGTTGTGTTCGTTGAAAAAGTGCTTTTTGAGATCTAAGGGTTCTTGATACTGTTCCGGACAGAAGCCACAACCGTAGCCAAGGCTGTCTTTATTCCTTATAGGATTCGCGTTGGAGTATAACAGAATATATTTTAAGTTTTGTTTGTGTTTTGTCGTCTCGGTATCGTTTGATCCATGTCGTATCATCTTCAATTGTATCCGTCGTTTCGAGTCTCCTTTTTCAATTGTAATTGTTCGAACACCTACAAAGATAAAATCTTTTTAAATCATTTGCTTTGTTAAATTTCCAATTATTTGAAAATTCTATACTTTCCTTTTAATTTTAACTAAGATTTGATTCAAGTAACAAGTAAAGAAATAAGGTAGTATAGTGGTCTTTGTAAGCTATGTTTTGTGTTAAATTATCGACCCTATTTGAAATTTAAATTAATAATATTTAACAAACAGATTGAACCATTAACTTAGTAATAGTAACTTGTATATATACATTTTTAATTTGTATAAAAAAATAAGTTTAAATTTCAATCATGAAATGTCATCTCTATTATATCTGAAGGTTTATGCGTTCAAGAAGTTCTATCTTCCCTTGTTTTAACAGGCTGTATTTTTGAGGCAGTTTTAAAGGTAGCCTGGTAATTTTTACAGGAAACACGGTGTCAGGATAGGTTATACGTTGGTGAAGTAACGAATCCGATACCCTAACTAGTAACAATATCGTAAACCTATCTTTGTATAATTTTATTATAATCGATTGATTAAAAAAACATGCCATTACTTTACAATTTTTTTAATATCAAAGATACAAACTAGAAAAGTCCACAGATAAAGCCATAAAATAACTGATTTATGTTCAATTTAGCGCTTTGCTTGTAAAAAAAATGATAAAGTGAATTACGCCAACTGAATATCTGCACAAATGTCTCGCAAACCCACCGCATGGATCCTCAAAGTGTCTACCATACTATACACAAGTGTAGTAAAAATTATCTTCAAATTTATGGGAACGTTTCATCAAATAATGCTGTTTAATCTGTTTATTTAAAAAAATAATAATCAAAATACTTTTACACTTAAACACTTTTATGTTGTTTATCTTATCTTTTTAGGTATCTGCGCTCTTTTTTAGCAAAGGCCTCCCTCCTAATCCGCCATTCCTCTCTATATACACTGCCATGCTGTTCCCTTAATCTGGTCTATCCACCTTCTGAGTTGTCTTCTTCTTTTTGTTTATTGTACATTGGGCTCCAGTTTAGCACTTTCTTCTTCCACTATTCTGTTCCTCCATGTGCCATGTGCGCCACACAATTCCACTTAAGTTTATTTATTTTTGTATTGTAACATCTGGGACCTTTGTTCTCTTGAAAAGTATGTTTAATGGATATAATTAAATACAAAAAATCTAAATACAGAAATACAATTGTCAAAAAAAGCTATAAATGTTTTACAGTGATGCAATTATAGCGCAATTTTAAATCAGTGTTACCGAGTGAAGATAGCCAAAAGAAATATTCAAAAGGAACTAATTATGTCTTCGATCATCAGAGTGCAGTCTCCGTATGTGCTCTTTAAGAGTTTTTGATCGTCCATAACATTTAAAGCATACTTCACAACGGTACTCTCTCGTTCCAGTATGTTTGACTATGTGATCGTTCAACTCCCTCTTTCCAAAGAATGCTTTATCGCAATAGGAACACTTATGCTGCTTTTGCATCAAATGATACTTCTTTGTATGCAGCAATAACGTCTGCTGCGTCGTAAACGTTCTCTCACATGCTTGACACTTAACAGAGGGACCCACAATCCCGTGAACTTTAGCGAGGTGTTCATACTTATGAAAACTTTCTTTGAATCTCTCATCACAGTAACCACATTTGTACGGCATATTGAAGCCGTGATGTATCTTTCGTTCGTGTTGCTTTAGCTTCCTCATTGTATCAAACACCTCTGTGCACTGTTTGCAATTAAACGTACCAAGTTTGTGTGCTTCTCTATGGCAGAGGAGTATATGTCTATTAACAAATCCAGCATCACACACATCGCATATAAAATTTCTGTAATGCGTATGCATGTGTTCTTGCAACGCCTTGAATTTGTTAAAAACATTAAGACATATGAAGCATCTGAGCGGTTCACTATCGAACTTGAATGGGAGAATATGATTATTTATATCGGTAGAGATATTTTTGTTATGTTCACACTTTAAATGTTCCATTAAGGTTTCCAATGTATCGAAACTTTGTAGGCAAATCTTACAGGTAAGATAGGTTATGTCCAATTTTACAAAATAGCTATACATATCTTTTCCTTTCATGAATGTGGATTTAGTAATATCATCATGGGCTGCTATGGTATGACTTTTTAACTCAGCAGGGTCTGGAAACTGGTTAGGGCAGAAGCAGCACGCGTAGCCAATGCCACCACGATTACGAATAGGCGTTGCGTTTGACCAAAGTATTATCTCTCTTATATTTGTTCTGTGTTTCTCTAATTCGTGACCGTGTTTAGCTTTTGGTGGATCATTTTTATCATTTTCACTATCTCTTTGAGACGTCAATGTCGTGCGACTTTTCTTTCCACCTATAAAGAAAACGACACTATTACAATCTTGAAGTTCACTTGCCAGATCCTTTACGCTTAGTAAGTTTTAAGTGTGGTTATGCAATTAATAGATAAAATTGTTATTGACTTACGTGATTTACGAATTAAAAATGACATTCTTCTTACGAAAAAATAAGTTCCCAACGATATTTATAGATTTAAAAATGAAACAGTATGGGTAAATTAAACAAAAATATGGTCATTTTAAGTGAGCCATTCGCTTCTTTTTCATAATTTTCAAACAGAAAACTCTTTTCTAGTTCTAGTATTACTTATGTGGTAAAGCCGGAGGACTGGATTGATAAAAAAAGGCCAACAAGTATTAAATATATTTTATATGTACAGAATATACATAATTATTAATTATAAGAATATTAACTATTTACAGTTTTTAAGAACAAAACAGTTACCGTAATAATATATCTATAACTAAATTAGAAATATATTATAAATTCCAACTGGATAAATTTTTTTTGTCTGTATCACGTCATTGATCAGAATAAGCTCGAAGCCTCAACTTTTATTTAATTGTAATCTTAAGTCAGAAAAAAGGTTATTAATTCTAGATTTAGTCACTGGTAGCGAAATATTAGATAAAGGCTTTATAAGTAAACATCAAACTAGTAGCTGATTAAATCTTAAACGAAGTACTGCTCCAGTATGAGAAAGTGATTTACGAAATACAAAAAAACATTGGATGTGAAAAAAAAATTATTGAAAACTCAGTTATGCTCGCCGTGTTTCGCCCACATATGTCCCCGCCACCCACATTTCTGAACGAACGCTTTGCCACAATGCTCACACTTAAACCGCCTATCATCTTTATGTATACGCATATGTTCTTTGAGTGTCTTCTGCCGTCCATACGCTTTATGACACACATCGCACACAAAACTACGTTCACCCGTATGTTTTACAGCGTGATTCTTCAACTCGCCAGAGGTATAAAACGCCATATCACATTCGGAACACTTGTGTCGCTTGTCCATTAGGTGCAATCTTTTTATGTGCGAATTGTATTCCTTTTGATTTTTAAAAGTTTTATCGCACGCTTGGCACTTAGTTTCCTTATTAATAACACCGTGAACATCGATTAAATGCTTCTCTTTTCTGCTGTAATCTCTAAATTTTTCATTACAGTAACCGCATTTGTTGAGTGAATGTGAATGGGTGTGGACGCATTTTTCGTGAGAGCGTTTCTTTCTAAATGTATCGAATACTTTTGAGCAAAAATCACAGTTGAACGTGCCCAGCTGATGGCGTTTCGCGTGTTGGGTTAAATTGCTGCGATTAACGAAACCTGCATCACAGTCTTTGCAAACGTAGTTCCGATAGTGTACGTTCATGTGTTCCAGGAGGGATTTGAATTTGTGAAAAACACCGTCACATATGCAGCACCTCAGTGCTTCTTGATCGAACTTAAATGGGAACAACTGGTTCTTTATATCTTTGTGCAGGCTGATGTGATGATTATTAATTAGATGATCGATAAATTGTTCCAGAGTATTGATTTTTGTTTCACAAATCTTACATTTCAGTTCAGTTATATCAAGTTTAGCGTGAAATTTATACAAGTCCTTTCCGTCCAATAGACGTAGCCTCTCATTTTCTTCATGTTCGTTTAATGTATGTGCTTTAAGGTCGGCTGGGTCAGTATATTCTTGTGCGCAATAGCAACACGCATATCCAATACCGCCTCTGCATCGTATTGGTGTGATGTTTGAGTTTCTCAGAATTTCCACCAAATTGTAACGATGTTTAGCCAATTCTACACCTTTCTTTTCTCTTTGTTTTTTGACACTCTGATCATCAATAAGATCATTTGTGTGGCTACGTCGTGGACCTATAAATAAAAGGACATATTAAACCACTTCGGATAGAATAATATACTAGTCTTGAATCCTTACGAACATTACATAACTAAAAACTCGGTGATTAAAAGAGTGGCGGACAGTTTTTTGCCAGTTCTTCTCATCCGTTCTACGCCCTTGATTTGAGAACTGGCAGTTAATGTAAAATTAGAAGCACTTAATATGTATTTCGTTTTTTGACTTTCATAAATGTACATTGTGTTACCTATATGAATAAATGATTTTGATTTGATTTGATATAAATTAAAGTTTATTTAGGCATCAATGCAATCAATCAAGGGCGGGTAAGACAATTTAATAATCGACACGGGTGCAGTAAATTTCATTATCAGCAGAATTTTTTTCTGGAAATAAGAGTATCTTATAATATATATTGCCAATTTAATGTTTTAATCATATTTACAATATGATACTTTAGGTTGTATAATGCCATGTTTAGAGGTCAAATGGCTCCTCCAACTACACTTATGGATGAAGGTTCTACTACAGACCTCACATCTGTACGGTCTATCATCAGAATGGATTCTCAAATGATTCCGTAGCGTCGTTTTTCTCTTATACGATTTCATACAAATGTCGCATTTGAAGACAGGGACTTCGATATTATGTTTAGCAAGATGGCATTTTAATTCGGATGTTGAGTAAAATCTCATGTCACAATATTTGCAGGGATGTCGTCTTTCCATTAGGTGATATCTTTGCATGTGAGTTTGATAGCCCCTCTGGCTAATAAAGCTTCTATCGCAGGCGGTACATTTGAAGACACAGGCTACCCCATGCACTTTGTACTGGTGTGAAATTTTGGTACGGTAGTCCCTAAAGAACTCGCCGCAATACACGCACTTATTTCTCGCTTTCATTGAATGCACGGATCTTATATGATACCGACACTTTTGCTTTGTATCAAAGGACTTGTCACAACTATCACATTTAAAGGACCCAGTCATATGTGTTGCGGAATGATTCTTCAACTGCTTACTATAAACGAAGCCCTCATCACAAACGTTACAAACGAAATTTCTAAAATGTACGTTCATGTGTTTTATCAGCATTTTAAACGAACAAAATTTGTTTATACATATATAGCATCGGAGTTCATCGTTGTAAAACTTAATGGGTATAATGTAATTTTTTATATCAGTATGAAAATATAAATCGTGTTCTTCACACAAATGATCTACAAGTTCTTCTATATCATCAAGTGTTTTTGTACAGACACATTCCAAGTCAGTAATGTCTAGTTTCATATGAAAACCTCTTAAGTCTGACTTTTTTACTATTGGACCAACAATTTTGCTATGTGTTTCTTGTGTATGCTTCTTTAGATCAGCTGGTACTAGGAATTGTTGCAGACAGTAGGAGCACGTATAGCCTTTACCTCCGTAAGTCTTGATTGGAGTCGCATTAGACCACTTTAATATGAGTCCTAAATTATCGAAATGTTTTTTTAATTCTGGGTTTCTGGTACCTGCTAATCCGACGGGTTTTACACTCCCTTGTTCACCTATAAAGAAAACGTATTTTGTAGTACATTGATTGCTTAGTATTATATTATTTACGTGACTGAACATCATCCTATTAGATATTCTTTTTTACTCGATTTATGTACATGGCCTGTTGATTGCTAATTATATTCCGTCAGTGATTCGTCCAAAAAAATTACATCTTCGTACTCATATACTAAATTTATAATGTATGTTATAATGTATGTAGTAATAAAGATTTGTCGGGATATACCATCGAACGAAACGAGGCCTCAGTAGCGTGACAGCATACATGGCTATGTTTGGCGCAGTTGGAGAACATTCTTGAAATGTATGAATGTAATTCATTGTTGACCAAATCCATTTAAATATTAAGCATGTTATTTACATAATGATACATTTTCGACAACGAAGAATTTGATCCGAGCGTCATTTCGAATCTCATTATTAACACCCCATACAACTCTTACATTTGGGCAGTTAGTACCGTAACACCATATTTAGTGTGTAATCTAGAATAACATTAAATATAGAAATAAGATATGAAAAAAATTATTTATTTATTGTTGTTTTAGGGGTAACGACACACTAACATACAACATTTGTTGAACTATTGAAATGTAATATTTAGGTTCAATAATAAACCGTTGTATGTATTAAAAAAATTTAAAGGGCAACTGTCAGCAGGCTCACCTGATGTTATGTGACATTGGACCTTAATGCCACAGGACTTGCGAATGCGTTTACGGCCTTTTAATAATGAATTTTATTAATATAAATTACATATTATAATAGATGTATTTAAACGATTTATATTTGTGTTACTTTAGTTACATTATTTATTACCACAGACTTCGTATATTTGTAATATAGAATTTGTCTCGCATTTTTTATTTTGACATTTTAACCATAGATAGATTAACAGCAGTTATAATGGAGACAAGGTAGAATTTATTAGCGTTTTAGCTGATTATTTTCGCCGCACGGCGATCGGCAGTTTCCATACTAAATTCATATTCGCAATACACCGACCGCTCGAGCAGTTTCTGAGCAAACCGCATGTTGCAGTCGGTCTTGACAACATGCGGTCCGTCTATGGCCCGCTTTACGGGTGCATACTTTACTGTATTGTTAATTCCATGGAAACGCAGGCTTATAATCACTATATAACAAAATGTACTTGAAAATAAGAAATTGTAAGGAAAGTAAATTAAAGAAAAAACAATTAATAAAGTACTTTAATTAATTCCACATCAGAATTATGGCAGTATTCAAATATTTGTTTTCGGTAGCGGTCTACCTAAAACTCAAACTATTCATATCCTAATTTCGGTGTTTGCATAACTAGACCGATACTGTATTTTTACAGTATTCTATACAATTTAATTTTATCCGCCTAAAGTTACCATACTCCATCACTTAAAAGTCCATAATCTAATGAGTTGCTGTAATGTTTGCTTTAAATAATTAGCTTGTGTTTGTTTAAAAGATGGGTACGCAAATTACACTTTTGAACAAAACCCTTATCACAATGTTCACATTTAAATCTCTTATCGTCAAGATGAATTCTCGTGTGCTCCCGCAATGTTTTACGTCGCGCGAATGCCTTCTGACATATTTCGCATTTATAAACACGCTCACCGGTATGCCTAACCATATGATCGTGCAAATCGCTACACTTATAAAACCTCATTTCGCACATCGTACAGGCAAACTTGCGTAATTTCAGATGATCACGATTTACGTGGATTTTGTACGTCGTCTGATTTTTGAAGCATCGTTCGCAATATTCACACGTTATCACCGCACCCACGCCGTGCACCTCCAGTTGATGTTTCTGCTTCTGTCTGGACTCCTTGAACGATTGTGAACAGTGTCCGCATTTATAAACGAAGGTACGGCGGTGCACCCTGTTCATGTGGAACGAGCAGGAGCGCATCGTGGAGAAAACTTTGCCGCACTGCTCACACTTGTGCGACCCCGTTTTATGGATCTCTGCGTGTCCTCTCAATTGCTTGACGTTGACGAATCCAGCGTCGCACACTTCGCATACATAATTCCTAATGTGATCATTCATATGCGCCAAAAGAACTTTGAAAGCTCCAAATTTCTCATCACATATACAGCATTGGAGTTCCTCACTATTAAATTTGAATGGAACTATAAGATTTTTAATGTCCGTGTAGATTTGTATACTGTGATATTTTGAAAGGTGATCTAAAAGCAATTCCACATTGTCTATGGATTCACCGCAAATGTTGCAAAATAGTTCGGTTATATCCAGTTTAATACAATAGCCATTTAAATGAGCTTTCTTAGTGAAACAAGCATCATTTATACCGATATGGGACTGTGATGTGTGTGCTCTCAAGTCCCTGGGATCAACGAATTGTTTAGAACAGTAGCAGCATAGATAGCCTCTACCACCATAACTCCTTATCGGCGTAGCGTTGGACCACTTCAGTATCTCCCGTATATTAACCCAGTGCTTGTTCATTTCCTCGTTTAAACTGATCTTCTCAGATTCCTTTGTCGATGTAAACCCTGCCAGATTGGATTGCCATTCCTCATCATATTCTTCCGATTCAGTATCTACTCTTTCCATTTTTACAACAACATCCGTGGGTATACCTATAAAGAAAACGTTTATTTTATTGGTGTTCAGACATTTTCTAATTATATATCGAGATAGTGTTAAGCACGTCTTAGCAATTTTAATTTTATTGCTTACTTTTAATTCTAGCTAATAACATATACCGGATAACACATGTAGTTTAGTTCACTATCTGTTATGGCAGTAGCATCATGTCTATAAAAACTTTCAGAAAATAGTAAATTTGATTTAACAGTACAAATATATTGTTCAATATCATTATCAAAAAGACCCATACACCAAATTGACAGTGCCCTACACAATCAGAAACAACTAAACACTACATAATCAGAAACAAATTTTTCCAAGATAATTTTGTGATCATGTAAGGACACGCGAAATTTTCGTGAATTTTTGGTCAATTGTTGTCAAACGAATCGTGTTAGTTCGGTAAAGTTATGAATACCTCTTAAAAATATCATAAATAAAATGACTTTTAAATTAATTTAATTATTTATTTACGAGATTTATTTCGATTTATATTTTTAATTATTTATTAAATTACGAAATAGATATGATATAAAAAAGTTTTAATTCGTCATTTATTTATTCATAAATAATATACTTATAAAATAATTAACATATTTGCATAAACATAATTATAGTTTCAATCTAAACCTCTTCACCATGCCTCGTTCGCATATGACCACGCCAGCTACACTTTTGGACAAAAGCAAAACCACAATATTCACATTTAAATCTCCTATCGTCAGCATGTATTCGCATATGCTCCCTCAACGTATTCCGGCGTCCAAACGCCTTTTGACAAACATCGCATTTAAAATCTCTAGCCCCTGTGTGCTTTACCATATGCCTATTCAATCCAGTGACTGTAAAAAACTTCAATTCACAGAAGGAGCATTCAAATTGACGCTCCATTAAGTGGTTCGCCCGGAGATGCTTTCTATACGAGCCCTGACTTTGAAAGGAACGACCACATGCGTCACATTTAACTTGACATTCCAGGCCATGCTCTTCGGATTGATGTTTCTGTTTATGCCTGTAGGAAATAAAGGTAGCATCACAAAATCCGCACTTATTTAAAACGCTCTTCTCGTGAACGCTTCTCATATGACTTTTACATTTGAGGGACGTACTGAACACTTTGTCGCAATGATCACATTTGAAGGAGCCAGTCTTATGAGTTTGGCGGTGATATCTCATCTGACTTCGAGTGATGAATCCAGCGTCACAGATTGGGCACACAAAGTTTCTTATATGCAATTTCATGTGTTCTAATATCGCCTTGAACGCATTGAATCTGTTCGAGCATATGAAGCAACGAAGTCCCTCGCTGTTGTCAAATTTAAATGGTATTATATGACTCTTAATATCTGTGTACATCGCTTTATTATGATCATTGATGAGATGATTAATTAATACTTCTATATTATCAATACTTTGCCCGCACAGTTTACATCGAAGATCGGTTATATCAACTTTTACATTAAATTTTTCTATATGGGGATATCCGAAATCTGCTTTGGTGATTCCTTCGTGTGTCTCAACAGTGTGAGCTTTGAGTTCGCTTGGTTTTAAATATTGTTGGAAACAATAGCAACATCTGTAGCCTTGCCCTTCGTAGCCACGAATGGGTGTAGCGTTAGAACATTTTAAAATCTCCTCAATATTATGCATATGTTTATTCATTTGAAGCTTACTTTTTGTATTCATTCTTGTAATGCGCTTCTTCACTGTTTTAACAGTATCCATCGACTCGGTTTCAATTTTAACACCCGGTCGTTTACCTATAAAGATAAAATATTGGTTTTTACTGACATTCAGAAAGTGAATCACTCGTTTCTTGCAATCACTATTTAAAACTAATTCATTGTAGTAATTACGCTGGATAATAATTTACCGTGAGATCCGATTTTAAATTTACAGATTGTGTAATGCCATGATACCAATCGCACGCTGCTTAAGTTTTCTGCTAGTTTTATGAAGAAGCACTGTATGAGGATGTTATTCAGAAGGTAGGAGTGGTAATGAGCTTGGTGACGTTCAAAAAGTACCGAAGATTCGTGTGCGTAGTAAGGATTGGTCGGATAAAGTGATTAAGATTTTCTGTGAAATACTATATGTGAAACTCACGTAAATAAGAGTCAATTTATAGAAAATGGAAAGTTAATTTAGTAGTAAAAGGGCCGCCAAACTTAGAGCTGTAAGCGATTTCTTTAATGTATACTTGAAAAGCATAGTGAGTAATAAGGTACTGAATCGTAATTGAATTTAAAATAAATCAGTGGCGCTACAACCTCTTCAGGTCTTGGCCTCAGATTTCTGAATCTGTTTCATGATCATTTCTAAATTTAAGAGGCAAGTAGGTGATCAGCCTTTAGTGCCTGACACACGCCGTCGACTTTTTGGGTCTAAGACATGTCGGTTTCCTCACGATGTTTTCCTTCACCGTTCGAGCAAATGCGCACATAGAAAGAAAGTCCATTGGTCCACAGTTGGGGATTGAACATACGACCTCATATATGAGAGTCGCACGCTGAAGCCACTAGGCCAACACTGCACTACTTTATTGAATTTACTAGCTTATAATCCAGTCCTCCAATGATCCAATTCAATAATTATTAATGTGTATCAAGACCGACAGAAAAAGTATCAACGAAGATGTAGAAACCATCAGATATCTTCACGTCAGTCAAGAATCACTCAATTACTATTTAGTGTTCAATCATAATCAGCATTATATAAAAAAATTACCCAACGTAACACGTTTTATAATAAAAGTATATACTTAGTTTAATCTAAAAAAATCAGATCCTTAGATTTAGATTGCGCTATATTCTTAGTTATATTCTTAACGAGTTATGTTTGAAATTACGGTGATCCGATATTTTTAACGCCGTTAAAGTTTTTAAAAACTCATCAAATATTGTTGACAGTAACAGATTAAGATTTTGTGGATATTTTAAAACAAAGCTATGACGTAAACAATAATTTTATTTTAACATTATAGTATATTAAAAATTCAACAAGTGTTAACGAGTAAAAACATTTCTACGTACACCAAAGATCAATGATAAAAATATATTCCGAGAAAGCATGTACCTAAACCTCGACGCCATGTTTTGAACGCATATGGCTTCGCCACGTACCCTTCTGAATAAACGCTTGCCCACAGTAATCGCACTTAAACCTTCGATCGCCTTCATGTATCCGAATATGTTGGCGTAAAGTCCTTTGACGTCCATATGTCTTGTGACACACACCACATTCAAAGGTCCGTACGCCGGTGTGCTTAACCATGTGGTCTTGCAACTCTGACTTAACAAAGAACTTCATTTCACACAGCGTACAGGCAAAACGCCTCTCAAACAAATGATCCCGTTTCGTATGTGTTCTAAGGGCTCCTTTAGTTGAAAACGTTCTACTGCACGCTTGGCACTTAAACGTTTCAACTCTACCTCCATGTACGCTTATTATATGTTTCTCTTTCGATCTGTATGTTGAGAACATGTCCCCACAATGACCGCATTTATTAACTTTTCCACAGCGTATGTGAACAATTTTTTCATGCAATTTCATGTTGCGTGCTTTCGTGAAAACCTTCGGACACCAATCGCATTTAAATGTACCAGTCTCGTGGCCTTTACTATGGTTGTTTAGTCGTGCCCGGTTAACGAAGCCAGCGTTACATTCGGAACATGTATAATTCTTAATATGTGTGTTCATATGTTCTAACAAAGCCTTGAATTTGTTAAAGACAAGAAAACAGATGACACAACGCAATGTCTCCGATTCAAATTTTATTGGTACAATGTGGTTATTGATATCAGTGTGTATTTTTTGATTATGTTCGTTAGCAAGATGTGAGGTTAATTCATATACATCATTGAGAATTTTATCACAAATGATGCACTGTAATGAAGTAATATCTAGTTTTACAATATACGAAGACATTTTATGACCAAACCCATTAAAATTCAATTCACTAATCTGCTTGTGGTAGGCCAATGTGTGCTTTTTTAAGTTCGCCGGTTGGGGAAATTGCTCATGACAGAAACCACATACATAACCCACTCCGTTGTGTGTGCGAATTGGTGTCGCGTTTGTGAATTTTATTATTTGTCTTAAATTAAAACGATGCTTTTCTATTTCTCTTTCTTGTGTTTCATTTACGTCATCATCTGTCAATAAATGTTTAGAGCTTAATGATTTCTCGTCTTTCCCACCTTTATCTTGTTTACCTACAAATAAATACATTATAGTGTGATGGTCTTCTGGTATTTGAAAAAGTTTTCACTTGGTTTCATCTACTTTCTTACCTCGATATTCGTCATAAATGAGATATTTGGGTTCACAATCTTCAATGTCTGAGAGGGAATGCTCCTCCTCTTGTCCAATCTTTAGGTTAACAATAGGTTCAAAAATATTAGACCGTGAATTTTCCTTTAAACTTGTTTTGCTGACGTCACCTACAAAGAAAAGTGACTAGTGTTAATCCTTTACTTTGTTGATGATTCCAAAGGTGTTTCTATTGTTTACGCTTTTACGCTTCGGTCTTTTTGTACTTTTCTATACACTTGTACAACACTTTGTACAATGTCTATATCATCGTAGCATCATTGTAGCATCAATATATGCATACAAGTCGTATCTTACCACACGTAACACCTCATTAAGTCATACGACCTATAGAAAATGCAATGCTTAAAGTGCAATATGTATGGCATGTATTGACGTCCAAAGAGAAATAAATTAGAAATAGTAGCCGTCTAACTAAGGTAGATCAGTCGATCTGCTCTTGGGTGTTTTCTGCATTGATAATACAGCTCACGCAGAAAATGTCTTTTGTACAATCCCTACTTGTAACATTAACATATTATATATTAACACCACGTTGCACAATAGGGCTGTATCTCTGGTAAAGCACATGCCCTAACAGCATGCTGGTGGTAATGGCGAGAAGGCTGGATTGTTCTTTTTAGTTTTATGATTGAATATACTTTAAAGATAACCTTTTAATATAATATTTAGTACAATATTGTAACTAAGACAATAATAACCATCGGTTCTCTGCTTGAATAAATAATTGCTATTCTTTATATTTCGACAACTTTCGAATTGGAGCGAGGAAACTAACTTGGCGTTTTCTATAGCTTTCCAAGTGTTTTATTTACAAATGGCGTATTACATGTGTAGTGGCATTGAAATGAAAATAAATTTTCCGATATTTCAATCGTTGAATACATTTTTACGCCGATTATACGACAGTAACTGTGGCGAGTAGGCAGGCGAGTAAGATACCAAGTTCAAACGTAGCATCGGATCACGCCACCGCTACGTCATATGAGGTGATCTTTGTGGGCCGCGAGGTAACTCCGCACACTTGCACAAACATTTGCAATGCAAGGAATCAATTGCATCATAACAAATGTTTCACTGTTTTTGTTTGGACGATTCAACTTAAAAACTATAGAAAAGGCGGCAAATTTTTGTCCCTCCTTTTTTACGAATTAACTGTAGTTTTGACGATATATCTTGATATTTATTTTCGAGTAAATGTGCCTTGATATGTGCCTGTTTTGTGACACAGCATAACACCCAAATTAGTATGTTCTCGTACAATATTTTCGCTGAATTAATAAAAATCATTCCAGATCGAAACGCTATATTATAACATATATGATATTTATATAAAATTATATTAAAAATATTCACAGAACATACATCACATGAATTTACTAAGTTTAAACTACACAAGACCGGTTTGGCTTTTAGCTTTAGTAATACCATGATTCTTCTTCATATGCTTTCTCCTACTATTTTGCGTTGCATATGCCTTACTGCATATATCACATTTGAATTTCCTCTCATTCGTATGCGTCGCCAAATAGTGGCCCAACATATGCCGCTTTATGAAGAAACCCATACTACAAACTGAGCATGCGTACGGGCGCTCCTTCAAATGAACACTTCGCATATGTAGCATCAAATTCGACTTTAAATTAAACTTCTTCTCGCACATATCACATTTGATACCTTCGACATTGTGAACCTGCGCCATATGCCGTGTCTTTTGATAGTAATTCTTGAACCGAGCTTTGCATATTTGGCAAACACTATCACCTGCAACACCTTTATGTTCTGTATTCACATGTGCCTTTTTTTTAGACTCAGCAGCGAAGACCTGCCCACAATGCCGACAAGGAAAACTAGATTTCTTTTTAACATGAGTTGTTTCGTGACGATTCAATCGAAAGCTATTCACAAAACCCGCTCCACATATAGTGCAAATAAAATTTCTGTAATGTTCGTTCATGTGCTGCATTAACAGTTTCATATTGTGAAAAATTGCAGTGCAGAGACAGCAATTAATCTGTTGTTCATTGGTTAGTTTGAAGGGTTGGAAATAATCTGTCACATCCAAGTAGTACTCCTTGTAATGATCATCGACAAGATGATTAGTCAACGCGTTAATAGATTCCATTGGCTTATCACATATGGTGCATTTGAGATCAACAATGTCCAGAAACGCTACAAAGCTGCTCATCCCGGAGCCAGCCTTGTACGAGGGTTTTTCCTTAACGTGATCGAAATGCGTGTGCCTCCTTAATTCGTTAGGGTCGGGGAATGTCTTAAAACAGTAGGCGCAAATATAGCCTGCATCATTTCTATCTTTGAACGGCGTGATATTCGAACACGTTAATAGTATATTCAAGTTATGCCACTGTTTTTGCATTTCAGACACATGTTTTTCACGATACACAATATTGTTATCGCACAGCTCACTTTCGTTCTCTTCTTTAAAGGTCCGTTTTCGTTTTTTTCGTGCTCCGGTACGGCCTATAAAAGAAAAAGAGCGTTCAGCTTTCCGCCGTTCGGCATATCACACTGCTAAACTTAACAACGTAAACTTTAACCGTTACAGTACTTTCGGTTGTAAATTATAACTTGAATAAGCAGTAATAATTCAGAACAAAAAATTATGGAGCATTAAAGTGTATGTAATTTTCATTGTACGCGACTTTGAAATACCTACTGGAGTCGACTAGTACTCAACACAGATAATCATAAATGTTTAAGTAAAATAGTAATAATAGTAGAATTGATTGTTTGTATGAATACACTCCAATATACTCCGAAAAAATCTAACACCATTAGAATTCTACTTTATCTCTAGGTTATAAAATATTATCAAAAATTTAGGGATCCATATGAAAACCTCGATAATGAGAGATAAAAATACCAATAAAAATTTCGGACCGTACGTTCCCTACGTACGAAATATTGACAATACGCAAAGTGATTACAACAGTTTATAGAAGATATCAATATCTATAACCAATGTTGTAACTATTAAGGCGAGTACAGACCGCATGCCTCGGCCAGTGACCATTCGCGTCATACGATTGTTGCGAACGCCGCCTCACTCCTCAGTCCTCAGTGCGAGCCATGTGCTCCGTGTGGACGGACGGTTGTTATTTGCGCTGCGCGCGCGTGCATCATGGAGGCCGATACCGAATCACTGCGTAAACTTGTCAAACTTTATGAAAATAACCGTGTTATGGTAATCTAAACATGCTGATTATTACAATAAATGTAAAAGAAAAGACGCGTGCCGTCAAAAAATCGTTTTGTCCACCAGCTTTTCTTCTTTTCTCTTTTTTTTAATATTGAATGAATCACTATAGGTCGCTGCAATCTGCACGTCTCGCCTTACCGGAGCCATTTTTCTTACTGACGAACACCGTGCGTGGTCGTTAGCGTGCACAGCTTGAGCATGTGTCGTTCGGGACGCATGAATAAATGTACCGTCTGAGGCATACCTCAGGTTGAGGCATGCGTGACGAACCAACGCCTCGCGATGTCTGTACGCGTCTTAACAGTTGTCACAATACTTTTTCGCGTTAAAAGCTAGTACACATTGGGCGCTCGGCGCACATAGGGGTATTATACTTAAAAAACTGGCCATAAGTCAATTTCACTAACTTCATGATACAGGTAGCTTTTGTTCTTGATTAACAAAAGGATACCCTTACTCATACAAAACCGGTTAAAAAATTCCGCTAATGGACCTGCACATTCTAACGCTAGTCCCCACACTAGGGAGCCCCTGTGTTGTGGATAGTATACAAGTGATTTTTTTTGTAAGAAAACTTTTCTTAAGGCTCTATCCCAGAACGAATGGTTGTTTCAGTGTCTCGGGGTGGACTGCGGTGCGCAGTGGAGAGCTGGAGCACTGAGGCGCGCCGGCCCGTAATAACAATTATGTAGTATGATAAACATTAAATTAATGTAATTTTATCAAAAAAAAATTCTGACATGGATAGTATGATAAACATTAAATTAATGTAATTTTATCAAAAAAAAATTCAGCCAAGTAGGCTTGCGATAAAATATATCGTGTAAATTTAAAATTCATGTTCTTTATACATTTTCGCCATAAAATGAATTCAAAGTGTCAAAAATTGTCTATGTTTTAATTTTTTTCTATCGAGCGAAGTTATTTAAATCGTGTATCGATCGTTCAAAATGGATACATAAACTACTCAACTCCACCATATATTTTTTCCATTCGCCCTACTTCAAGAAACGATGGTGAAAAATGGAAAGAAACCATGTACTTTTTTGGAGTTTGGCGACCAGATAGGTCCTTAACAGAAAGAGGTCAAATCAATAAATTTATGAAATATTCTGAGGACTGAAACGAAAATAAGAAACGGAGCATATTAAAATTATTTATTGCAAGACAATCCTCTACCTGACAGTCTCGACAATTTCAAAAGAAATTGACAAATTCGATTAAAACATAATTTAACTAATATAGTTACTAAATAGACGAATAACAAATGGAAACACGCGAGTGAGCTATATACACGAACATAGAAAAAAGGATTTAAATAGTTTTTTGAACGACAACAATATAGATATATAGTTCTGGAAACTACTTAAAGCATAGAATTTTTTTATAAGAATAAAAAACGTGCGTTTACTTATAAAAATTTACTCTCATCATTTTTCCCTAACGCGCCAAATGAAGTATATCTTCAAAAAACCTAAACTGTTGACTATAGCTAACTTCAGGGTGTCGGTTTTTTGTGACGGTGTGCTGGCGCATCGTAAAAAATGTACTTTCATCATTTTTCCATAACGCGCCAAAAGAAGTATAAAGTATAACTTCAAAATAATAACTTTTTTATTTAAAGACAGTGCCACAATTCTCACGAGAAAACTCTACCAGAATAAGTGCCCGGTAGTTGATCAGTAAGGCGAAACGTAGTACCCTATTCTTCAACGATTTCAAGGCGTGGCTAAAGTACGTCGATTTGGGGAATATAAACATTTAAAAATTACACTGTTTCAACTTAAAATTGCAGAAGTATAAATCTATTCTTCTCTGAGTTTTAATTCCGTAGTATTCTGACAGCTATCATTTTTTGACATGACAGAGATTACAAACCTTATAGGCCGGGCACATTTTTCAAATCCAATGCTAGTCTTGAACATATGACTCTATACATACATTTTATTTGTTAGTGAATGTATTCATTTTATTAAGTGCGGTACTCAACATTGATAATTACATTCCTTTTCATCACAAACAGTAAAAAGAACAAGACAAAAAGCAAAAAAACGCACAAGTAAAGATAGTATTTTATTATTTTTATAAAAAATGTTTACTAAACCTGTAATTACTAGGCAGCGATAAGAAGTTAAAAGTTAATTCGATATATTGTTCGTGATATTGAAATACTTGTTATTTTTGTATTAGGTTAAGTAAGTAAATATTAAGATTTACCTTTTTGTAGGTAAAACATAAAAAATACGTAACATTTTATTTTATTGTCCTCAAATGGGCAAAATTTGTCCCCTTTTCGGCGGAGAACTTTTTAAGTAGCAACATTTATGAAATGTCAGAATTCTGCGGAATGAAAAATCAGTGTATCGTTTAAAATATTAAATCCACGCAAGCATCTAGCTAGCCCGATACCAGCGATACTTTCATTATTCGCCTATTCATTTGTTCCACAGTCTATATAAGGACGATAGATTAAGTAATATACAATAAGAATATTTTTACACAGGGCTGTTTTTTAATAATTTAAAACGATATTTAATATAACATATTAAATGATTTTGAAGCTTCTATCTGTAACATCACGATTGCGATTCGCAAACGCGTTAATTGACACTGACATAATATTCAAGTGAATAAAAAAAAAAATTTCAAAGACTAACTAGAAACGCGATTGTATTGTCTAAGATTCACTATCATTTTAGACGTACTGGACCCAGTTCCTGTACTCTAAATGTCACCCTAAGATTTAGAAACGAGACTTAGGGCGTACTATAAATGTCGTATGTCAAAATTCATAGATCTAAGCGCCTCCTTCCAAGTTTATATACAGATACCGGCAAACATCTTGGGTGAGCGACGAAGTTGCGCAAACTTTCCCCCACTTTCCCCGTTTGCCGGTATCTGTACTTCGAACCCATAAAAACTATTTTATTCAAGTCTGTGGTAATATATAAACTATATACAATAATTGTATGTTTTATACACAATGGTATTCATGTATAAGGCCTGCCTGTAATACTAGTATACCTATTAAGCAAATTATACACAACAGTTCTGTAGTAGCAAAATATCCGTTTCAAAAACATCTCTATACTCCTCAATAACCAGAGACTATTCTTTCAGCTGTCCGCATCATTCTTGCCAAACCAATTCTTCTCCTCCTCAGCCTTCCTCTTACTCTCAGCCGCAATTTCCTTCAACGTCATCTCCCTATTATCAATCAAATGTTTGACATCATCAAACTCTTTAAATATATCCAAGTCATCCTGGTGCAGTTTAATATGACTTTTCAGGCTGCACTTCTGCATAAACGTCTTCTTGCAGACCTCGCACTGATATCTCTTATCGTCCTCATGAATTTTCAAATGGTCCTTCAGAGTGCGGAGTCGCGAAAACGTCTTTCCACATAGATCACACGAACACACCTCCGAACCCGTATGCCTTGTCATGTGGTCTACTAGACCACGCTTCGAGAAGAACTTCGCATTACACTTATCGCACAGAAAGCTCTTCTGTTGGAGATGGTGGTGTCGTATATGTCTGTTTAGTTCAAATTTCTTCTTATACGTTTTATTGCAGGCATTACATGGGAATATTAGTGGCGCCTGATTGTGTGCTTTGACCAAATGTTCGCTTCGATCATAGTAGCTAACAAAAATTTCCGGACAGTGCGGGCATTTGTTGCGCAGCCATCCGCCAGTGTGTACGCCTTTTTCGTGGTTGCGTTTTTTCGTCAACGACGTATACGTTTTATCGCAGAAGTCGCAAGCAAAGTTGCCCTGAAAGTGGGTCTTGTCGTGTTTACGCAACGCCGCAATTGTTATATAACCAACGCCGCATTTCGAACAACAGTAATTCCTATAATGACTGCTCATATGATGATACAAATTTTTAAACGAAATATGAACAACCGAACATAGAACGCAAGCAAAATTTTGTCCGTTCTCTAATCGAAATGGTAGAATGATATCTTTTATATTTCTATGTATTGTTTTATTATGTTCGCTTGTTAAATGATCTTTCAATTCGTTCAAGTCTTTCATGGAGCGTTGGCAAATGCTACATTCGAGGTCTGTGATATCGACTTTTATGGGATTGTAGCTAAGTTTATAATCGAGCATTTTATTGATTTTATTCTTTTCGATTTGTAGCGCTGTGTGTTTGCGTAACTCGTCAATTGTTTGGAAATATTTAGCGCAGTACAGACAAGAGAAACCGCGCATAGTTTTATCCCTAAACGGGCTTGCGTTGGAGTATTGTAGTATCGTTGTCAGGTTAACTCTATGTTCAATGCGCTCTGGGGTGGCGCTATGATCAGATTTCACTTTCCGCTTTCTGCGTTTGGGGGCGTCGTCTTCTGTTCCTATAACAGAAACGAAGTAATCTCAATTATCTTCATCCATATCTTCTTATTATATATTCTTCGCTTGTTACTAAATCTGGACGGCATCTCTTATGTATGGATAAAAGCCCGAAGTTTTGTCCAAATCACATTGTTATATTTAAAGATTCAACTATACTTTTGACACTTCTAAGTCAGCGCATTTTTATTGGATGTCGCGTCATTCTCAGAAAATTGCCTAGAACGTACCGCATTTGAGTATTTAGTTCACGAATGTTTCTGATAGTTTCAAAGCTTAATTATTCGTAAGAATAGTTTTAGTTAGTCATACAACAGACAATTTATTTGCTCGCGTTATTTTAGTTTCTGTCATGTTTTTTAAAGATATTTTGGTTAAAGTCATACTCATCTCAAGTTTTAAATATGAAAGGAGACTTACCTTTGCGTTCGTCTCCCATTTAAAACTGATGACGAAGTCCAATCAAAAAAAAAAACTATCACTTCGTAATTCACTTATTGTTTTCAAAGATATTTTGGGTAGAAGTTTATAAATGTCTTAAAATAGCTATTTATTCTATACTAAAAAATCAGGTAGCAATGCAAAGTTATAATTAAAATGGGCCCAAACTTTGATATATACTAGAGCATAAGATAGGTTTATAGTAGGTTCATATAACATTGCTTGATTGGAACCCACTGGGATAGCGGAATCGTGGCTATTCCTAGCAAATCTACTCTTGGAGCTTGGAAATTCTTGGAGCAAGGGAAACTCAAGACCGAAACAAGAGTGGAAGCCCTTTGCCCTATACAGAAGTTAATCATCCTTTTAGCTTTTGGATATTTCCAAATATATTACGACTATTACGACATCAATTATTGTAGATTTACGTTACTTAACCACGATAGGATATTTTAATGTCCATAGATCGATTAACTTCGAATAAAATCTACCCTCGTATCAATGTGTCTACCCTCAGTTGTATAAATAACGTAGAATTAAATTATAACTTTGCATAGCCTCTATAACACAAACAGCAACACAAACTTATTTACGAAAGTCAGAAGTTGGTGTTGCTAACACAGAAATATAAAAAAGAAAAAATTATGGAAGGGTTTCCGTATAAATTCGAAATATAACATATGAAAAAAATATAGTTAAATATTATGAGTTCTTTCTCGTTTTAAACATTCCACACACCCTATTCAATTGTATTAATTTAATTTTGCATTGCTTGACGCTATTAAACAAATCAAAGAACGGAATTTTTATATTTTTTAATCAAGACATAAAGCAATTGATTTATTTACTATTAAATTCACGATAAATAAACAAATAATTTACTGAACTAAAATTTATAAAAAAAACAATGGAGCCTAAAATTTTTTTAGATCTGGGCCTCAGATTTAAATATATCTGTGTCTGTTTTATGCTTTGTGAATCTAATAGGCAAGTGGGTCAGCTTCCTGTGCCTAACACACGCCGTTGACTTTATAGGTCTAAGGCAAACCGGTTTCCTCACGACGTTGTCCTTCACGTGCGAATGTTAAATGCGCACATAGAAAGTACATTGGTGCTTAGCCGGGGATCGAACCTACGACCTCAGATATGAGAGTCGCTCGCTGAAACCACATGGCTAAACCTAGTTTTAAGTGATGTCCATAAGCATATTATCATCTACAGTGTAAACTCTATATAACGACACTCAACTGTGCTTATTTTGACGTTACAAAGAGTTGTCGTTAATTGGAAGAAAAATCTGTATTAGAAAAAGTTTATTTCAGACTAGTGTCAGTAATTACATAAAAACAATTCTTATTTGAACGCTTTGCTAATGCTTTTGCTGTACCAGCAAATATGTTGTATTTTTTTATACTTATTTAAATCTTGCGATATTAAGGCATCTTTGTGATAAAGTACGTGCAAGCAATCCCAATTTGTAAACAAAAACGGATTTCTTAGAATATTCAGTACGTATGATTTTATATACGGGCTAACAATAAAGCGACAAAAGAACGTACACAGCTCTGCAGTTTTAACTTATTTCGGCAACTTAAAAAGTACTTTTTATTATTTAATTGTCGTTATTGAGAGTGGGTGTAATGCTATGTAGACTGTACCATTGTATGGAAGACAAGCTTTAGGGTGCGTACAGACTATGTAACATATTATATAACTTGTGTTTTATAACACGTCCATATTAAGTAACCTTGTTATTCAACATTATAACATAAAACGATACTGTACACATTAGAATAACAATGCAGTATAACAATTTTATACAACCATTGTCGTTTGTCGTTCTCCAGTGCTATCCACAATGTCGACACGAGAGGACGTTTTGCTGGCTGTGGCAGCGACTGTTGTAATTTTAAATAACAAAAGAAAAACAAAAAAACGTAGATGCTGGGTTCGTCCTAGCATACATATCAATAACATGTTATTATAACATGTTATTATAACATGTTTTATAACATTCAGTGTCCACATTATCTGAAACATGTTGTATAGCAATGTTGTATAACATGTTATGTTATATAGTCTGTACGCACCTTTACCAACCATAGCCGAGTGATGTCGACGCTTTAAGGGGGTTTGTCGTTAATAGTGGGATGTTACATGGAGTTTATACTGTATATGTTCTCTCACATACAAGACCTCCAAATACTAATATGTAAAAATAAAATTACGTAACTCTTCCATAATCTTGATAAATAGGTAAATGGTTTTGTGTTCAAGGTAACATTCATTCATAAACTAGCACTTGCTTTGTTTTTTTAACAGGAGGAAAAACGGGCTGGAGGGCTGATGTTAAGTGATACACCCATGGACACTCGCACTGCCAGAAACCTCACAAGCGCGCTGCCGGCTTTTTAAGAATTAGTACACTCTTTTCTTGATGGACCCTAAGTCGAATTGGTTCGGAAATACTTCAGTGGGCAGCTGGTTCCACATAGCGGTGGTTCGCGGCAGAATTGCCTTAACGCTCAGTTGTGGAACGACGGACGTCAAGGTGATACGGATGGTATTTTGTATTCTGCCTTGACATCCATAGATAATACGGCTTGATGTAAAATATAAACATTTTAAGAATCTAGTCTTTGGACAACATTAACACAGGTCTGCGATGAAAGATTTTTTTAATAATTTCAAGTGTTAATCGATATGTTGAAAATGATATATTTTATTGTATAAATTGAACAAATCTTGAATTGAGTATAGCAACATATATTCTATTGTCTATGTCCATTTTTACAATCTTTATTCTTGATGTAACCGTCATTACTCTGTGGTTAATCATATAACAGTGTTTCCTAACCTTAGCTTTTCTAAAATGGCTAGCCCCCTTATGTAATATACATAATTTTTAATATTAAAAATTTGAATTGTTCACTTCCCTTCATGTTTTATGAAGAAATTACTAGGAAATTTTTAACGAAACATAGTAAGTTAATTTATAAAACATAATAAAAAACTGAAATTGAAATTACAAATTATTTTAATAAATTTTCTAATAGTTCTATCTCTATATACATAAAATTGTCGTGTCACAATGTTCGTTCCCATACTCCTCCGAAACGGCTCGACCGATTCTTATGAATGTTTTTATGCATATTCAGTGAGTCTTAGAATCGGCTACTATATATCTTACAAACCCTTAAGTGATAAGGGGTGTCCATCCCAAAATTTTTATTTTTTAAACAATTTTTTTATGATACAGCATACAAAAATACATACAACCCCTATTTTTTATTATTGTAGAAAGTTCTTTATATTAAACTAAAAAAATATTTCCTAGAAATAATATACAAGGCAAAACGTTTGCCGGGTCAGCTAGTACATGGAAATGTTTGCTCCATAATGTTTTCAATGAAAAAGCTATATCAACTAAATCTCTAAACTTGGTATATATAATCACTATTGTTTTAACTTTCATACATATAAGAAATAACAAGTTTTTTTAAATCTTTCATAAAGCTTCGCAGACCTGTGTAATCACTTATTATTTTAGCTTAGGTAATGTTTCAATGAGACCTTTAGTTATCAAAAGCTTCAGTTTTTACAAGGTTTTAACTGTCATACTCATTATAGTTAAACAATTGAACAGTTTCATAGATCTATCTTATATGAAAAATTGAAGTGTGTAGTCCCTAAATTTTAATGGCGAAGAGTGGCGGAGAGTTTATTGCCAGTTCTTCTCTTCCGTTCTACGGCCTTGATTTAAGAACTGGCAGAAAATGTAAAATTAGAAGCACTTAATGTATATTTCTTTTTTGACGTTCATAAGTGTACACTGTGTTACCTACATGAATAAATGATTTTTGACTTTCGACTCAAAATGTCGTAACCATGGCAACAGCACTTCACCCATCAAGCCGCATAAACACTAAACATTTTTTTTAATGGCTCTGGCACGATTTGTGCATAAGCCAGCGTCAAGTATAGGATTTTTTATAATTCGTGCTTGTCTTTAGAAATTCGACCGTGTCCTCCATGTACGGTTTAAGCACTCGCCCGGTACCGCACAACCCTCCCAAAGGCCGAGAACAAATTTAAATTAAATCAAAACTTGCCCTCGAACCGGGAATCGAACCCGGTACCCCTCACCTAGCTGCCATTAATAAGACCGCTAGGCTATGAGGCCCCTCACTAAACATTTAAATCAGTTCCAACAGCTAGTAAAACAAAAGACGACACAACTAATTTTGTTTATTGCTCCTTTGATTTGCAATTAATTAATCTTTGTTGTCCGTGAACACAAAACCATTAAACCTGATAAATGAAACATACACTTACGTTTATTCGACGGCTCGCCAACTTCCACTTTAGGCTTTTTCGCCTTCGACGTGGAGGCCCTCGCTGGTCGCTTCTTCGTTTTCGACTCCATCTTCTCAATTTTAATTGACTGGATTGGTACGTCGTATTCTGAAATTTTAAAACATCTCTTAAGTGCGTGATATCAGAAAATGAGGCGGCTTCAAAACCCGAAAATAAATAGTGTTCATTCTTTATAACGAATTTCGTTATAAGGAGGTAAGGGAAAAAATCATATATTCTATTTTTGCCTGACGTTTTGCTATGCCAATATTTGTTGTACTTCGACTAAAATTTCATACAGGCAATGTTATCTAAAAATAATGGTACACGTGTTAATGCAATTAACAATAACAAAGGCGAGACGGCTGTTTATGACCTCAGTTTGTCAAAAGGTTAGTTTTGTAATCTGATTATAAAAAACATTACACTTAAGTATGATTTTGATGTCTAAATATGAAAATATTACTTCGTAATAGAGAATGGCTGTTGCTTTATAAAGGGTGAATCAATGTATGGGTCTTGTGTTAAACCAAACAAATTTAACTATTTTTCGTTATAACTAATGACGTTATAAAGAGTTTACACTATATATATTTTTTTTAAATATGTTTTATTTTACATAATAATAACTCTTAATCAAACTAATACAGGGAATAAAACTATTGGTAATAATTAAAATTTTGTCTTAGATATTTTTATCGACGTAACGTTAAAATTCCTTTTCTAATTCTAAAATTATTATAATGTAGATAACAAACAATACGTAAGTATTCTCGGGAGTCCTAGATTCATTTTTCTATTACAAATAATAATTGTTCTACCGAAAATAATAATATCCTATAAATAATATTTGAAAACTCAAATCTATATATTCATTATTTAAGACTTTAAAGTCTAGGCTAACAGTATCATCTTGACCATTTGTTTTTTTAATAGTTAGGAGATCAGCCTTCAATGACTGACACACACTGTCAAATTTTTTAATCCAAGGCAAGCATTTTCCTTCACCGTACAAGCGAGTGTTTAAAGTGCACATAGAAACACTATTGGAGCCTAGCCGTGTTTGAAGCTACAACCTCAGAGATAAGAATCGCTCTGCTCTTACAAATCAAATAAAATTCACATTCATATATACAGCTGAGCTGATAACAGAATGGTATTTTCTATGCCAATCAGCGTTGCCATACGTCCCGATTTTGGAGGGACGTCCCGATTTTTTAATGAAAATGAAATGCCCCGCGCGGGACAGACTTTTCCCGATTTTTGGGGTTAACTCAAGACACCACTGCCATGCCATGCTCAGAAATGGCACCAGCTCTTTTAACAGCTACCAAAAAAAGATACCAGGTATATCATATACTCATTCCTCAGAGTTCTGACAATTATTTGAAACGCCATAATTGTCTAATGAATACTTTTTTTGGTTTAGTTTTGTTTATTTTATTTTTTTATTAAGAAGACAAGTATTTAACGATAGGGTAAATCTGATTTAAAATATCACCAATCTGATAAAAAATCTGGCAACGCTGATGCCAATACAATAAAACATTATACATAATTATAAACATGAAATACATGATACTTACCAGGACTAGAGAAATCATCATCAATATTATCACCACCATCAGAGTTTTCCATTGGATCGTTGTTCAATTCTATTTTAACTATATCTTCTGCAACAAATAATACAAATGCTTAGCCAGTTTAAATATTATAGTTTAAAATCACAATTTACACAAGACTAGACTTAACTAGAGAAGATTAAACTGCAAATAACAATAGTAATTATTTGTTTCTATATTATGTAGTATGGTCTATATTATATTAATTTATAGCTTAAAAATGTTTTAGAAGAGATAAAGGATATAGAAAATATATTGTCTTTCACTTACGACTTGACTTTAGCCAGTTTTTTTTTTAAATATTTACTTAAAATATTATTACACAATTTATATCTTATCTCAATATATATAAATTACGCGTCACGGTGTTTGTCCGCTATGGACTCCTAAACCAATTTCAATCAAATTTGCACACCGTTGCAGTTTGATCTAACTTAAAAGATAGGATAGCTTACATCTCAATTAATACCTGCAATATTATTTTATTGCAAATTATTTGTTTATTATTTGACAGTCACAATTCTAACAGATGGCACCGTGATGAAAGTACCAACGTTTCACAGAAGCTACAATTTACTGGCATAACCACCAAAAAAGCATGGTGGTGCCCATGGCTGTCCCACAGCAACGCTTGGCTGAGTCTTCTAGTATATATATATTTAATTAATGCATTTATACCAACATGCTTGGTTTAATTCTTGTCAAAACACAAACTGGCCTTTTGCATTGAAAGGCTTATTTAGAAATATCTCTGCCCTATTCTTGACCAATGTACTTTATTCACATATAAATTTGTTCAAGTGTTTAAATAAATACCTTTTAAAAACTTATCTTGCATCCTCTTAAATTGTTCTTCAGTATTTTGTACCTGTTTTTTAAAATTAAATGCATTACGTAATTGTGTGATGCAGACCTCGCAAATACCACCATTGTTCTCCAGTGACGTTGAGAGCTGTTAAAACAAAAATTCAATTTTAATATGTATACTATAGTGTATTGCAACGCCTGTCGGTGCTCTTTCTAGAGATATTGTTATAAAGAAAGTAACATAACATTGTATAAGCAATGATAACCGACCCAAAGTCAAATAAATTCAACATTTCATCAGTCAAGTAATGTGATATAGCTTAACTGTACCAATGAAGAGATAAAACTTAGTCTCCAAACATGTAAATCTCATATCAAGTGAAAAAATATTTTCATGTTTTGTTACCAACAAATTATTATTTTCCTAAGAATCCATCCATAGAATCATCTTAGATATGTAGTGTTTTGCATATTACTTTACTATTTTACTACAATTTTCAATAAAAATATTTTTTCAAAGACATTAAGTACTTGTCAAAGTCATGATATAACTACAGCGGCCAATAGACTGTTTCTAAGAGAACTGGGAGGTATAACAATCACACCACAAGTAAATATAATTTTGCACAGGAAAATGTATGTTTTGCAAATTTATTAATTCCAAGCTTGTACATCATGTTATATATCCACACAGATTTGTTACACCAAATACCAAAAATTAGGCTAATAGGCTCATCATACTTTATATGTAAATATAGTAATTATTGTTTAATAAATTAAAGTCTTACTTAAATTTAAGAATATTACTTATATTAATAAATAGTATAATTATCAATTATTCTGTAATTTAAATATTTAAAGTTGGTTCTGTTGATTAAAAAGACAATATATTTTGTTTGAATGAAATGAATTTGTGTTTTTATTTATATATGACATGGAGCTTTTATATAAAGATTATTGGAAGTTCTAGATTTTAAGATATACAGTAGAAAAGTAATTAAATTTTTTATGTACTTTCAGTGGGGTAATTTCATCAACGAAAGTATGGTGTTAAGAATTAATTACAAATTTAAATAGTTAATGTTTTGTAAAACAAATGAATGCGCTGAACAAATACGGAGCCAAGCCGACATTCGATCAATAAATGTGATACATAATTTTTATTAACACTTTTAATCTAAACTCCCTTAAAATGATAAAATTCAGGTTTTAACTAAACTATACTTACAGTGATATCGAAGCAGTCTTTTAACATGTCGCTATATACTTCTTCGGCACCCATCCATTGATATGAAGCTGTGAAGTCTTTATAAGTGCCCTCGGAGGCACAACACCGACACATTCCGTCCTTCAAATCCTCCATTGTTTTTATTACTAATTCCACAAAAACTTCACTAATAATTATGCACTTAGGAATTAATTATCGGTATACTCTTGGCGTGCCTTAATCGAAGATCCGCCATTTTAAAACATTTTTTTTTTTTTAATTTATTTATTAGCCGGATACAAAGTCCATTGGGTTTTAAAACATTTTTTTTTTTTTTTTTAATTTATTTATTAGCCGGATACAAAGTCCATTGGCACGTTTTAAAACATTAAAATGTTGTGCTGCCAGCTACATACAACAGTTTTTTTTCCTGAATACAGACTGTGTCAAATAGCAAATAGCTCATTATTTAATTTATGTTGTAATAGAAAAAAATTACATTTCACATTCTAGTACTTCATTAGCTTTGTTATGTAAACTTTAATTTAACATTTCACATAGTTTGATAATTTGTTACAATTTTGTTATTAAGTTCACCATTTATATTTATGGTAAACGTAAAAAAATAGGTATCCAAATTGCGTGCAAAATGGCATACCAATGGCGTTAAATAAAGCTTAAGTTAGTCTACAAAATTCAAAATTTGGGTTTTCAGAAATGTAATTAAAATATGAGTTATTTCGTCGATTAGTTTGGGTCTTAATTTTTTACGAGAAAAAAATAATTTCGGGGTAAGCTTTTTTAACTTAACTAATATGTTTTTGCATTAAGCCTACCAAAAATGAGTCTTAGATAGATTTAGAACTTTCACCATTCTTGCGATCAGTAAAACTATAATTGAAATGGCAAGAATAAATCCTTTCCCCTATGAAATTTCTGTGCGAGAGGGAAATTTTCATAGGTCGCTAAGACATAGTCAACAAACAATTAAAAAAATGTTAGACTGAATATTTCGATTACATTTATTCTCAGTTAAAAACCCCAGCAAATGCTATATTTTTAAATCGGTATATGGCAGCTGAAGCTAAATGCTTCGAAACCTAACGATACCTAACGACGAATGACACTGAGATTTTTTTTAGAGATGACATTCAAAGCCACAAATCAGTTTTGCTCCTTAATTTTTAACTATTATTTTATGTAAATTATTTAAAAGTTTTATTGATGTTATTTAAAATTTAGTAGGTACAGTCATCTATTGTACTCAGGATACTGTTCCTACTACCTCGCAATCTGCATAAAAGTGATGCCGTTCTTTTTTGACGGTTAGTCCAGAAGTCATCAGTTTGAGCCTTTTTTGTTTAGTTCAAAATTGCTTTACGTCCAAGAGTTCTTATAAAAGCATTATTCATTGTAAATCAATGAATAAAATGTAAACAATCTATAATTTTTTCAAAATACAACTTTATTTCTAATACAAAATGGCGAATGCCCATATAAGGTTGCATCAGCTAAAGTCTAAAACATGTTTCTCTCTTTCATCGAATTATTTTGTACTGTAAAAAGAGAAAGAGACAAGTTGAAATTTTACGAGAATCATTAAATGTCTCACATAAATATCTATATATAAAAAATGAATCCCTATTTTCCTTGGTTACGGCATCACGCGTGAACGGCTGGACCGATTTCGCTAATTATGGTTTTGTTGTGTGTGTTATTGTCAGGAAAATTGCGCGGAAGATTAGAAAATTTAAGAATACTTAACCACAATACAATTCAAACGTTTTTGATGTATCCTTATGGCGTTTGACATAACATTGACAGAATGCGTGCTAAAAATATCGTCAAAGAGGATGTAAGAAAATTATATGGATAAAATATAATATAATAATAATAATCAATAAATGTATTAAAAAAGGTAAAATATGTCATAGACTATACTGACTATAACTAGATCAGCACACTACATCAAAAAACTTTTAGAAAGGGAGACAAGAAGAAACTGTATAAGCTAATATGTAGGTATATATAATATAATAATAATAAAATGATATACATTGAAATAAATAACTAAACTTAACATAAACTAAAATATATCATTAAAAGGAGTCCCTTTAGGCAAGGTTCCGAAGATACTGGCAGCGTTCCCCCTTTGAATTGCTAGACTAATGAACTCCTCTTAAACGGTAGGACCGATTTGAATGCTTTTTTTAGTTAGACAAGACTACCCTATTTTAGTTAGATTGACGCGACTGGCAACCATAGTTATACTGGCTACAGGCCAATCATAGAACAAGTACTAAAAACCACCAATTTTGACACTGACAGTTAACATGTATGATTTAATTTGGACTTAATATTTTGTAATTTGTTCGTCCAACTTCAATTTGATAAACAATAAATAGTGTTCATTAATCATTTAAGTAGTTTGATAGTAATTAGTTAGTTAATAGATAAGAATGAATACAAATTCGTTGTGCCGGTGTTGTTTGGCACGCCCCCCCGACAAAGAGCTAAAAGCATCATACACTTGCTTTGGAAAACACGAAATATATGCCGATATGTTAAAAGATTGCTTCGAAATTCATGTAAGTTTTAATTGAACTTACATTTGTATTTTTTACATAGTTAGAGGTAGATGTGTTGTATTATATGCAGATTATATTTTGTTATCTAAACGATTTTTATGTTAGATACTATATTCCATACTAAAATGCAATACATATATTAATTTTATGAAAGTTGTATCTAAATATCAACGGTACAATATCTTCTAGTATTAAATAACCTAAGTCTGAAAGTTGCTTCATGGTTTGAACTAACTGAAAAAAATATAATATAAAATATAATCCAATTGGTTTCTTAATTTTCTTATAATCAGATCAACTGCTACAGAACATTCAACAAGAAAGAATATTCTATACTATTTTCCTTTACTAAATAATATTTATTTATTTATTTAAATCATCACACATTTTTTCCGAGACAGAGACCACAGATCTTATACTTCCTTACTATATATGTAAGTGGTTATTTTGCATAGTATAATCAGTTTATTTGACTAATTCTGTGTTGCTTCATATTACAGTTACCAATAGACATCTCAGGTGTTGATGGTGGTATATGCGAGATATGTATAACTCGTCTCCGAGACTCATTTGACTTCAAGCATCAAGTGTTGAGATGTCAGAAGGAGTTTCAGTTAGCCATGAAAGATGTCAAGAGTAAGATATTTTTTATAAGAACCAACCCCGTTCAACTATTACGTAATAGGGGCGAGGGGAGTCTTTGATTTTCTAATTTGGTTTCACATATTACCCACACATTGTCTATGCCTGAAAACGAAATGCATTTCTGAGTATTCCTACAAGAAATAAATGTTTTTATGTACTATTATTTTGGGAGCTTTTCTTAATTTTGCTGACAAGATGAAGGGGGGGGGGAATTAATTGCAGTAAATCTGCTGATAACTTAAACGGCCCCAGAGCTTTTATATACGTATATATAACAGGGAAACGCAAAAATTTCATGAGAAATATTTTCTGCAATTTCAGAGGAAGAAATGACAAACGTGAAGGAGGAGTTGATAGATGATAGTGACGGTTACTTTTTTGGTAAGTCGGTTATAATATTTAATAATTGTTTACCCTGTACTAAACCCACTAAGGGGGTCTACAGTCTACTTAAGAGGCTTCTTCAGTATACACCAAAACCAACATTTCCAGGAAGTTTCTGGAAAATATAATGTAAACCCTTTATAACGTCATTCGTTACAACAAAAAATGAGTTAAATTTGTTTGGTTTAACACATAACCCATACATTAATTCACTCTTTATAACGCAACATTCTCTATAACGAAGAAATATTTTCATATTTAGACATCAACAACATACTTAATTGTAATTGTTTTTATAATCAGATTACAAAACTAACCTTTTGAGGTGCCGAAATTTCTAAGAAAGACACCTGAGGTCATAAACAGCCTTCTCGTCTTTGTTATTGTTAATTGCATTAGGGAGCGTGCAAGTATTACGTAACGTATTTTGGGGGGGGGTCCTTTTTTGGGATTAAATTACGCGTTACTGTTAATATTTTTTTCGACTTACACCACATAATAGTAACTAAAGAGTCACTAGGTGGTCACGAAACGTTATACTATACTTGGGTACAGTACTGTACTTGGGTACTGAAAAACGTTACGGCGAGTAACATGGGGGGGGGGGTCAATAATCTCCAAAAATTGCGTTACGTAATACTTGAACGCTCCCTTAACACGTATGTTAATACTTAGATTACATTGTCCGAAGGAGTCTGTCTCAGTTACTAAACGCACCATTGTGACCTATCTATATATATAAATTATTGTAATTGGTTAAATTTGGTACCTATAACGAATTGTTAGTTGCTCACAAACTTTCAGGTGCAGCATAATACGTGAGACAAAAATAACAGACTATACGCAATTCAAATAAAGATTGTTTTCTGTGTAATTGCTAACCCTAGTCTGAAATAAATTTTTCCTTTTTCAAATACAGAATCTTCTTTCCATTTAACGACTACTCTTTGTAACGTCAAACGCACAAACTCAAAATATATTTATTCATATAGGTAAACAAGTTCACTTATCAACGTCAAGAAGAAGTTAAATTAATTATAAATTTACATTTACTACCACTTCGCAAGTCAAAGGTAGAGCGGGTAAGAAGAACTTTCCGTCACTCTTTTTAATCGCCAAGTATTGAGTCATACAAATTGTTAACTGGAGCAAATCAATCCCAAGGATTAGGATCATTTAAATAATCGTCAAACTTATAAAAAATTACGTTTAACGAGGGCTTTGAATTTATTTAGTGATAATTCTCGAATTTCGCTTAGGAGTTTGTTGTAAAAACGAATACAATTTCCATATAAGGAGTGGTTTATCTTCTGGAGCCTGGTTGGTCGTACACTCAAATTAGTTCTATTTCGCGTATTATACTGGTGAAAGTCACCATTTGTTTTAAAATCGTTTATGTTTTTTTGGGCAAACAACAAGGCTTCAAGAATATATTGACCAGATAGTGTCATAATATTTAATTCCTTAAACTTATTCCGGACCGACTCCCTCGAAGAAACACAACAAATACCCCGAAACACACATACCCATGAGTGTCATTAGAACTTATACTACTTATTGTGTAGTAAGCTCACGTATATATTTTCAAAGCTATTTGATTTTAATTTCAGATATGAATACAGCCCTACCAGAGATAGACTCAGAAGTGAAATTAGCTGAAATATTTGGGTTGAAGGATATCAAAAGGAAGAGAAGCCGTAAGAGACTTGCAGAGTATGATGGTGAGTTTATTAGATTAAAACCGCGCTATAGATTTGCGCTAACACTTTTCCATTGCGCTGCGTTTAGGAGCGTTCAAGTATCACGTAACGCAATTTTTGGAGATTATTGACCCCCCCATGTAACTTGCCGTAACGGTTTACAGTACCCAAGTATAGTAAACGTTTCGTGACCACCTAGTGACTCTTTAGTTACTATTATGTGGTGTAAGTCGAAAAAAATATTAACAATAACGCGTAATTTAATCCCTGCCCCGCATCGTAACGTTTTACAAAAGGACCCCCCCCCAAATACGTTACGTAATACATGAACGCTCCCTTATTGCGTTAATACTTTGGACCAATTTTTAAAAGGTCGGCAACGCACTTGCGAGTATTATGGGCGGCGAGCGATACGTAACATCAGATGAGCCTCTATATAAAAATCTGTTTTTATTGGTCGTATCCAACTTCAGAACTGAGATTCGCACGCTGAATATTTTATAATCATACAATAGCGTTACAACGTTGTTAGGTCTGGGCCTAGATCTGGATCTGGATGTGCACTTACATGATCATTTGTAAATCTAATAGGCAAGTCGATGATCATTCCATGTCTGACACACGCCGTCAACTTTTTCGGTCTAAGGGAGCGTTCAAGTATTACGTAACGCAATTTTTGGAGATTATTGACCCCCCCCCATGAACTCGTCGTAACGTTTTTCAGTACCCAAGTACAGTACTGTACCCAAGTACAGTACTGTATCCAAGTCTAGTAAAACGTTTCGTGACCACCTAGTGACTCTTTAGTTACTATTATGTGGTGTAAGTAGAAAATAATATTAACAATAACGCGTAATTCAATCCCCGCCCCGCATCATAACGCTTTACAAAAGGAAACAACTCGTTACGTAATACTTGAAACGCTCCCTAAGGCAAGTTTCCTCACGATGTTTTCCGTCACCGTTGGAGCAAATGCTAAACGATTCATAGAATTATTAATTTTCAGATTGTGACGACCTACCATTGAACACATTTAGCACGAAAACCGACATATCAGACAACGCGAAACATTCATACAACGTAAACAAAATACTAAAATACTCAAATTGTACGCCTTTTTTTAATAAAACACTAAGTGGAATCGTGTGCGCATCGTGCAAGACAACTTGTACAAACATAAACGAATTACGCACACACGTGCAAGACAACCATGCGGACACACAACACACAGACAAACGGCTCGACAAAAGTAATATATCAATAAAAATGGATATCTCGGATTTGCATTGTAAATTGTGTATGAAGAGCGTGCAAAATATACCAACTTTAAAAAAGCATTTGACCTCCGAACACAATGAGAAGTTCTTCCCCGATATTTATGATTATATCTTCGAGTTCAAAATAACAGACGGTGATATACTTAACTGCGCGTTGTGTAATTCGACATTCGAGACGTTCAAAATGCTCTTACAACACATGAACGGCCATTACCGGAATTACATTTGTGACGAGTGCGATATGGGATTCATAAATAAACACCGATTGAAAAATCACAAGCGTACACACGAGATAGGCGATTTCAAGTGCACGTATTGCGATAAAGTGTTCACGACACTCGTGCGCAGGAAATGCCACGAGAAATACACGCATAACACGAACGCGCGCTACACGACGAACTGCCCGCACTGTGACAAAACCTTCAACAGTTATTATCAAAGGAATCGGCATATGTATGATGAACATAACATTTCCGCAGCGACTTATAAGTGTAATGTTTGCGATAAATCCTTTATTTTGAAGTCCAAATTGACCTCGCACATCAAGAAGGTGCATCTGATGGAGAGGAACCACAAGTGTCCTCTCTGCGATCAGGGCTTCTTCATCAAGCAGTCGCTGGATGAACACATGGTACGGCATAATGGGGAGAGGGTGTTCAGTTGTACGGTGTGCCACAAGGCGTACGCGAGAAAGAAGACGTTGCGAGAGCATATGCGGATACATAATAATGATAGGCGGTTCAAATGTGGCCTGTGTGGGCTGGCCTTTGTCCAGAAGTGTAGTATGAAAAGCCATATGCTGTCGAATCACGGTATTTCGCTGATGGAGTTTGAAAATGCTGCTAAAGCTATTAGTGTTAAAGCTAATTAAGGTTATTTTGTGGAGCAAGCAATTGCAGTTAAAAGCATAAAACAAGAGTTACAAAGAGTAATACAAGATATAGATAAGAAAAAGAAGACGGAGAGAAGAAGCAAAGGAGGCCGAAGAGAAAGAAGACAGAGAGAAGAAGATATAGAAGGCTGATAGAAGAAGAGAAAGATGACCGAGAGAAGAAGAGTAAGAATACAGATATAAGAAGAAAAAGAAGGCCGATATAAGAAGAGAAAGAAGACCGATATAAGAAGAGAAAGAAGACCGAGAGAAGAAGAGGAAGAATACAGAGATAAGAAGATAAATGAGACCGAGATAAGAAGAACTAAGCCCGGGATAAAAGAGAAATAAGACGGAGAGAAGAAGTTACATAAGAAAAATAAGGGAGTGAGTAGAGTCAATGAAAATAAAGCTATCGCCGTGTGTTTAGATTCATTTAGTCTTGAACGACTGTAAGTACGGAATTGTATAATTTAGAAAATAATAAGGAATCAGTGCAATAATTTATATATTTATTAAGTCCTCTCTGCGCTCTTGCGCGGGTATTTCTTAAGGTGCGTACAGACTATATAACTTGTTATACAACATTGCTATACAACATGTTAGGTTTAAAGACATTTATTCTCATAACAGACAATAGTCACATGAGAACTTATATACTAAAGATACAGTTTATCACGTCATGGGTCATTGAAGAGCTTCAAGGATCAATTAGCGAAGTAGACCTTGGGTGGACTATCATTTACGCAGGTAACTGGGATCACTCAAGAGATGGTCTTTTAGTCTAAATTTAAATATTGCCAGGCTGTCTGCACTTTTTATATTTTGTGGAAGTCTATTATACCGCAGCACTCCCCCAACGCTCAATGTAAGGTACACATAAACTTGTTTCAGATAATGTGGACACTGAATGTTATAATAACATGTTTATTTTTTTTTTATTTAGTTATCAAGCCCACGACATCACACACATCAGACACACTAATAATTTCACAAAATCTTACTCCAAAATGTGCGACAATCAACGCAAGCATAAGTTTCTCAAAAAAAATCAAATAGAAATTTTAAAAAAATACAAATAAAACACACACGACAATACACACATTAAAATAAAATTTTTTTTACCATAAACATAAAATAAATTAAAATTTTCAACAAATTTGGCACTAAGCAGATAAAAAAAGAAAAATCATCAGAAAAACAGCGAAATTAGGTTCGAGAAAGACCTACAATGCTTTCTCTAAAACCGATCAGCCCACTACCGAATATATCCAGCTCCGGATAAGCTGTGTTCAATTTGTTAAAATCACGAAGAACTCGAACGAGAGGTGCCTGAACTCCTAGGTTGGTTTTGGCAGAAGGAATTTGGAAGATATTGTTGATTTTAAACCTAGGGAATGATTATTATATGTACCACAATGTTATATTGTTATGTTACTGATATGAACCCAGCATCTACGTTTTTTTGTTTTTCTTTTGTTATTTAAAATAACAACAGTCGCTGCCGCAGCCAGCAAAACGTCCTCTCGTGTCGACATTGTGGATAGCACTGGAGAACGACAAACGACAATGGTAATATAACATTGTTATACTGCATTGTTATTCTAATGTGTACAGTATTGTTTTATGTTATAATGTTGAATAACAAGGTTACATAATGTGGACGTGTTATAAAACACAAGTTATATACACCTTATAAGGTATATTAAAGAAAAGCTGTGTAAAAAGGCTTCCTATAAAGTCAACGATTATCTAGTTGATAAAAGGGCCTGGGACTAGTGCTAGACAGGCTACTTCTAATTAATTTGCGATATTTGTTTTAAATAAGTGTTGTTTGATGATTTGCTATTTTAAAAGAGTACCGAGAGTTTTTTACGCCGGCTTTTTCTCTCGGCCTACACTATATTCTTTGCCGATGAGTAGGGATGCCTACAAATTCAAATTTAATGACGTGGAATAAGTGATACATATATCTTATGTTCCATAATAAACATATTTTATTTTTTATTTTATGTTACATAGTCTGTACGCACCCTTAGACACCAAAATCGGTGTCAGGCACAAATCGGAATTGTATAAAATTATCAAAGCAATAATAACATAGCTAAATTTATCACTTTTCATATGAAACAGTTTTATATTGTCTATAAATTTATACTCAAGGACTGATTTAAAATCATTTCTTTTTAATAAAAAAATAAGCAAATATGTTATAGTTTATTAAGAAGGTCTTGTGATATTTGGTTAATTGTAGATATTATATAATAAATAATTTATATCTCTACTTTTTTATTTGGTAGACATTGATATAATTTGGTTCCTCTTTTATTGAAGATAAAACAGTGTTTAATTAAATGCCTGTTGGATCTTCTTATATCAAATGAAACGTTTTAAGTTTTTTTGCAAACAGTACATGTCTTTACATTTTAATGCTCCAATAAAGGCTTCGCTGACCTTTTTTCCTATAAATCCTATTCGTTGCTTTGAAATATTACTATAGGAATCTCCTGAAGCATTAAAACTAAGTGTATTAGTACTAATCTTTCCGTGACACTGATTGCTTTTCTATAATTTGTATATTTGAAGTGGAACTTCCTTTTTTTTATATAAACGGGCAGGAGGCTCAGTGATACCGCCGCCCATGGACACTTTCAATGCCAGAGGGCTCGCGAGGGTGTTGCCGGCCTTTTTTAAGTAATGTCACTTTAAATGTCCTTACCTGCGTAGAAGCAATTGATAGGTGTGTGGGGAGTGACGTATCGATCGCGTGATTGGTAAATCAGTTGATGCTTGTGTCCCGCGATGCGCAAACTTTCACCCACACCCTTGTTTAATGATCAAGAAGTTTGCCGGTATCTGTACTAACGCCCTAGACCAGGAATCAAATGAAGGTACATATCTCGAAATTAGAGATAATCAGCTATAAACTTTTGACGGCTCATTGGTCTAGTGGTTAGTACCCCTGACTGCGAATCTATGGATCCCGGGTTCGATCCCCGGCTGAGACGAACATTGATGTGATGAGCATTTGGCGTTTTGCTTAGGGAGCGTTCAAGTATTACGTCACGCAATTTTTGAATAATCTCCAATAGTTAAATACCTAAAAGTTACCATTATGTGGTGTAAAGTACTGGAGAGTCGAAAATAATATTAACAATAACGCGTAATTTAATCCCCGCCCCGCATCGTAACGTTTTACAAAATGACCCCCCCCTCCCAAAATTCGTGAAGTAATACTAGAATGCTCCTTTAGGTCTTGGGTGTTTAAATATGTATTTATATGTCTATCTATGTATAATATGTATGTATATCCGTTGCCTAGTACCCATAACACAAGCTTCACCAGCTTAGCATGGGACTAGGTCAATTGGTGTGAATTTGTCCAAAAAAAAACTTGGTATCCTAAAACTTGTATCAAAATTACTTCTCATAGTGTCTGCGACAAGATAGTTCATGGTTAAAAAAGAAACCATTTTTATTCCAACCTTATTTATACTAATCACTTTTTAAATAAAAATAAAGCTATTCAATTGTTATTTAATGTTTTATTGCAAAATACCATTTCATACATTAATAAACGTTAAAATATAAAAAAAAGTTCATAATAATGAAAACTAGTTCTAATTTTAATTTTGTTTTTAATCATCGTCTTTCGCTGTAAACTTTCAAATTTCTCTGGTCTTTAACGACATTTGTCCCCAGTTCTTCCAGGATTTCGGGGTCTTTATTGATCACTCTGATATTAGGTGAAGTATTGACAAGCTTGCCATTACACTGGCCGCAAGCTAAAGAGGACAACAACACTGCTTTCCTGCATCCACATCGCGAAATACAACCACTCTTGCAGTCGCAGAGGACAATGTATCAGATTTTGAGAAACGGCAGTCATCATTCAATAAATTACCGCTTCCGTCTCGTTTCTGTATATCCCTCTCAATGAGAGGGATATACAGAAACGAGACGAGAGGCTCTCATCTATATATATATTTTATACACACTTTTAACAATTAGTAAAATAACCAAATTTCCTGTTAAAACATGTAGAAACCACGAAGAAAATTGTGACATAATTATACTAAATATAATAACTAGAACGAGAGATGCGCTGTGTATTTATGTTAATCTGTTTATTTAACAGATAATTGATAAACCACAAATGTTAAAAATAATTTTTAAAAATATATTCAAAAATGATGAGTCAATATATACTTATAATTTACTTGTTGAGGTCTGTGTAGGTGTATGTGTGTGTACGTTTTAAAAATCCAATCGATTTGCTTATTTCCAAAAATATGGAATAAATCGAGCAATTAATCTTGGGCCGTGGGGTTCAAGAGCACAGGCGCTAATTAAAGATTTATGACGGCGCCTGGTAGATAGTACCTACCGGTGACCTCAGCTTGTGCTTTCCTCGCTTAACGAATAAGTATCGCAATACAGCAAGGAAATTCTGCCAGCGTTAAAGGCACACTGCCAGAGACTAATCTTTTTAAATTTGTTTTAATTTTATTTACTTAGACAAATATGGCGTATAGTTGATAGCGATAGCTAGTTTGGTCAGCCCACCTGACGGTCACGAATACGAAGTACAGGATCGAGTGTACGATGTTAAGAAAAACTACCCTCTAATAAAAAGTATAGCTTTTAGGTTTAGTATATCTTCTCGTTTGGAAAAAACACTAAGCGCCTGAAATATTGTGATAAGTTATACGTGCCGAACTCCTGCTTAACCTTTTTAGTAGTCGTTTTTAGACCCCTCATGGCTATATTAATAAAAAAAGGGTGCGTACGCGCGTAAGAAGTTATACTTCTTTGGCTTTCTTTATTTTTTTAAAAATATTAAATAATTAATAACAAATATTTAACGTTAATAATTTAATATGTTATTCAATTATTAATTAATAATAATTATTATTTATTATATTATTCATTCAATTTAATAACTACGTATGTTTCATAGCCTTTTAACTAAGTAACAATAGGTCTTTGTGAAAAAGCATTGCTAAATTTCTTCGAAAAAATAATTAAAACTCCTTTATTTGTTTAAAAGGTAAATGTCATTATGTTCATTCAAAATTCTTGGCATAGCTGCTAACTTCACGCATATTCTATTTCTTTTTACTTGTAGATTGTCTTATTCCCATCTCGCTCGCGCACGCTATAATCACACTGACAACTTTGTGTCTCAGGTGCAGGTAAAATTTCACTCTCATCAATTTTTCATAACGCGCCTAAAGAAGTATAACTTCAATAAAAAAAATGATAGGCTTCTGAGACTTATTTTAAAGTTTGTTTGCTCAGGTAGAAAATAGGTAGTAAATATGTATAAAAAGGCTGTCACTCAAAGATTCTTAAAATCCAATTAAATGATAGTTGGTCAGCCAACTTGACGTCATCTTCTTTATTATGTTCTTTAATGCAGAGGTAGCAAATGCGTATTTCAAGGTAGTAAATTTTTTTTTTTTTTTTTTTTGTTGTATCTGCTTCATGGCAATCTGCTATCCAGCAATAAGCCACTTGTTTGTTTGATTTTACTCAGTTCATGTTATCCTCAAGAGCCATACTCGACAGAGCCACGACTCTCTTGATGTTAAGAGGTAAGTCTTTTATATAGGCTCGGTACGTCCCTTCTTTTTAGCCGCTTATGCTGAAGACCGCCTTCTCCGCTCAGAGCGTGTGCCAGTTTATTTACATGGGAGGTCAGCTTCTCCTGGTATTTCAGGCTGTTTTGAGCTATTTCCTGTCGAACTGTTTTTAGGCCGAGGTCGAGGTATATGTACCTATTGCTTATACAATGTGGGATGCCAAACATTGTTCTCAGAGCTTTGGTCTGGAATCTCTCCAAGATATCTATGTTACTGTTGCTGGCCGTTCCCCCACAGTTGTATCCCGTAAGTCCAGATTGGTTTTAAGGTGGTTTTATACACTAGCATCTTGCTGTTAGGATTAAGTTGTGATTTGCGTCCCAGTAACCAGTTCAGTGTCCGCAGCCTTCCATCCAGTTGTTTGCGCTTTGTCCAAATATGTTTTTGCCATGTAAGTTTCCTGTCTAGGTGCATGCCCAAGTATTTTGCGTTATTTTCTTGAGGGATAACTTTGCAGTTTAGCGTTACCGGAGGACATGTTTCTCTCCTAAGAGTAAACGTTACATGTACCGATTTGCTCTCGTTGGCTTTAATTCTCCAATGCTTCAGCCACCTCTCAACTTCTATCAGGTGGTTTTGCAACTGTGATGATGCCGTTTCTGGGTTGCTATGAGCCGACAGAAGCGCCGTATCATCAGCGTATGTCTCAGTCGTGGTGTAGTTAGTTGTTGGGATGTCTGCTGTAAAAATGAGGTATAGTATAGGGCCCAATATACTACCCTGAGGGACACCTGATTTTAATTCGTGTACTTCTGAGAGATCATCGCCGTACTTCACTTGGTAGCATCTTTTCTCTAAGTAGGATTTCAATATTAGGAATAGACAATGTGGAAGATGCTTCTTTAGCTTGAACAGGAGGCCGTCATGCCATACCTTATCAAACGCTTGGCTGATATCCAAAAAGACTGCAGAGCAATATAATTTGTTTTCAAGGCACCTGCTAATGGTGTCAACTATACGGTGTACCTGTTCAATTGTCCCGTGTTTTTCCCGGAATCCAAATTGGTGGTTCGGTAATAGTGTACTTAGATGTTCTTTCATCCTGTTAAGCAATATCCTCTCAAACAGTTTGCCAATAACTGGTAGCAGGCTGATAGGTCTGTATGAAGCAGCTTCGTGTGGGGGTTTACCGGGTTTCGGCACCATGACTATATGTGCAATTTTCCATTGCCCAGGGAAAAAAAGGTAGTAAATAGTGTCAAATAGGTAGAGAAATATGGCGTATAGTTTGATTGCGATATGAAATTTGGTCAATAGGCGTCCGTAGTGATCTCGTGCGAAATAAAACAAAAAAATACAGCAAATAAAAATATATTTAAATAAAATATTTACACATATACCGACCAACCATTTACACAAATATACCAATAAATAAAATAGGCTTAAAACTACATCAGCGCTTAAACAAAATTTACTGTTGAAGATTCATTTTACATTCGACCAAAACAACCAATCGCAATTAGACAAGTCGATAATTGGACACAAAACAGTCTACCATGCGTTTGACAGACAAATCCTCAAGTAGCTTGGCCATGCGTTTGACAGTTTAGCGCTAACTTACGTATAAATCGTAGTAACGATACGTATTTTATATCACGCAAACTATTTCTTATTTAGCGGGTATGTCAAACCCATGGTCGGGCTACTGATCGACTCGAGCGTTGAATTTATGAGCATACGAGTGAATACTAAAAATAACTGGATTACACAAAAATTAACTTTAAAAAAAAATTCAAACTTGCCAAAACTATTATGGTTTTATATAGGAACGAAAATTTAATTTTAAAATTAATGTGAGCCCTCGACCAACGTTTTGAGTCCGCTTATTTCGTTGTTTTAACTCTGCAACTAACCGTAGACTTGATTAATAAAAAAATAATAAATCCGCCTTCAAAAAAATAATTTCTCATTCTTAAACCTATTAACAGTGCGACACTACATTTGTGCAAATTTTTAAAATTTTCAATTATTTTATATAAAATCTATACGTTGCACAACAGTAATAAATTCTGAGCATTTACGACCCCACGAACCCAAGCACTTATCTAATCTATATCTAAGAAAAAAATAACCAATAATATATAGAGTGGAAATGAAAGTGATTTGCAGCAGGCGTGACCGGCTGTTCAAATGCATGGTCGCGGAGCCCCGATGGTCAAGTGCATGGTCACGCGACACCCGATGGTTAAAGGCGTGGTCGCATGACAAGGCTAACGTGTGAAAGAGAGAATAGACATTTTTTCTGGTCATTTGATCGCTAAAGCTAGTATGGTTGTTGGAATTTGTCAAAGGGCGACCATATGTATTCATCATAGGAAATATATATTATGTATAATACAACATTTTATTGTTAATAAATCCCACTGCATCCACTCTATATATTTCAAATAATTTCATTTAAATATTATGTCAAATTTCCACTTCAAACATCTGAAATATTACAAATTAAAAAAGTACATTTTCCATCTGTTTCAAAACTTCGTCAAAATGAGAAATGTCACTGTCAAATCTATGCTTTCAACTCAGGGAATGTTTCAGGCCTAGCGTGAAACGTCGATGTCTCATGACAAGGAATGTTTAAGAGTTTTACAAAATAGATGGCGCTGTAAGGAAAAAGATTAGAAAGCTCGAAACACAGAAACAAAATTGAATAACAGAACAGTACAAGAATTTATTAAAGCGCCATATTTGTAGCAAGAATAGCCGAACTATTAATAAAAAATGACGTCATTGATACCAAAATACTAATTAATTTGACTTTATGGACCGCTACTGTAGGTTTCAACTGTATGAGACAAAATTACCAACAATTACACAACTCTAAATAAATTTGTGACAAACTATTATCACCAGTGCAGATAACATCTAAATTAAAATGGAGGTAAAATTTGAAGTTTCAGTAAATTTATTCAATATACATATATTATAGACACCAAAAATTTAATTAAAAGATACTACCTAAGACAGTAGCACAATTTTTTTTAATTTTCATTAATTTGTTTAAAATATAATGTATCGTATATAAGTTAAGTCGGAGTTATTACTTCACTTTAAAAAAATACAGTTACGAAACTTCCAATTTTACTTACATTCCTTACAATAACAATGAGTATAGAACATTGTCTGTGACATTTTTAAATTATTTCTGTAACAGGGGGCTTACCATGAATAAAAACCAAAAATAATTAGTTTACAATTTGTGACCAAACGCAGGTCAAAATAAATCTTACAAATTTCGACTATGCATTATTAATATTATTATTTTTATGGTAGCCCCTGCATTTTACTATTTTTTTTTAAAACTACCCACATTTAGTTAAGTGGGGACATGTAGGTGATGTCGTCCCACGGGTGCCTGTACAGCGGCTGCTTCATCCTCTTCTGGTCGAGATAATGACCAATGTGTCCGATCGTTCTGCCGAGAACGAACAACGCGTTGATCGATCCCATTTGTATATAGTTGTTACCTTCCTCCCTGGAAAGAAAACAAAATTCATTTACACCATCCGTATCACCTCGACGTCCGTCGTTCCACAACTGAGCGTTTTTGCCACGCACCATCGCTATTTGGAACCAGCTGTCCACTGAAGTATTTCCGAACCAAATCGACTTAGGGTCCTTCAAAAAAAGAGCGTACCAATTCTTGAAAGGCTGGCAACGCACTTGCGAGCCTTCTGGTAATGTGAGTGTCCATGGGCGGCGGTATCACTTAACATCAGATGAGCCTCCAGCCCGTTTGCCTTCTATTACATAAAAATAAAATCTATTTGGAGTCGGGTTGTTCTCCCTACGATCGGGGGGTCGATAGCTGACCATGCGTTGTGCTCGTAAACGGGAGCTACTAGTGGTGAATGGTCGGACTTGAATAAGTCAAAGGTCGATGTGCAGTCTCCTCCTGGAATCACTAGATTATCCTGGGTTAGAGCAAATCCTTCGGGAGTACCCCGAAATAAATTCCTATTTCCGTACGGTAAAGTACCGACTGTAGCGCCATCTGCCAGGCTGATTTGTGAATCTAATCCATCCAGGGCGCCACCCAAATTCATTCAAATCGGTCCAGCCGTTTAAGAGGAGTTTAGTGACATACACACGTACTGTAGAATTATATATATATATATATATATATATATAGTATGTTAAAAAAGCTTTTTAAGTACTGGTATAGACGTGTGGCCTACAGCGTTCAAATTTATCGATTATTATTAATTTCATTAACAATGCATTAATAAAATAAAAGTCAGTGGCACTACAATCTTTTTAGGTTTGGGCCTCAGATTTATGTATCTGTTTCCTGATATGCCAATCTAATATCATGAAACAGATACATAAAGTAGGTGATCAGCCTCATGTGCCTGACACACGCTGTCGACTTTGGATCTAAGGCAAGCCGGTTTCCTCACGATGTTTTCCTTCACCGAGCGAATGTTAAATGCGCACATAGAAAGTCCATAGGTGCACAGCCGGAGATCGAATCTACGACCTCAGGGATGAGAGTCGCACGCTGAAGCCCTAGGCCTCTTTACAGTCCTACTTACTTACTTAATTTTATAGGATTTTCTGCTCCAAGTTATTTGTCAAAATACTCACTGAGTGAACAGCTGACAGTGCCTGAACATATCAACCATTGCTGCGGCGATGATCCCATCCACGTTGAGGATCAAATTGGGCTTCTTCCGAGTGGTGATGGCCTCCACGTCCAACGCGTACCGCGTGACGGGCCAGGCGGGCCAGCGTGACGTCACGTACGCCTTGAGTTCGCGCACGCGAGAGTCCGGGTTGTTGATGGACTTGACCCTGGATTTTATATACAATTAATAACTGGTTTAATGCTTTGGGGACGTGCAGGTAGTACATAAGCACATTTACTGCAATTAATCTTGCCAGCAAAAGTAAGCAAAGCTCTCAAAAATAATAGTATAGAAACGTATTAATTTTTTGTACGAATCCTCGAAAATGCATTTCATTTTCAAGCATAGACAATGTGTGGGTAATATGTGCAAAAAAGTAAATAATTACTGTTGACGTAATCACCAAATAAGAAAATCACACATCAAATATCACATTTCAAATCAAATCAAAATCATTTATTCATATAGGTAACACAATGTACACTTATGAACGTCAAAATATAAATACATATGAAATGCTTCTAATACATTTACTACCAGTTCTCAACTCAAGGGCGTAGAACGGAAGAGAAGAACTGGCAATAAACTCTCCGCAACTCTTTTTAATCGCCATTTTTTTCACACAACGTTTGTAAGGCAACCATTACACCATGTGCCACATGACATCTTAAGTAATTAATAATAACATAAATTAAAAACATAGACTTGTCGTCTATCAGCAGAAGGCATGGTGAAATAGGAGCACGCACTTACATTCTCGTGGGAACGACGCGCAAACACATAGTCGAAATATATAAGACCACCCGTTGCCTAATAACTTATTTAAGCTGTTTTTGTATAATTAATAAGGTAATAATAAAATAATTAAGGTAACGTGTATAAGTAACTCTTAGAAACACCAGTCGCATCTGATGTCAAATCGTAATTTTTTTTCATTAAACTGTTTTTATTAAGATGCTTAAAATATTTAAAAACATTGTGCACCATTTCACGAGATTGCCTTGGTAATGTTTGAAAAAAAGATCAACATGTATAGTAAAGATCAACATAAACAGTAGCAAAAGCAAAACAATAACTGTCTCTTTTATACTCATAAGCTTGACCGAGCGCGAGAGAGACGGACAGTCTTTTCATGATGCATATTCAGTTTGACATAACGCCTCGCGCTTAATCACAGACACTACACAAGCACACAGTGTAAATATGTTGAAGCCGCCAGCTTTAGATAACATACCAATAATAAAAAAAAGGGTGAGTGTACTTATGTACGCGCGTAAGAAGTTATACTTCTTTGGCTTTCTTGATTTTTTTTAAATATTCAATAATTAATAATAAATATTTAGCGTTAATTATTTAATATTTAGTATATTATACAATTATTAATTAATATTAATAATAATTATTATTTATTATTTTATTATTCATTCAATTTAATAACTAGGTATGTTTCATAACCTTTAAACTAAGTAACAATAGGTCTTTGTGAAAAAGCATTGCTAAATTTCTTTGAAAAAAAAAATTAAAACTCCTTTATTTGTTTAAAAGGTTACTACAAAGGTCATTCAAAATTCTTGGCATAGCTGCTAACGTCACGCATATTCTATTTCTTTTTACTTGTAGATTGTCTTATTCCCATCTCGCTCGCGCACGCTATATCACACTGACAACTTTGTGTCTCAGGTGCGCGCGCATCGTAAAATTTCACTCTCATCATTTTTTCATAACGCGCCTAAAGAAGTATAACTTCAAAAAATGTATACCTGTGCCCGATGCCCATAATAAGCTCCCCCTTCGCCCGCTTCTCGTTGACGAACTCCTGCGGATGTTGCCCGCGGTCGTAGGCCGAGCAGAAGTCAATCGCAGCGCGGTCTAAAGCTCCACCGAAACGATCTCCCTAAAATTTAAGAAATGTATTCAAGAAAAGCTGTGTAAAAAGGCTTACTATAAAGTCAACGATTATCTAGTTGATAAAAGGGCCTGGGACTAGTGCTAGACAGGCTACTTCTAATTAATTTGCGATATTTGTTTTAAAATAAGTGTTGTTTGATGATTTTCTATTTTAAAAGAGTACCGAGAGTTTTTTACGCCAGCTTTTTCTCTCGGCCTACACCCTCTGTCTTCTTTGCCGATGAGTAGGGATGCCTTCAAATTTAATGACGTGGAATAAGTGATACCTGTATCTTATGTTCCATAATAAACATATTTTATTTTATTTTACTTACAATTGTCAAAAGTCCAGAGACAACAGAAGATATCAAGTCCTTTCCGGCCCTGGCTGTAACCATGGTGTTATGGGCCCCAGAGACTGCGGGGCCATGGTCCGCTGTCACAATCAACACGAGCTCGAAGAACTTGCAAGCCCACTCCGGCAGCTCTCTTTGGAACCTGAAATTCAAAAAGCATACATTTTATTTGATTACCAGCAACGCTCCGACCTCGTGGTGAAAAGTCTACTAGAGTCTGGTTAATGAAAGAAGATAACGAAAAAGATCGGCAAATTTTTTTTTTTAGTATGGTATCCCTAAAAGTTTGACATATTTTGTGGATTAAACTTACTTGATACTTGATTTTATTTTATTATTTTTTACATTGATAGTAACTGTATTTCTATGAAATTAAATACTATACGTATTTAGTATTTTACTATAGATACTTAGAATGACTAGCATTGCATGGAAAACTAAAACTATATTTATTATAAAACACAACTTTATTTGGAATAATCAAAATCAGAACACAAAAAATCAATAACACAAAGTTTAGGCTATTATACCTGTTAACTATTCGGAAAAAATGTATAATAGAAATAAAAATGAGTAATTGCTGAAGTATCAAGACAATAAATCATACTAACCTAAGAAATTCAATGACATTCTGTGTTGCCATCCGAAAGTTTTCAAATAATTCAATTATCTTCTTTCATTAGCCAGACTCTATGTATTTATTTATTCAAAAGATTTACAGCACAATACAGAAATATATGTGTATGTTTTATATATATATATATATATATATAACATACACATATATTTCTGTATATTGTGGGCCAATTACAAATTTTCATATATAGTTTTATTTTTTATAAAATAAGAAGGTAATAAACATGCCAAATATTTTTAGTGCAAAACAAAAAAGAAAAATCAGAATTTAATTAGTTGACATTGAAAGATAATCAATGTACTTCATTCATCATGGTTGAAAAAACGACGGGTTGCACTCCGGGAGTGGAGAAGTGAAAACTTGAATATCAACGTTGTGCATTTTTTTATATTTTGCAATGGTTAGGGAATAATTTTGCACGAATTGCTTTAATTATCAGTATAAAAGTACTATCATTTATGTGGTAGAATACAATATTTATTTATTGCACTATCGTACACAAACATGACAATTTATATTACATTAAATACGCCACGCCAGCTGTCTACTCTCTATCCGTCTTACGAATTTTCGATCAGGTCACGTGTCCTGACGCGAGTTTAACATTTTTTACCCATTCCAAAAAAAGTGACGTCGCTAAAGAAGTTTTCACTTCAATAATTTTGTGTCAAAGTTTTCCTTGCTGTCACCACACTCATAGCGAACATGTCAATGTCAATAGTTAACACATGAAATTTGTTCGCTGTTCTAACCATAAAGTTGCTCCCTCTATAATTTGTGTTTACTTTAGGTACTAAGACGGACTATAGATATATTTTTGCTATCATAAGTTTTATTTTACTCCTATTTAATTAATTCCTTTCAGATTATTAGATATACACATTCATAATCTAATCAATATACAGATTTTACTTTACAACGAATGTATATCTAATATATTTTTAAATTTGTTACATCATTTACGTAGAATGTCCTTACATTAGTAAATTTTTTTTTTTTTGGATTTCAAGCATGTAATGCAAGAATTTTTTAAATAGGTCCTTTAGTTTTTCAATTAACCCCTATTTTTTATTATAGTAATTTTTATTGGACTAAAAATTGTTTCCTAGAAATAATATACATGGCAAAACAACGTTTGCCGGGTCAGCTAGTTTATATGTAAAATAAAACATATTTAAAAAAGAAATATTTTCTACGATCAACCCTTATTTTTTATTTATTAGTAAAGAACTTATACCTTGAACTCTGAGGTTTATATAGAGAAAAATCACAGAAAAACCTAAAAAGTTTTCTTTCCGGAAAACCAAACAGTCTCTGGGGTAGCATAGCAAAATGTTCCATGTGGGTATGTACTCAAAAGGTAGACATTAAGGAGAAACGCAGTTCGCGGGGGCAGCTAGTATATTTAGTATAAATAAATTTGGCCCCATTTTGATACCCTGTAAAAGCCTGTCAAATTAACACTCACCACAACAAACTGATAGTTCCACCGACACCCAGCTGCCTCTCCAGGACTTGACTGATGGGCACACCACAGTAGTTCAGCTCCTGGCCTCTCTCGTCACAAATCGTGCTTATAAAGGCCGCTGGTTTGCGGATGATACCAAGTTTCTGAAATATACATTTATTTTATTTAACAATTACATAACAACATACATGAAAAATGTTTGTAAGGGTATGTTGAGAAACTAAATTATCTTTAAGAAAGTACTTTATTGTTGTCTTGTTATAAACTCTTAGTATTTGAAAGACTGTATCTTCATTAATAATTACAATAAATATTTAATATACAGTAAAGGAGAAAAAGGTTGATCAAACTAGGAATTTAATGGATAATGACAAACAGTTTGAGAAATAATGATTCATAATCAACGCTATCATTAAAATTTATTCGTTCTGAATAATTATTATTACTATATGAATGATAATTGTTAATAAAAGCAACACACTATTGTTAGTTGAAACTAAGCCACTAATCAATCGCCTTAACAAAAAATAAATTTGTCAAATTGCAATTTTTTCATCTACAATTTCTCTCTCTCTACGAAATTGTTTTTACGCTGTTTTTTTGGTTACACCAAGAGGTTGTGCGCGGTAGAAAGTGACTTCAAAAAGGTTGTGGAACGCCAGGCATCAAGATGGAGAGGAAGGAAAAAATATATTAAAAGAGATACTCCTTTAGTTTGGAAAAGTAAGTTCCTAGACCGAACAATATAAAAAAATAATAATATACTGATTAATAATAATTTGTACACATATGTATATCTTAAAGAGACAAACTAAGTAAGTAAAAGTTCTAAGCCATAACTTAGTTACAAAGCTAGTCATACTTAGCAATTTAATTAATAATGATTCACAATTAATGATTAAATTGATTGTAATAATGATATTTTTTTATTAGTTAACGATTACTCACTCTCGCCCAGTCGTAGTCCATTGGTACTTTGGGGGGTTCCACTTCCTCCTTCTTGATGATTTTGCCGTCTTTCACCAGTTTCAAGTAAACCTTTAAACAGAAAAAAAGAATTGAATGAAAAAGTGTGTCGGGTCCGCTGGTAACATTATATATGAATTCCCAATACCTTGTTGACAGCATCACCGAGATTATCAAACGATTCCGGTACAGTGACTCCATACTTCTGTAGCGACGCATTCTTCGCAACAGCCTTTTCCAACGCGGAACCAGCAAGCGAACCCGCGTGTCCAAACTGCACCTCCGATGTGAACATGTCTAGAAAAAATATTGTCTATGGGAGCGTTTAAGTATTACGTAACGAATTTGGGGGGGAGGTGGTTCCTTTTGTACAACGTAACGATGCGGGGCGGGGATTGTATTTAGCCGTTATTGTTAATATTATTTTCGAATTTCCAGCACTTTACACCACATAATGGTAACATTTAGGTATAAAGAGTCACTAGGTGGTCACGAAAGGTTTTTCTATACAGGGTACGTTACGGCGCGTTACATGGGGGGGTGTGGTCAATATAATAATATAATCTCCCTGCGTTCAAGTATGCATCACGCAATTCTTGGTGATTTTAGGCTCTTTCAGGTCTGGGCCTCAGATTTCTGAATCTGTTTCATGATCATTTTTAAATCTAATAGGCAAGAAGGTGATCAGTCTCCAGTGCTTGACACACGCCGTCGACATTTTGGGGCTAAGACATGTCGGTTTCCTCACGATGTTTTCCTTCACCGTTAGAGAAAATGTTAAATGCGCATTGAAAAGTCCATTGGTGCACAGCCGGGGATCGAACCTACGACCTCATGGATGAGTCGCACGCATCCTGAATATTCAAACTACATAATTTCTATATAAATACAGTCAAAATCTTTTATAACGACATCGAAGGGACTACTCATATTTGGTCGTAATAACCGATGACGTTATTATGTACCTATACTCCGATTTTTAATTTCGTAGAATTCTGACATTTCATAAGTGTTGCTACTAAAAAGTTCTCCACCGAAAAACGTACAAATTTGACCCATTTCATATATAGACCCAATAAAAAAAATGTTACGTATTTATTATATTTTACCTACAAAAAGGTAAATCTAAATATTTACTTACTCAAGTAACCTAATGTAAAAATAACAAATATTTTAATATCACGAATATATCGAATTAACTTTAAGTACTGTATTTTATTCTTTAGCTGGCATCACTGCCTACTAATTCCAGGTTTGGTAAACCTTTAAAAAATGTTAGTTTAACTTGTGCGTTTTTACTGTTTGTGATGAAAAGGGACGTAATTACCACTCGCCATTAAAACACTTTAATGTGGAGCACCGCACTTAATAATAAGTATACATTCACTAACAAAGAAAATGTATAGACTCAGATGTTCAGGCTCGTATTGAAATTGAAAAATGTGCCCGGCCAAAAAGGTTTGCCATCTCTGACATGTCAAAAAATGATTATTCATATATTTTCAGAGTGCGGAAACTGAGTTCACCAACCATTATCTCATCTTGAAAGGGCCAATTGGGGTCACGGGGCACCTATTTAATTTTCATGGTAATACCTGAACAGGTTCCAATACACCAGGCGACCATAGGTTTGGTGATCAGTCCGTCGCGGATAGCACGACAAACGTGGTACTCTTCGACTCCACCCACTTCTCCCAGGAGTACTAGCATTTTGACATTCGGATCTGCTTCGAATCTGAAATAAATATTAGTTCTTTAGTCAAGTAAGAAAATTATATAAAAGAAAATATAGTTCTCTTGGCCTCATTGGCAGGGGGACACAGGCATATGGGATTGTACAGATACTTTGTTTTTTTTTTAAACTTTCTCCCGAAACTTAGTACAATTAGAATCATTAAGAAGGAAGTAATCTTATTGGCTTAGTACTTGTAAAATGATCAGAATCACCACCAATAGGTACGCTTTGTAATCTTGTAAAGTAAAGAAAAATTTGTAAAGTGGAGATTTACTGCAAATTATCCCCCTCCCCTCCTCCTCCTCCTCCTCTTGTCAGCAAAAGTAAGCAAAGCTCTCAAAAGGGGCCTCATAGCCTAGCGGTCTTATTAAGTGGCAGCTAGGTGAGGGGTATCGGGTTCGATTCCCGGTTCGAGGGCAAGTTTTAATTTAATTTAAAATTTGTTCTCGGCCTTTGGGAGGGTTGTGCGGTACCGGGCGAGTGCTTAAACCGTACATGGAGGACACGGTCGAATTTCTAATGTACAGAGCACGAATTATAAAAATCTCATACTTGACGCTGGCTAATGGACAAACCGTGCCAGAGCCATAAAAAAAAAGCTCTCAAAATGCATTTCGTTGTGTGTGTACAATGTGTGGGAAATATGCTCTCCGCCACTGTTTTTAATCGCCATGGTTTTTTATGCAACGTTTGTAAGGAGCTGCAACCATTACACCAGGTTCCACATGACATCTTAAGTAATAAATAATAATAAAATAAATAAAAACAAATATTTGTCCTCTATCAGCAGGAGGCATGGTGAAATAGGAGCACGCATTTACTAACTAAAAAACTTATATTAAATCTTAACAATATCCTATTCCAATTAAAACTATAACTATATTTTGAAATCAATTAAAAGATATGTACCTCAACAAATGATCAATAAAGGTGGTTCCAGGGTATCTGTCTCCTCCAATAGCCACGCCCTCACAGACGCCATCAGCGTGTTTAGACAGTATGTTGTTTAGTTCGTTACTCATACCGCCTGAACGAGAAACGTAGGCGACACTGGAAAAAAAATATTATTAAGTGTTATATTTATAAAAGAGCGTACCAATTTTAAAAGGCCGGCAACGCACTCGCGAGCCCTCTGGCATTGAGTGTTTAAAAACAACCTATATTAAAAAAAGTGTTTCGTGATCGTTTGTCGGGCCAGTAGGTGATCAGGCTTCTGAAAAGTACATTGGTTCACAGCCGGGGTTCGAACTTACGACCTTAGGAATGAGAGTCGCACTCTGAGTAAAACACTGCTTTAAAAGGCAACATTTACCAAAAAAAATAAGAAAAAGATATACTGTTTTTTAAATAATTAAGAGGGGTAGTTCGACACATTACATACACTTTTTTAGAATAATTAATAAGAGGGTAGACGCACAAAATTAAAGATTCTTAAAAATAACGAGGAAAAGGGTAGTATAAAAAATTGAATAGTATTTTTTAAATAATTAAAAAGAGGATATTCTCACAAAATTAAAAAGAGGGTACTCTTACAAAACTCACCTTCCAGGCCTATACAGCTTGCTCTCAATAATATTGTCGATCATACCAGCTGTGTTACCAATTTTGAAGCACCCAGGTTTGATGCCACCCACTGTCGCTGGACCAATTATATTTACCTAAACGAAACGATGCAATTATTTTGGGAATTTGTTTAGGAATTTTATAAAATTATTTTAAGAATTCCAGTTTTAATCTCGAATCATAAGGTTAGAAGACACGGAGTAAATAGGAGAAGATACGCCCATCTCCTAGAGTCTGGCTAATGAAAGAAGATAATTGAATTATTTGAAAACTTTCGGATGGCAACACAGAACGTCATTGAATTTCTTAGGTTAGTATGATTTATTGTCTTGATACTTCATGAAATTACTCATTTTTATTTCTATTATATATATTTTTTCCGAATAGTTAACAGGTATAATAGCCTAAACTTTGTTTTATTTGATATAATATTTTGTTTCTTTCGCAGGATTTGATTATTCCGAATAAAGTTGTGTTTTATAATAAATATATTTTTAGTTTTCTATGCAATGCTAGTCATTTTAAGTATCAATACTAAAATACTAAATACGTATTGTATTTAATTTCATAGAAATAACTGTATTTCTACTAGTAACTGTACTATCAATGTAAAAAATAAAATCAAGTATCAAGTAAGTTTAATCCACAAAATATAACAAACTTTTAGGGATACCATACTAAAAAAATTGAATTTGCCGAGCTTTTTCGTTATCTTCTTTAATTAGTAGAATGCGATAGCGACCCCGGAGCCTCGGTAACGCGGCTTTGTAGGAACTACTCGAGGTGGTTTTAGTGGGTATGTATCCAGTCTCTGAATAGCAGTGATTCTGGTGTGGGTCGAGTACCACATACCCCTGCACAAGCTGGTGACTGTTCCTGCTGATGCTAAGAAATTATAACTTGATGTTTTGTTTTCATATTCCATTCCACTTGCCGCACACCACCACTATATGAAATCAGCTTTATTTTTTGGAGCTTGGAGGAGTGGTTTTTCAATTAGACTTTCAAAACAGCGTACCAAATCTTAAAAAGCCGGCAACACACTCGCAAGCTCTCTGCATTGAATGTATCCATGGACGGTGGTATAACTTGACATCGGGTGAGCATCCTGCCCGTTTACCCCTGTTATATAAAAAAAAAGGTGCGTGTACTTATGTACGCGCGAAAGAAGTTATACTTCTTTGGCATTATTAAAAATAATTTTTGATTGCATGCAATTAATTAATTACAATTAAATAATCAAAGACTGGAAAAGGAGTCATTATAGTCAATAAAGTTCAGTTCACATTTGAAAAATTCAATAATTAATTATTTATAAATATTATATTTATTATTATTTTCTAATATTAATTAGTATTGATTTAAATATTCAATTTAAATCACTTCTGATTATAATTCAGAGGCACATATAAAATTCGCACTTGTATAATGAAAACAAAATGAAAACACGCGTTTTAAATGTAGAAACTCAAAGCATGTGGATAAATATTATAAATATAAATACACAGTGAACAGAGGCGGCGTGCGTGCCAACATGCGCTACTAACTTCATTCTGTTAATTTTGTGTCACGGTGCGCGCGCATCGTAAAATTTCACTCTCATCAATTTTTCATAATGCGCCTAAAGAAGTATAACGTCAAAAAATCTTGGTATGAAGCTTGGAGATTAGAGACTGACGAAGTTATCTACCAGATCTTCTACCCCCTTCTACTCCAGATTTGGGAACTGGTAGATGTAAATGGCGTATGGTAGCTTACCCCTCTAACATCAGCGAGTTTGATGATCTTCCTCGTCATATTCTCAGGAATACCTTCAGCAATGATTACGATTGTGTTGATTTGTGGATGTTGCATCGCCTGGAAATTAATCATTTACATCAGATTCGAATTGCCTCAATATGGTGTCGCCAGAAATTTTGTGTTTGAGAAATTTTTTTGTATAAATAAAAAAAAAGTAAAAAAAAATCATTGTAATGTGTAAGAGATTTGGGAACCCCTTTCAGTAAAAAATCCCAGTGTCAGTCCCCAGCTCTTCCATGAAAAACTTATTAGTAAATTCCAACATTTTTTTAAACAACACGAGTGTGAGTGAATGAGGGATTGTGTGTTAGGTCTCAAGAGCATCAAGTATTTCGTCACGCAATTTTTTGAGATTATATCATTTTCATACAAAGGTCTATTCCACAGACGATACGACCTTTCATGGATAGCTTGTAAGCAGATGGCTATTACAATCCGTCGATTGGTTATTGGCACACTTGTTACAACATGTGGATTATGATTACTATCTCAGATGGCGGATTATGGATTGAGATAGTTTATTGGATTCGGGAGTTAGTCTGTAAGGAAGAAATTGCAGTGCAATATAATAATACCTGCATAGTACTGTCGAATGCTGAACGCAATGAAGCAAAGTTCACCAAAACAGTTGCTTCTTGATGTTTCCTCATCGCAACATCCATGTCACAGAATACTGAAAAAAAAAATTTATACTTTAAAAACTAGATTACAGAAACTTTTATTACATCGTCTCAAACTTTTTCGTCCGTGTGTTGCATGTCGCGTGACGGTCGGCCGCGGAGTAGGGATAAAGTGAAAGGCGCTGGTCATAGCAGCCAAGGCCAATATGGCGGCGCTTATAGTTCGCAGCAGCTGACCGTGTAGTGTTTAGACTATTATTTAATATGTGTATATAATCTAAATAATTGTTAAGTATTATGTATGTCGTACTCCCTAAGACACAGAGTTCAATAAAAATATTATTATTATTTTATTATTTCCTATTATCATTCCAGTATAAAATTAAGATTGATAAAGCGATTTTTATACCCTTAATGGAATATTATTCCAAAATTTTTTTAGTTAAATGTCTATAATGTGAAAAAAAGTTTCACTTTTACCGTGGTTTCATAAAACCACACTTTTTTCTTAGTTTCGAAGGAAAGAATCCCAAATTTATCTATTTATCTATGATTTAGATAAATTTTACACTAAGGTACATCTTCTAATACGTTTCGCGTTCGGTTCTACGCTCTACTGACAAATTGACTTTGACACATTGACATTTAACAACCCGTAAGATGTCTATGATATTGTGTGGTATTGCCATTGTAATAAAAGAAATGACATCGTGTTCTTTTATAGTCTGACTAATGAAAAAAGATAATTGAATTATTTGAAAACTTTCGGATGGCAACACAGAATGTCATTGAATTTCTTAGGTTAGTATGATTTATTGTCTTTATACTTCATGCAATTACTCATTTTTCTTTTCAATATTCTATTATATATTTTTTCGAAAAGCTAACAGGTATAATAGACTTAACTTTGTTTCATTGATTTTTGGATTCTGATTTTGATTATTCCGAATAAAGTTGTGTTTTATAATAAATATAGTTTTAGTTTTCCATGCAATGCTAGTCGTTTTAAGTATCAATAGTAAAAGACTAAATACGTATAGTATTTAATTTCATAGAAATACGGTTACTATCAAATTAAAAAAATATTTAAATAAAATCAAGTATCAAGTAAGTTTAATCCACAAAATATATCAAAATTTTAGGGATACCATACTAATTTTTATGAATTTGCCGCGCTTTTTCGTTATCTTCTTTCATCAGCCAGACTACTATATTATGAATTCTTGTATAGAGCTGTCAAGTGTAGACAAAACGTATTGAATAATGATGTTCACGAACCTGGTATGAAAACTTCCTTATTTCCGAAATAGTACTTTTGTTTATGGTCAGCCGTGAAGGGGTACACTATGGCAACGACAGACGGCTCCGAGCGTCGAGATATGTAGTCAAAGTCTAACATTCCCTGTAAAATTAAAAAAAAAGTCATTCAATCCTATAGTTTTTCAGTTAAAAATCTAAAAAAACGTGCAACGGAACGTCGATACGAACAAACATGGCGGCACACAAATGTGCGTTCCATTGCACGCTTTAGATGATTTCTCTTCACTTCGGGTAATACTGCGATAATTTTTTTGTATGTTTCATGAGGCACACCTGATGTTAAGTGTTAAATCGCCCATGGACACTCACACTGCCAGAAGGCTCGCAAGCGCCCTGCCGGCCTTTTAAGAATTGGTACGCTCTTTTCTTGAAGGACCCTAAGTCGCATTGGTTCGGAAATACTTCAGAGGGCTCGCGAGTGCGCTGCCGGCCTTTTAAGAATTGGTACGCTCTTTTCTTGTTATTTCTGTTTATAAATTTCTTCTTTTTTGTAAATCTGCTTACGTTATACATATTTGTAGATCACATACCTGTATGGCCCTATTTTGCATGCCCCAAACGATGGCCTTAGTCCTATCGCTGAAGAGAGGCCTAGCGGTGGAGACTTGCTGTCCTAGGTCCATTCTGGTTGGGGCTTGGGAGCAAACTAGGTCCAATAACGAGTTCGTCAATTCTGGCAACTCGATTTTTGGGGCCGGCTGAAAATATCATTACAAACATTAATCCAAAATTCCTTTTACTATTTTCCTGTATTTGGTGCGAGGTATAAAATACTGCGCACACGCATATTAGATTTTCACTTACAGCTGGTTGAGGTTTGGGCAGTTGCTTGGGCGCGTAATCCAACTGGTGGTCAGGCGGTATTGGCGCTTGGCCCAAAGCCAAACCGACGATGGATGTCATGTTCGCCTCCGGTCCAAACACGTACATTGGTATACGTAGACGATGTCCTACTTCACGCATTTGACTGAAAATATTGTTTTAAATATTAATCCGTGATAAAACCTTTTATAAACGAGTTATTAAGATTTGTAGATAAGTTATGATTTTATAGTCAAATTATTAAAATTTTATAGATAAATTATTACGATTTTACAGACAAGTTATTAAGAAATTATAGACAAATTATTTAAAAAAATTAGACAAGTTATTAAAATTTGTAAATGAGTTATTAAGATTTTGTAAATAAGTTATTACGATTTTATAGACAAATTATAAGATTTTATAGTCAAATTATTAAAATTTTATAGATAAATTATTACGATTTTACAGACAAGTTATTAAGATTTGTAGATGAGTTATTAAGATTTTGTAAATAAGTTATTATGATTTTATAGACAAATTATAAGATTTTATAGTCAAATTATTAAAATTTTATAGAAAAATTATTAAATTTTTTTAGACAAGTAATTAAAGATTTTGTAGACAAGTAGGTGTTCCAGACATTCCAGATTTCCCACGATATTATTCTTTACCGTACGAGTGTGGTATATATTTTTTTCCTTTCGTAAATGTTTGAATATTTTTGTATATGTTTGCCATCTTTGGCATGTTGGCTATATGTTAAGCATAATTAATTTTTTGTTATATATTATTTTAGAAGCAAACAATATATATAAAGTCCATACCGAAGTCCCTCCTGATAATTGGGTCCGCCCCGTCTCACGAACAATGTAACGTTGTATTGTATTAACGCGTCCTTGTACGTCTCAATAGCTGTGATGATTCCACGGAATGTGTCAGCCACATTCGTGAAGTTCGCGATTCCACCTCCAATTATCAAAACCTGTAAAAATGGATAAGGCGATGATAGAAGGATGATATGTTGTATTTATGTTCTTTCTATGTTGTCTATGGTTAATTAATGTCTTCTATATTGCTACTGTAGTAGTGTTATTGAGACCAAACTGTATAAGACTTAAAAAAGTTATGGAGTAACTAATAAAAAATACATAATTCAAAATATTTATTTGTATATCAGTCACGTGACACAGTCGATGATGACGTAACGTGCTTGTAAATATCTTCGGGTGACAAATGCTAATACTGTTTTGTAGTTTAATTTCATCGAAACGAAATATGTATTGTGTAATTTAAGAATGACAAAAACTAAAAACTGACGTTTGTTTACAAGCATGGTACGTCACTTGTGCGACGCCATCATGCCGAGAGCGGGCGGGTTCTATAAATTATGAGTGTTAATTACAGTCATTATACTAATTTGTATAGGTTCTACAGTCTAATAAATAATTTCTATTTATTTTTCGTGTATACTAGTTTTCTATTGCAAAGTACTAAGTCGCTTACTTAGTACGTACTCAGGTATACGTGTACTAGTACTAGGTGCGTAACTCTCCATTCTTAATAACAGAAATTAATCTCATTTGTATAGGTTCTACAGTATAATAAATAATTTCTATTTATTTTTCGTGTATACTAGTTTTCTATTGCAAAGTACTAAGTCGCTTACTTAGTACGTACTCAGGTATACGCGTACTCGTACTAGGTGCGTAACTCTCCATTCTTAATAACAGAAATTAAACTCATTTGTATAGGTTCTACAGTATAATAAATTATTTCTATTTATTATTCGTGTATACTAGTTTTCTACTGCAAATAACTCACTCGAGTACTTAGTACGTACTCAGGTATACGCGTACACGTACTAGGTGCGTACCTTGCCATTCGGATGCTTGTCCCTGCACATCAAACTGAATATTGTCTTCGCGTAGTCCGCGGTTTGACTCTCGGTGGGTGCACCAGAATATTCTCCATAATTTGCCAACTCAGCAGCACCACCCAGGGCGCACACTGTGTCCGTGTAGACCACGGAAGCCCCACCACCGGCCACCATAGTCCATATACGACCAGATTTGTTTAGGACGGTTAGCTGAAATTGCATAACATACATATAATTACACCAAATTATATCTCTATATATATAAAATTCTCGTGTCACAATGTTCGTTCCCATACTCCTCCGAAACGGCTCGACCGATTCTTATGAAATTTTTTATGCAGTAAGTCTGAGAATCGGCTACTATCTATCTTTCAAACCCCTAAGTGATAAGGGGTGTACACCCCAAAAAAAAAAATTCTTTTTGACATTTTTGTTTTTTTTATTTTTATGATGTTGTATACAAAAACCCTTAATTTTCATCTACCCTCTACGATCAACCCCTATTTTTTATTATAGTGCATAGTAATAACAAAACAAACGTACAAAATTCAATACGTACGCGGTTAAACTGCGGGTTTTATCCGCAGCAAAAAGAACTCTTTGAAAACACCAAATATAACCGCATGTACCTTCAAACTAGCCCCGCTCTTAGCATCCAAGTCGGCTATATGGGCCTCCTCCGGGTAAGCATCCCTTCCAAACGGCGGTGGGAAGGTGACCTCGCCCCAATTCTTGGCGCACTGGAAGTCAGCGGTCTGGTCCAACTTGGCAGCCAAGTCCAGCAGATAAATGCGCTCATTGGTCACCACTATCGGGTTGATCTCCATGTATGTGAAGCATAGGTCCACGAATACTCGGTACAGAGATAGGATAAATGTGGTAAGAATCCTGAAAATACAAGTACAGCATTGGTACTCTGTAAACTCCCATAGCGGCTAAGGAAGCGTTCAAGTATTTTCACGCAATTTTTGGTCCCCCCCCCCATGTAACGCACCGTAACGTTTTTCTGTACCCAATAGTAAAACGTTTCGTGACCACCCAGTGACTCTTTATATCTAAAAGTTACCATTATGTGATGTAAAGTATTGGAAAGTCGAAAATAATATTAACAATAACGCGTAATTCAATCCCCGCCCCGCATCGTAACGTTTTCCAAAAGTAAGCAAAGCTCTCAAAAATACAAGTAACATAAACGTATTAATTTTTTGAAGGAATCCTCGAAAATGCATTTTGTTTTCAAGCATAGACGTGTGGGAAATCACCAAATAGGAAAATCAAAGATGAAACAAAGATTCTATGTGCGCATTTAACATTCGCATGAACGGTGAAGGAAAACATCGTGAGGAAACCGGCTTGCCTTAGACCCAAACGACGGCGTGTGTCAGGCACAGAAGGCTGATGACCAACTTGCCTATTAGATTGACAAATGATCATGAAACATACAGAAATCTGAGGCCCAGACCTAAAAACTTTAACCGTATTGTATTTGACATTGTGTGACCTTAATATGACCTTGAGGTCATATTGTCAGTAATTTTTGGAGTTTTTTGCAATCTAGATTTTGTATATGTTTGTATGTCTTACCGCCTAACGGTCGGTGACTTGACGTTCTTCATAAGAACACCATCAATCTCTTCACCAGTCGGGAACGTGTCTACGGGTACCTGAAATATTATAAATACATTTTTTTTTATTTGGACACCAATTGACCGAGTCCCATGCTAAGCTGGTGAAGCTTGTGTTATGGATACTAGGCAACGGATATACATACATATTATAGATAGATAGACATATAAATACATATTTGAACACCCAAGACCTAAGCACAACACCAAATGCTCATCACATCGATGTTCGTCTCAGCCGGGGATCGAACCCGGGACCCATGGTTTCGGAGTCAGGGGTACTAACCACCAATGAGTCGTCAAATTATTATAATTATCATTCAAAATATATCAAAGTCCGACAACACACCCGAAGCACGTAAACTTACTTCAAGTCTTATGGCCACTGCATCAACGTCTCCAACATCCACTCCACCCTGATGATGGAACATGATGGTGTCTGATCTACGACCAGATTGGATGCACAGGTACATCTCGTCGCTCTAAAAAATAACAATTATTTAGATTATATACACATATTAAATAATAGTCTATACACTACACGGTCAGCTGCTGCGAACTATGGTAGGGGAGCCCAAGAGGGGATTTCGGGATTTACTAAAGCGCGGCAGATTACTATATAGGGGGATACCTTGTACCCGGTTAAGTACCTCCACAAAATATGAGGCCCATATATAAGGCCGCGCGTGAAGGAGACAGGATCAGATTAGTAAAAAAAATTGACCATCAGAAATTCCCGAGCGCGTCAGATTAAGGTAGGGTGAGTTAATTACATCCTAAAAAGTGTATATTCCACTAATCTGACAATTTGACAGTGACGGAAAAAAGGGAGGGCAACAAAGTTGTAAAAAAAACGTCATCTCGACATTCTCGAGCGTAGCTAATTTTTCTTTTATTTTGAAGGAAATAATTCCAGAATAATGAAAAATATATAATCTGACGATTTCCGCAAGCCGAAATAACAAAAATTCGTCGATAAAGTTAAATGCGTGCAGCTGCGTGATGCCTACATTTCCGTAAACCGATCGGAATCTACTAAACGGCGTTCAAAATATTTCCCTCAAAATTACATTTCCTGTGAATTTGAACCGATTCGGACCGATAGATTTTGAGAAATTTTGAAAAATCTTAAAAAAATAAGAAATATTTTTTTTAAGTGGTTTCTTTATCGATCAACTTCAAAAACTAATCCGCCTTTGAGCTTGAAAAACCACGTCGATCGCCACCAAGCTGGTCAAAAGCGGTTGATTCGTTCGAGAGATATCGTACATGAAAGAAACCCGAAAAAGTGTTTTTTCGGGATTACTCCGAAATTTGTGGTTCGATCAATTAAAATTGCAAAATTACTTATGAGAATGATAAAACTGCGTCGAATGCCGCCAACCGCGTGAAAATTGCTTGATCCATTCAAAAGTTATTGCGGTTTGAAAATTCCAAAAATAGTGTTCTATGAAACTTCTATCAGACTTTCGAGCTGGGAGAGCTCAAATGCATAGAAATGTTATTTCTTTGAACTCAGCGAGCTCAAAATATCAATTTTAAGCGCCCAGGAATGGAATTAGCGGGAAGTTGCAGGGATGGCCCTTTAGGTGAACCGTTTTTCTATTTTTTTTTTGTCAGATCAGGCGAATCCCTCTAGATAATCGTCAGATTATGAGACAGTACGTTTAGAACATAAAGATGAACCACATATATCTTAATCTGACGCGCTTGAGTATTTCAAAATTGCGATTTTTTTTTGCAAATTAAGAAAATGGCTGTGGGTTTGCGTCCCATCGAAATTGTCAGATTAGTGAATGAGAGATTTTTTTGGTGCACTTAACACTCCCTTAGAAAATCTGACGCGCTCGATAAATTTTTTTTTTTTTAATTTTCAACCCTTAAATACAACCACCCGCATCATGCAAACGATCAGATTAACATACGTACATTATTAAAAATACGTAGGGCATAGATGCTATCAATATCTGACGCGCTCGAGGATGTCCATGCAACAGTTTTTTTTACATATTTAACTATCTATAGCCGCTTCCCCCACCGATGAAAAGGAATTTATCATATAACATTTTTTTCTTCTTTTTATCTAAGCTTTGTATCCCAATAGGTCTCTACGACGCTCGAGTAACTCCCCATTTAGCATCGTGGGCTCCCCTACCACTATAGGCACCGCCATATTGGCCTGGGCTGCTATGACGAGCGCCTTTCACTTTATCCCTACTCCGCGGCCGACCGTCACGCGACATGCAACACACGGACGAAAAAGTTTGAGACGATGTAATAAAATTATCACTTAAAAAAAAAAAGAGGTTTTTCAGAAGCATCTTCCCTAATTCATCTTTATCTCTCTAACTCATTCTTCAGAATTGTCACGGTACACATTGTTCTGTCCATTCTTGTTTTTCTTTCTGTCTTTTTGTCTTCGTTTTTGACATACCGTCATGATCGTCATGTCGGATTTGAAAAGATCCAAAATCCACTTTTTATCATATTTGGATACTACTAAATATTACGGCTGCATTAAAAAAATCCATGTGTTTTAAATTTCAAATTAATCAGTCGGTAAAGTGACGAATTTGATAGAAACATGTGATTTATCTAGACAACTGTGTGAATTAATGTTATTATTTTTATTTTGTTTCAAAACAAACCCTTTTGTTTGCTTCTGCCAATTTTCATAATAACAGAATATGAATTAAAATAGTTATGACAAAAACTGACATGATTATATTATTTTGAAATGGCTGCCCTGTAAAGTCATACTTAGTATTAAGGGAGCGTTCAAGTATTACGTCACGCAAGTTTTGGAGATTATAGACACCCCTCCCCCCCCAAGTAACGCGCCGTAACGTTTTTCTGTACCCAAGTATAGTAAAACGTTTCGTAATCACCTAGTGACTCTTTATACCATTATGTGCTGTAAAGTACTGGTAAGTCGAAAATAATATTAACAATAACGCGTAATTCAATCCCCGCCCCGTATCGTAACGTTTTACAAAAGGACCCCCCCCCATAATTCGTTACGTAATACTTGAAGGCTCTTTAAGTAGGATTCGAGACTTCCAAATTTCCATAGAAGAACTCTACGGAAGAGAGTTTCTACAAGTCTACCCTCTCTACAAATCCAATTCAGAGTCTCTGACGAAAAGTACTTCTTAGGTACTTACCGGGTCATGTTTGACGAATGGTTCAACGACAAATCGCCGAAGTTTACCCACAGCAGCCCCGATTTTCTGCTCCTTGCCGCAATGCTCGCTGATCCATTTCCGAACTTCTGCGGCGTTCTTGTTAACACCAACGAGGCCTAGTTTACCACGACGCTTGATCAACTGATCAGGCTTTACCACGAGTTGCTGGAAATATAGAAATTATGGTTATGCTTAAGTGGGTAAAAGTTGTGGACACACGCCCACAAAACTATGAGAGGATTTAATAATGATAGATTGTTTGAAGAACTTGTGCAGAGCTCCGCGGCTGCATTTGGAACCAAAGGAAACATTTAAAAGGTCTGAAGTAATGTAAAAATAAAATCACAGGTAAAACTACAAAAAAAAAAACAAGTTACAAAGGTAATTTAACTAAAAATCAAAGAACAAAGGTAAAACTTAAAAAAAAACAAGTTACAAAGGTAAATTTACTAAAAAATCAAAGTACAAAGTAAAACTAAAAAAAAAACAAGTTACAAAGGTAAAACTACTAAAAATCAAAGAACAAAGGGGAAATTATTAAAAAATCTAATGACTGATAAATCTATTAAGTAATCGAATTACAAAGGTAAAACTATAAATAAAAACAAATAACAAAGGTAAAAATATTTAAAAAAGTCAAATAACAAAGGTAAAACCATTAAAATATCCAATTACAAAACTAAAACATGACACGATAAAACTATCTATTATATTACTATACACTTAATATATTACTATATTAGGAAACACAAAAGATTAGAACGTGTAGGTACTTCAGACTTTTAAAATCTACTGAGGTTAGGTTAGTAACAAGTCCGTTCCGCACGAAGTCTCGAAATAAAAGTGAGTCAACGCCGGTGTTGCCACGCTTTATATAGGTTTCTGCTACAAAATGGCGTTAGTCCGCTAACACGGCCTCTCCTGACACCCTGACGTCCTCGTCAGGATTTGATGTTCCAGCGTCTATACTGTCATCTCTGTGGGTAGAATAGAACGTTAGAACATTACAGTTCTGGGAAGGTATTGCGTCGTCTATTTGGTCAGCAGCTGAACATATTTACTTGGTTTAATACAAACAATCAAAGTAATGAAAGATAGAAAGGAACTTTAAAGTATCAGACTCCAAGGAATGAGTGAAAGATTATTCATAACCCTTACAAGATTTGAAACAAACTAGCACTTTCATGTGTAAAGGACTTGTGTAAACAATCACAAGTTTAGTATCACCATAAGAGTAGATATAAGGTATAAAGGTCTACGTCGTTATTTCTCAAGAAGATCGTGAGTTTGGGGCTAGTTACCCTGTCCATTGATCTTTTTACCATTCATAAAGGAAGATCGTGAGTTTGAGGCTGGTTACCCTGTCCATTGATCTTTTTTACCATTCATACAGGAAGATCATGAGTTTGGGGCTAGTTACCCTGTCCATTGATCTTTTTACCATTAATACAGGAAGATCTTAAGTTTGGGGCTGGTTACCCTGTCCATTGATCTTGTTACCATTTATACAGGAAGATCGTGAGTTTGGGGCTGGTTACCCTGTCCATTGATCTTGTTACCATTTATACAGGAAGATCGTGAGTTTGGGGCTGGTTACCCTGTCCATTGATCTTTTTACAATTTATACAGGAAGATCGTGAGTTTGGGGCTGGTTACCCTGTCCGTTGATCTTTTACAATTTATACAGGAAGATCGTGAGTTTGGGACTGGTTACCCTGTCCATTGATCTTTTACAATTTATACAGGAAGATCGTGAGTTTGGGACTGGTTACCCTGTCCATTGATCTTTTACAATTTATACAGGAAGATCGTGAGTTTGGGACTGGTTACCCTGTCCATTGATCTTTCAAAAAGCAAATATTACAGAATTAGATAGCTTCAGACTTAACATAAATAAAGACAACTCAGTATTTGCAATACACCGTCGTATCGACAGTGGCTCCTAGTGCTCTCATAAGCGACAATTTTTTAAAACAGAGACTCATACATTTTGCATGTTCTCTAAGTGGTCTAAACACATTAGCACCAGAATAACTTAAAACAGAGACCCATACACTTGTATGTTCTCAAAGTGGTCTAAACACATTAGCACCACAAAAATTTAAAACAGAAACCCATACCTTTGCATGTTCTTAATAACAAAGACCAGATCATCCTTCTGGAATTTACAAGGGGGTCTACGACCCACATTAACGACAGTGTCCTGATTGATTTGACTGTTCTTCAACCGTTCGGCCGTCCTCTGTCAAAGCATCTCTCGTCTACCTTGCTGACTAGACGATCCCGAATTTAATGTGACACTGTTGCACTCACAAACACAAACAACATTTTAACACAAAGAGCACTTTTAAAATGTTAATCACTTGTGACTTCGTACATTACGGACACAAAGAGAAGGAAAATTTAAACCACAAAGATTACTCAAAACAAAACAAAAGAGAAGTGAGCGAAAAGTTCAAATCCCACTTCTGATATTAGGAAACACAAAAGATTAGAACGTGTAGGTACTCCAGACTTTTCAAATCTACTGAGGTTAGGTTAGTAACAAGTCCGTTCCGCACGAAGTCTCGAAATAAAAGTGAGTCAACGCCGGTGTTGCCACGCTTTATATAGGTTTCTGCTACAAAATGGCGTTAGTCCGCTAACACTATATTATATTCTATTTTGTGACGAAATTCGGCGACTTGAGCGAGACTAATCGAGTTTGGCGCCACCAAACGGACAATTATGTAATTAAATAAACAGACAATGAATAAATTATTATTAATTATTTTATCTCATTATAAAACTTTAAAATATATACTAAATAAATATATGTGTATATGTTCCTCCTTACTCCTTCCTCAAATTCTTCTTGCAGTTTCAGATATACTCTAAATCAGCATGACTGCAGGTGATACTGGACTAGAGCTAATACAGTCAATCTCAAAACTTACCTCTTTGCTAAGCCACGGATTCCTTCCAAGTTCATCCTCCCAAATTGTGCCTTTTTCGAAGATAGCGTACCGACATGGCACCAACGCTGTGCCGGTGGGTATATGCCTGAAACATTTGCAAGTACCCTCTTATTTCTACTCATTCAGTTAGATTACTTACTACCATCGATTTCAGTTAAATTAGTGAAGGGCTCTTACTAACTGTTAGCTTTTAATATTTATTTAATTTAATTCTAAATATTTTTTATGAAACATAATCTTAAGAATCTTGCTACAAGTGCGCATGTGCAATAGTTACTCATTTGACCCGTTCGGTTGTTTACGAATTGACTCGAACAACTGACCGAAGGGTGGTCGGGTCGGAGTAGGGAATAGCTTATAAAATAGGTTGTAACACATGCGCACGGGCAATTCCTGTGTTTAAGCTTGAAGTTCTACTAGTTGAACTAGATCAACTAGCCCTTACGCTAGTGGGATGTAATCACAGCTACCCGCAATTCTTAAAAATTTGTGAATTTGCCAGATATGTCAAATTTTTATGTCTTTGTGTTAAAATCGGTTAGATTTTATCATCATTTTACCACCAGACCACTAACTCACCTTCATCTTAATTTTATCAAAATGAGAATGAACGAGTTTCCTTTGAGAAAAAAATTTCAACTACCCTCAAGTTTCTAAATGTGTGAAAGCAGAAATCACATCATAGGTTAAACATTATTTTTTTTTCGATTCAACACTTAACTGATACCCACTCTCTAATATATATATATAAATATAGTTTATTGAATTAAGTTACTTCGTTTGACATTACTTATTTGACGACTCATTGGTCTAGTGGTTAGTACCCCTGACTGCGAATCCATGGGTCCCGGGTTCGATTCCCGGCTGAGACGAACATCGATGTGATGAGCATTTGGTGTTGTGCTTAGGTCTTGGATGTTTAAATATGTATTTATATGTCTATCTATCTATAATATGTATGTATATCCGTTGCCTAGTACCCATAACACAAGTTTCACCAGCTTAGCATGGGACTAGGTCAATTGGTGTGAATTGTCAAAAAAAAAAAACTTATAAAAAGTCTTCAACAAAACAATTTTTTTATATTTTACTGAACAAAAATGGCCTCTATCAATTTATTCATTTCTACTAATAACATTGACGTGTCTAATAAGCTAGTAGTTTTTTTTAATGGCTCTGGCACGATTTGTGCATAAGCCAGCGTCAAGTATAGGATTTATTATAATTCGTGCTTGCCTTTAGAATTTCGACCGTGTCCTCCATGTACAGTTTAAGCACTCGCCGCACAACCCTCCCAAAGGCCGAGAACAAATTTAAATTAAATTAAAACTTGCCCTCGAAACGGGAATCGAACCCGGTACCCCTCACCTAGCCACTTAATAAGACCGCTAGGCTATGAGGCCCCTAAGCTAGTAGTTATAAACAAAAATATAAAAAAAACTAAGCCCTTTCTATCACTAACATATATATATATATATATTATATATATATATATAACTGTATATTACTCGTTTAAATCAGTTTTACCTGTTAATCAGGTCCTTTCCCTGAGCTTCGTAAATGGCCTTCGAAGACATCGTATTACAAAAACTTATTCAATATAGATGAACACGCGTCATATGGTCGATGGAGTCGTTCTGAAACAAGAACATATATATTATATTACTAGCGGATCCGACAGTACATACAAAAAAAAATCTCGACTCCACACACAAAAAATTTCATCAAAATCGGTCCAGTCGTTTGAGAGAAGTTCAGTGACATACAAACTCACAGAAGAATTATATATATTAAGATATATTTCCACACAAAAACACTTTTTTATTAGGCCTTGGAGTGACCTCACCCATCACACAATATATTAAATAAAAACAAGCACTCCACCGTGAATAGGCAACAGGATCAGGCACAGAAGACCGATGATCTATGAAAGAAAAATCCAAAGGAACAGATACTTATAACCTTATGACCAAAGCGTGACCATTTGACAACCTTGGCTGGCATTTTCTTAGAAAAACATCTCGTGATAATTTTATATTCTAGTTAATTAAAACTTTAAATTAAATATTAATGAAGATTAGGATCCTCCTCCATAGAGTTTCACAATTTAACAATTAATTTTTAAACTGTGACCATAAACTGTTTCTATTCTGTAATATCTCTGTCTCAATTCCAAATTCAAAATAATATATTTCAGCCAATTCTTATGATTCTAAATTCAAAAATTTACATTGTAATAATTTGAAAATGTTCGAGTGACTGGCCTTCTACAAAAAAAAATAAGCTGTTAGCTAAACAACTGTTTATTCAAATATTCACAAGCCATTCGCGTGTTCATATGAACTTGACTTGAGGTGTGATTTTTTTTCTAAAATAATAATCAAATATTGATTGCGTACTCATCTAAGCCGCGTTGGCGACAAAAACGTTCGATTTTTAAACTTAATTTAAATGACCACGAGCAGACCTCATGTCCTAAGCAGTTGATAATTTAAAACAACTATTTTTAAACCTTATTCCAATACATATTATCAATACGTCATTCACGAGATCATAAAAATACTATTTTTATTTTCAAATAATCATCGCGGGCTTATCTATGGCCTTTACAACGTAATAAATTTCGATTTTTAAACTCAATTCCAAATTCAAGAAATCAAACTTCAATCGCGTGTTCAACGACAAAAAAAATCTATATTTAATCTTAATCATAAATTCAGATAATCACACATTGAAATATTAATGACAACAAAAAAATTCCAAATTCAAACTAAATTCCAAATTCAAATAATAAAACTATACGCGTAATAATTTAATGTTGACAACAAAAAATTCGAAATTCATACTAAATTCCAAATTCAAATCACAAGCCATTCGCGTGGTCATCTCGCCTCTGATTGGTCGAGCGCCATGGTGTGGCATCGCACGAGAGCCGCGTCAGCACAACTTGTTTTTAATACCGTTGTACCGCGCTCATCGTATAGAATACTATTACGACTAATATTATAAATTAAGAATATTTTATCACCGTAACGCGTAGTTTAGGTTCGATTCGTGGCGAAACAACGAAATCGGGTGGATTAACAGTTAGTCTATACATTTTACGCATAAGTTTCAAGGTCAAAAGGACAAAGACATCGCGTTCATGTTTATATTTCGATTATTATTCCGCGACTTTCAAACATTGCTCAAAATTTATATAAGAGTTTTGGACCACTTATATTATTCCAATTAGCTATTTTACTATATCTTTAGTATGTAAAAATTATGTTACAATAAAATAGGAATAAAGAAAAATGTATTTATATTGCTTTGTATGAAATAACTTAATTATAAATGAGAAATATGTTGGCAGGATTTGGAGGTCTTTGCCAAAAAAGGACACACAGATACACTAAAAGAAGATTGAAATAGAAACGTATTTAAATATAAAAGTATCTGAGTTCAAGGCTATTATTATTAATCGATATTACTATTGTCCTGCCTTCTCTATAGGAAACAGATATTCCGCTCCAGATGCTTGCTTGCTGACCACGATGTACATAAGCTGCCGATTAAAGAGGGATGATCGATATTTAGGGGTTTTTAAAATTGATCCTAGATCCTATTCTATTATAACCCTACGCCCCAATCAATCACGCCGCGGGTAACATTTCCATTAAAAAAAGTGCGTGCGTACAAAGTACACATGTCAAAAGTGAAACTTTGGCAAACTAATTCTTAACTCTTGTTCATATTTATACAAATCTAAAACTTTAGATTTCCGAGACTTAGAGGGAGGAAACAAGGAAGATATGTTTGGAATTTAATGTCATTAAAATATTAAAATTAATACAAATAATATATTTTTTTGTTTTAATTTTTTTCCTCGATAATAAATCACGTGGCATTTTAATTTACAATTCGTCGTAAATTCACCCTTCTCACTCTCTCTCAGTCGGTCTCATTCGCTTTCTCCCTTTTCTTCGACAAAAACGCTGCATATCTTCGTGATGTTTTTTTTTTAATTTTACCCAGATGCGCCTAAAGAAGTTTCACTTCAAAATAAGCGGTTACTTTGTGACCAAGTTAAATATGCAAACATTTTAATTCCTTATTTATAGCAAAAACGTGACACGTAATAAAATTAATATTATTTCACTAAAACATTGTCACGGGCGGACATTTATTTAAAAAAATTGTAGACATTTTTTTTTATGTGACTAAAATTTTTCCTTTTTTAACTAAATTTATTGATTATTATTTTATATTTTTGAAGTTATACTTCTTTAGGCGCGTTATGAAAAATTGATGAGAGTGAAATTTTACGATGCGCGCGCACCGTAACACAAAATTAACAGAATGAAGTTGCCCACGGAAGATGCTACGGCATTGGAAATAATTTAAAAACAACATTCGAATAATAATAGAATTTATGTTAAACTTAATGTAAGAGAATAATAATAAATATTTATTTATTTAATTTTTCAAATGTAAACTGAACTTTATTGACTATAATGGCTCCTTTTCCAGTCTTTGATTATTTAATTGTAATTAATTATTTGCATGCAATCAAAAACTATTTTTAATAATGCCAAAGAAGTATAACTTCTTATGCGCGTACATAAGTACACGCACCCTTTTTTTTATCAATATAATAACTCCGATCGAAGCATTTATTTTAAACGATATTCATTTTTCTTACATCCTCTTTGACGATATTTTCAGCACGCATTCTGTCAATGTTATGTCAAACGCCATAAGGTTACATCAAAAAAGTTTGAATTGGTTAAGTATTCTTAAATTTATTAATTTTCCTTTTTCTTTCATAAGAACCTTCTCCTGACAATAACAAACACAACAAAAAAAAAAGAACTAACGAAATGCAGCCGTTCACGAAAAAAACCCCTCAAAACAGCAGTATACGTTTCGATTCAAGATCACATTTAATAGGAAGCAATCAAAAGATATGTAGGTCACAAGTGGACAAGTGAAAGGTACGCTTTGAGGTCACATTATCACCGCAACAGCCTTGAGGCCTGGAACCTAATTAATTCTTTATCAACAGGTGTTATCCTGCATAAGAAATACATTTCTTAGTCAATCTTTTTTTATAGGCTAGTCTGATGTTAAGTGACAACGCCGCCCATGGACACTCAATGCTAAAGAGCTCGCAAATGCGTTGCCGGCCTTTTAAGAATTGGTACGCTCTTTTCTTGTCGGCGAGTAACATGAATATACAAGTCAAAGTCAAAAATCATTTATTCATATAGGTAAGACAATGTACACTTATGAACGTCCAAAAAAACAAATACATATTAAATGCTTCTAATTTTACATATTTTACTGCCAGTTCTCAAATCAAGGGCGCAGAACGAAAGAGAAGAACTGGCAATAAACTCTCCGACACTCTTTTTTAATCGCCATGTTTTTTTTAACACGCTTTATATTAGCTTCACCTGTATGTATGTATGTATGTAACCAACTCCTTTGGACTCGATTTTGATTTTTGACCCACTTTTAACGGACAGATTTAATTCAAACTTTGCGCACCTGTCAAAGATCGATGACAATGCAATAATCCGAAAAAAAAATGAAAAAAATAAACTAAAAAATAAAAAATAAATAATAGTTAAAAAAAACTAAAAAACACGCTTTTAAAGCACATCAAACTAAAAAGTGAAAAATAATTCCTAATTTAGGCTGAAAATGGTAATGAACAAAAAATACTGGTATTATTGTGAAAAAGCGTGGGTTGCTCGATAGACGAAAAATATGGCACAGAGCCATTTTCAGCCTAAATTAGGAATTATTTTTCACTTTTTAGTTTGATGTGCTTTAAAAGCGTGTGTTCTAGTTTTTTTAACTATTATTTATTTTACACAATGTTTGTAAGGAGCTGCAACCATTACACCATGTTCCACATGATGGTAGGGAGCCCACGATGCTAAATGGGGATTTACTCGAGCGTCGTAGAGACCTATTGGGATGCAAAGCTTAGATAAAAAGAAGAAAAAAATGTTATATGATAAATTCCTTTTCATCGGTGGGGGAAGCGGCTATAGATAGTTAAATATGTAAAAAAAAACTGTTGCATGGACATCCTCGAGCGCGTCAGATATTGATAGCATCTATGCCCTACGTATTTTTAATAATGTACGTATGTTAATCTGATCGTTTGCATGATGCGGGTGGTTGTATTTAAGGGTTGAAAATTAAAAAAAAAAAATTTATCGAGCGCGTCAGATTTTCTAAGGTAGTGTTAAGTGCACCAAAAAAAAGCTCTCATTCACTAATCTGACGATTTCGATGGGACGCAAACCCACAGCCATTTTCTTAATTTGCAAAAAAAAATCGCAATTTTGAAATACTCAAGCGCGTCAGATTAAGATATATGTGGTTCCTCTTTATGTTCTAAACGTACTGTCTCATAATCTGACGATTATCTAGAGGGATTCGCCTGATCTGACAAAAAAAAATAGAAAAACGGTTCACCTAAAGGGCCATCCCTGCAACTTCCCGCTAATTCCATTCCTGGGCGCTTAAAATTGATATTTTGAGCTCGCTGAGTTCAAAGAAATAACATTTCTATGCATTT